AGCAGGTGAGAATTATCGGAAAAAAATACCAATAACAACGTGGAATACAGAAGACTTCCTTATTCCTGTTGAAAGTAAAAAAGTTTCCTCAAGTGACCTGGGCCACCTGAGGAAAAACAACTGGCAATTGCTCAGTACTTGCATAAAGGGGGATGTCAGCTGCCCTGCACTTTGGATGAGGCTGGAGGTCCTATGTTAAACTATTTTTTTTTGTCCCGAAAGAATATACAGCAGGTTATGGCACCAGTTGCCAGAGATGCAGAAATGTTAATTATTTACAGTGATCCAGCCAAATTCCAAGGAGGCAGGGTGAAGATTGATGGGTTTGGGGGACAGATGATACCTGTAACCCAGTCATAGCTAAGGTTGTGGGTTGGGCATTTCCCACCCTGGGAGTATTATGTGTCTATTGCCCTGGTCCTGGAGTCTATACTGCATGTAGATGTACTATGAGATCTGACTCTCCAGATGACTAGGAGAGTTCAGATAGATGTATTAACATCCAGATGCTGCAAATGATGTGTAGAGGTCTGTATGGGAACTGCTGAATCATGGCCTGAACCTGATTGATCACCTGAGGCCAGCAATGAGCCAGCCATGGGAGTGCAGGTGAAGGCAATTGTCCTGTGCTGCTGGAAGGGGTGGAGCCTGGCTGCACCTCTCCTGGACCCATTTAAGAGCTGACTACCAGTGGGAAAGGATCTCTTCTGGAGTTTCATAGCAAGCCCAGGGCGTGGGTAAGCATTCCATCAATTCTGTTTTGGTATAATAACTGCGTAGCCAAAGTCTGGTATATTTTATAACATCTGTACATTCATTGATTACACAAGGTCATATGAAATGTGAGCCTATTTGTTTGCTAGATCTGTGCTAGATTACTAATACTGAATAATATAGACCCTGGGGGGAGGGGAGAGGAGTGGTGGCAAGAGGAAATCTCCAGAGTGGTGCAGGAACTAGAAAAAGTAGGGACTGTAAGACCTGCCCACGTAATTCCCCTATATGGCAGTACAAAAGTCAGATGGCACATAAAGGATGGCAGTGGGTAGATAAGGTCATGCTACCTATTCATGCAGCCTTAGCTGATGTTGCCACCCTGATGGGCACACTGAGTACGGAGATGGAAGCCTACCATTGTGTCCTAGACTTGGCAAATGCATTCTTCAGTATTCTCATTCATGAAGAATCTCAAGATCAGTTTGCATTTATGTGGGGAGGCAGGCAGTGGACCTTTCAGGTCCTGCTGCAAGGGTACATGCATTCACCAACATATTGTTGTAACTCAGTGCTGTGTGACCTAGCAGGTTGGAATGATCCTAATAACATCAAACTGTACCACTGTATGGATGATCTCAAGTTGCTGTCTGACTCACTGGATGTTAGTGAATGGTGTGCCACTAATTCTGTTACATTTAACATGTTTCACAATGTCTAGACTCAAATATATGAGAATACTTAGAAAATCTTTTTCTAGGAAGAGATTGCTAATCTCTGCATGTTGATGTGTGTGATTTGGTCTGTGTGTAATACATAGTGAACGACAGCACTGAAGCTGCAGTATCTGACTGTTACTGCTTGGGATTGGTACCCAGGGTTGGGTATCATGGGTTGCCAGGCTGCACTGTGAACTGAGAGACTTTGCAGGGCAGAGCTCCCTAAATGTGACCCAGGCTGGACATGGCCTATTAAACACTTGGCTGCTTTAAGCTATTTCAGAAGCTGTGGCAAGTTTTAAAGTCTGTTTGACAACTGGTATCTGTATCTGTGCTCAGCTTATTTGCAAAAGCTCCTGGGAGCTGAATGATGGCAGCTACTAAAGCTGACACAGCTTTCCACTTATGTAGATTTATCTCAACTATTTTTGCTACTGAAGGTGAGTACAAATTCAGGAGCTGCAGTAGCAGGTGAGACAGGGCAAATAAGTCAGATGGAAAACAGACCGATGGCTGTATTTGTGGCTACTGTATGTTTGTCTTAGTAAATTGTTTCTACGTTCACTCTCCTTTTAAGGTACAAGTGTTACAGAAGAAGCTGTTACAGCACCTGTCAGATACGTTACTAATACCACAGGTGGTGAAGTTTTTCATGTAGCAGCCTTATTTTCAGCATTAGGAGCCGGCTCCAGTGCTGTGGCAGGACGGACTGCCGTGCGGGGAGCCGGGCTGCGTGTCAGCGATGATGGATGCGGCACCAGCTGCGTACCTGCGGGGTGCAGGAGCTGTGAGCACAGCCACTCGTTGCTGAGTGAGGGCTGTCCGAGCCAAGCATACAACTTATGTAAAACAGAACTTATGTAAAATCCTTCTGTGTCATTGGCGGGTAAAGGAAAATCAGCTGCAGCTAACGATCTTCTTATATCTTGGGTGTAAGAGTATGCGATGCACGGACCGGGAACAGCTGCAGGAGTAAAAAGGTGGCTTTCACTTCACGGAGAGGCACAGGCAGTGCTAAGAATACCTTAGTTAGCCCTGCTCAGAGGGGTAGATCTCTCGTTAGGTTTCTACCCGTTCGCTTTGTGAGGCGGTCCTGCGCTCGCTCCGCTCCCACATCGGGGCGTTTTGCGGCTCGGCCCCGTGCCGGCACCGCGCTGCTGCCACCTGCAGGTCGGCACGCGGTACTGCAGGCGGCGCCCCGGCACACGCGGTGCCGGCGAGTCCGGGCGGGGCGGGAGTGGCGGCGCGGGTGCGGGGGGCTTCGCGGCAGCAGCAGGAATCGCTCAGCAGATACACGGCGCGATCGGGAAAAGGCACCCCGTGGGTGCGGAGGAAAGAGCGCCGCTTCGGCGCCTGCTTCTCCTTGCCGGAGTGCTGCACGGCAACGCACAACGCGGCTGTGCGCGATGCCAGCCGCAGATCGCGCCATAGCGGCGGGCGGACGCGCGGCTCGCCGCCGTTAGGAATAGGAGCGGTGCTTCTGCGTGCGCGATGCCGCCTGGAAGACCGACGACCATAGAGCGTGGCGGACCCAGAGCGCAGAGCGGCGTTGTTTCCTTCTTGCCAGGGAGGCGTCGCTTGGCGGCCATGGCCGTGAGCGTCAGCGGGGCGGGGGCTGCGCTCCTCCTGGCCCCGGCACGGCGACCGGCAGCGCGGGGCGGCTACCGCACGGCCTGGCAGCCGCTGCGCCCCTCCTTCGCTCCTCCTTCGCACCTCCCCGCTGCCGCAGCCAACGACTAAAGAGCAAAAATTTATTTTCACAGCGGTGATAAAAATAATTCCGTGACTTCTGTAAACCATTACATAAACGCTATAGTATAGGAAAGTTGTAACAAGTGCCCAGAGCTTTAAATAGTTCACGTAAATGACAGCTCGCTGCAGTTGCTACCTTTTGCACTGAGAAACACCTCCTAATGGAGCAGTTCCACAAATTGATACGAGTCAGTAAGGGCTGATGATGACCACAGTTACACAAGCAGGCGGTGACAGTAATATTACTACCTGTATTGAATACTAGAAGACTCTGGCTGGGAATATATAGGAAAATAAGCATGTCTTTAGTAATCGGTTATTCAAAGCAGACTAATAAGCCCATGACGTGCAGCATGGAGCTGCCTGCACTGCGCTTCAATCACAGCTCTCACTGTAAAACCCTGAGAAAGCTGAGGTTCCCAGGCTAAAATAATTCCTGCACATAGTGGTGTTCACATTACAAATAATACTCTTACCACAAATACCAAAGTGCAGCTGGGAAAGACATTTAGTTTTGAAGTATTTTGTAATTCCAACAAATTACTCTATTTAAGCCTCACTAAAATATAATTTTAATGCATGTTTTCTAGATATATAGCACAAGGACAAATACTTAAAAATGGCACAGCCCTTACCGTTTTAAGGTGCCAATGTAAAGGACACGTGTGTGGCTGTGCAGCTGATTTGTTTTTGCTAAGATACAGACAAGTTTGCTATGATGTCTCACAGAACATTTCTGTGAAGAACAGTTGTAACGTTTTCCTATGACTGCAGTGTATGGTTGAAGCAATGACCTAAGGATCAACCTGTAGTGATAGCATGCCTGGGTATTTCACACACGTACACACCTTTCATCTGTGTTTGTTTCATTCTCCATTGAGTTGTCTGTCAATGGTTTTTGCTGAGTAATTCACACAAGAGAAGCTTACAGAGAACATCTGCAAAATGGCCCAATGCTGAGGTTGCTGTAGGATATGCATTGTTGTTTTTGAGATACATCACTGTGAAACAAACACACAGCTGTTTAAAAAGCAACAGACTCACCGTATCAGTCCATCTCCTCCGAAACTGCAGCGCAAATAAACTCTGTGTATCAATGGGACCATTCATGATGCAGTTACCATTTAAATCATAGAATCAGAATTACTCAGGTTGGAAGGGACCTCAATGATCACCAAGTCCAACCGTAGCCTAACCATAGTACCCTAACTCTAACAACCCTCTGCTAAATCACATCTCCGAGCACCAGATCCAAACAGCTCTTAAACACATCCAGGGACGGTGACTCAACCACCTCCCTGGGGAGCCTGTTCCAATGCTTTACCACCCTTTCTGTAAAGAAGTGTTTCCTAACATCCAACCTAAACTTACCTTGGTGCAACTCGAGGCCATTTCCCCTCGTCTTGTCACCTGTGAGCAGTGAGAAGAGACCCACCCCGCTCTCACTGTAAGCACCTTTCAGGTACTGGAAGAGAGTACTAACGTCTCCCCTCAGCCGCCTCTTCCCCAGACTAAACAGCCCCAGCTCCCTCAGCCTCTCCTCATAGGGCTGATTTTCCAAGCCCTTCACTTGCCTCGTTGCCCTTCTCTGGACCTGCTCCAGTACCTCCATGTCCTTTTTGTATGAGGTGCCCAAAACTGAACACAGTACTCGAGGTGAGGCCTCACCAATGCCGAGTATGGGGCAGGATGACTTCCCTAGTCCTGCTCACCACACCATTCCTGATACAAGCCAGGATGCCATTGGCCTTCTTGGCCACCAGGGCACAAAAAATTTCTTTTTTTCTTAGTGTCATGAGACTCGGAAAAGCACCAATTATTAAAAAAAAAGACAGAGAGAAGGAGAGCACCAATAGCTGTAGGATTGTAAGCAAATGCACAAGAATTCCAACAAAGAACAACAAACTCTGACAAGACAGGACAAAACCATCCTTCTGTATCTCTTAGGAGACAAATATCAGCAGTGAGATGTGGGCTGAACAGGTTTCCTTTAAAATACCAAAGCAAAATTGTCGATTAAGACGTTTCTAAACAGGCTTGTGAGTACAACAGCTGCAGAAAATTCTTCCACACTGTGGTTATATATAGTACTCTGGTATCCAAAGTAAATTCTTGTTTGAAAATGTAACAATTTCCAACAATAATTACACATTAGTCTTTGATTTACTTACTGTTCCAAATATCGCACATGAATAACTCTGCTCTATTCCACCCACAGTGTGGTTATGGTTCAAAAATCACTGTTTGTCACAGACTGCACAAATGCACAAAGACATTAATAGCTAACGCCAAACCTCTTTTTTATCACAGTCCAAGGCTGACTACACCTTGAAAACAGAGCAGTATCTTAATGTTAGCATACAAAAGTGCAGGAGTGTTTGAAAATGCCACTAGTTTAATTTTATACTTCTCTCGAGACAAAAACTGTAGAGAAACTATGAGTCAACAAAATCACATTTTAAACCCAACTTTGATCTTTATTTAAAATGGACCGCTATGATCTTCAAGAAGTTTCTGAAATAGGAATAAGTAAAAATATATTTAATACTTTAACTTCCTTTCCCCTTTTTGAAAGGTCTCTAACATTCCTGCAAACCGACGTGCCTTAGGAAAGCAGCAGAGTACATTTAGTTATCACAGAGATGTGTCATGGTTTGGTTCTTTGCTGACTCACGTCTTCAGATAAAGACCACAAAACCCCACAAAGACACTGCCACTTAAGCTCTGTTAAACAACAATGATTTCAGTACACACTTTGCTTTTTGATTCAACATGAAAGAACTTTAAATAGATTAACTCTTCTCTGCCTGTGTATACACTTCTTGTACTGAATACATCGATACAGAGATACAAATCATGTAACACAGTAGGAGGTCATTCAGTGTAAGCTGTACTAGCGTCTCACGTGGATTTAACAACAGAAGGGATAACACAGGCAGTTAACCTGAACACAGACAGTGTTAACATCAAGAATTAACTAACTTCTCCTCCTAAATTGCACATTCCCAACAACCAGGATGAAGTACGTTACCGCCTTTTAAAAGAATCAGTATGTCCAAGTGCCACTGCCTGGTGACATATCAAAGTCATTTCGCAGCTCCTTTCATGTGTTGCCTATTAGTGAAAACGTTTACTTCAAAATACTTATAAAAGCAAGAGACATTCTCATTATCATCATATTGTATGACACAAAACTAAGCAATAGAACTTAACTGCAAAATCCTCTTTTTATGTCTTCTGCTATTTTTAGGGTATTTGGCATAGGCACTTGATAAAAGTTATTACGTGTCTGCTCCCAACAAGTACCACACAAGTTAGATAAGGTACAAAAAGTTTAAGACTACAAATATCGAAACCAAGAGAAATATGCAAATGCACAGCACTTTACTAAAAGTGATCCGCTCCACAAAATTTAAAACATGTCTTTAAATATGAAAGCAGATGTGCCTTACTGTTTTTCTTCCCACTGGTACATTTATAAATATCATAGTATGCAGTTAACTTACAAATTGTAAAAAATCTAGGTAAGTTCTCACGTCTATTTAATCTTCTTATGATTTAACAGTAAAACCATATGAAATATTTGAAATTCACAGTACACATATAAAGCATCATATTATTGTGTATTAAAAAATAAGCTTAAGACCAAGAAAGCAGCTTAAAGCAATTTACAATATATCCTCCAACAACAACAACAAAAAATAATTAAAAAGTGCTTTTATAGTAATCAGAGTTTTTCAAACAGCAAAGTAAACATAGTGTTAGACCGATTCCCCAGTACTGGCTCTGGCACAGCACGCAGAGCAGACGTGGCTCAGGGGCTGTTGGTACTGCTCAGTGCATGCTTAGTGCACCTGTATCTACCTTCTGCTCATGACAGTAAGTCACGAGAACTTCCATTCATCGTGGTAAGACTTCTGCAAAACCATTACAGTGCAAATGAACCTAAGTATCTTGTGCACTTGGAATGTGAGTGGGAGTTGGAGAAGACTGGGGTGGGATTGAGTTGGAATGGAAGAATTTGAGACTATTAGAAGCTCACTGACTGACTGATATTGATATGTAAAGGTGAGCAAGAAAAGCAACTGAGTTTCTCACATCAAAACTGAAATCAGTCTAGCACTATTAAATGGATTAATTATCAGTGATTTATATAATTTTTATACAAAATACAAAAGCATAAAATATATTTCATTCATTAACATGATACGAGTACCATGCCTGTATGTTACCACAGATTACTTTTTTTCTTGCAGCAGGGACATTCTTCTTGCTTAGCTGCACAGTGATCACAAAGTATGTAATGTTGACATGGATTCAGGACAGTGCTACGATCACCTTCTTGACATACTATACACTTCTTTGACTGAAGCTGAAAAATCACCTGTAAGATGATTACTGCACTCAGTAAAAGGATTCCAAACTGTACAGTTACGTTTTAGCAATTTTATGCTTAGCTGTCCTGACAAAAACTCTAACAACACAAAGAATACTGGTTTTGTATGATAAACAACCAAGTTGAGGGTTGTAAGATCTGAGCATGCACAACCATTACAACAGCAGCTGGAGCAGTATAGGTGCACTTAGACAAGAAAATATCTAGGCTAGCACTTCTGGACTGCAGCTTTTCTGCATCATTGGGATAGGTGAGCAAAGCAAGAAAAAAAAGTCAGCCTTTTTTACTATCGTGTACTTCCTTGTTTTGACATTTTGAAGTACTGTTACATTTTCTTAGGTTGTGAGAGGTGTTTGCATTAAGACAAAATGGAAGCTTCCCAAATAAGTTATGCTTTGAATAAAGCTACAGGGATGGACTTTGGGAAGGATGCAAACAGATGTCTCCATGTAGTAAACCACGTCAACCTTATTAAAGAAGAAGTGAAAGGCATCTAAAAATTATATTAATTTTTGAGAGAGTCATCTTCAGGTTCAGAGAAGCATCCATAACACTGTGTTGCACTAAGACAGTACCTTTCTCCTGGAAAGAAGAGATAGGTGAGAAGAGGCCACAGTGGTAAAGAAAACCTGAGAAGCTGAGCAGCTGTAAAGGCTGGTTGTTCTGAACAATTGTTCTGAACAGCCCAGTCTGGCTGAGATGACTTCTGTCCCAGGATCTAATGACTGTGTTCAGGTAGGAGATTCCAGGACTGTTTTGCTTGTATTTAAAATCCCTCAGGAGAAAAACAAGTGATCCCTAAAGCAAATGTACTTAGCACAGGGGCCTGGCAATAGCAAGTCTCATCTATCTACTTTATTGCCAGAGATTTAAATAATGTTTTAACCTTCTGTAAGGAGAGCCTGGCTTTTCTTCAAGGCAACAGTTCATGCTGATAGAGATGTCACTGGACAGGAGGAGCACTGAGACAGAGAATACACTGCTGAACTGAAACAGGTACAGGAGTATGGCAGACTGTTCCAGTAAGTGGAAGAAAATATTACCTTTTTTTTTTTTTTGTCTGGACTGCCCTATGACAGTCAAAGCAAAAAGAACTGCCATCACTGCATTATCACTGCCCTTCAAGACTGTAGAATAAAATGTAATGTGGAAGCAAACTCAGCTCAGGACAGTCTGAAGTCATTATTATCTCCCTTGATTATGTTCAGAGGAAGGGAATATGATTTTCAAAGCCTTGACAGCCCTGAGAAATGCTCTGCATCTGACAGCAAAAGAGCATCTTCTGTTTTGGCAGAACCTCAGTTTGGGTTTTAGAGAAGGTGGAATGCAGCATTGTGGTCACTAATGTGACTAAGGGACCAAAGCATCTGACACGAGGAAAGGCTGAAAGAAGAGAGGGATTCTGATCAATGTGTATAAATACCTTGTGGGAGGAAGTAAAAAAAGATACAGTCTCCTCTTGATGGTATCCAGTGAAAGAAGAGGCAACAGGCACAAATGATAAGGACAGGAAATCCCATTTTTACAGTGAGGGTGGTCAGACATTGGACAAGGCTGCCCACAGAGGTTCCAGCATCTCCATCCTTCAAAAAACTTCTGGGCCAGGCTGTAACAATCTGCTCAGGTTGACCCTGTTTGAGTGGGGCATTGGACTAGATGATCTCCAGAGGTCCCGTCGATTGCCAGTGATTCTATGCTCCAAGTTTTTACTGGCCTCTCTGACTATACAAACTCCTAGTGCAGAACCTCACCACCTACATTCTAAACAAGTGAATAATGTGTAATTGTTTACATTTATTTACTACAACTTTTAATTTATTTAGGTAGTGGCTGAAATATTGGCAATGTAAGCTTTTTCAGATTTTTTTCTTTCTTTATTTTTTTTAAATCACCCTCAGAACCCTTGTGAATTGCTTGTAATTTATTCTGATAGCTGATCAAAAAATCAGAAGAATCTATCAGGCTGAAAACTCTGAACATCATCATGTAGTCTGGAAAGAAAGACTTAACACTGAGATCAGTGATGCTCTCTGAAATTAAACCTGGCATGTGCATCTCACTGAAGCTTACTGAGCTGTCAGTTTTAGTTAAGCAAAAATAGTTACACAGATGAAGAAACTCACCTCATCTATTGTTCCTAAATCTAAGTGCAGCCGGCTTTGTAAGGAACGAAGCTTTGGCAAGGATATTTTTTCTATGTCTCCATAGTTTTCCATGTAAGGTAATGCTGTAGACAGGCAGGCAGCTAATTGCACCTTCAGCTTTTTTAATTTATTTTCCACTGCTTCCTTCTTCTGAAGAGCAAGTTGTTTGTCAGCAGATGCAACATCAGCACGTTCATTTGCTTCTTGAGCCTCTTTTTGCCATGCATCACATGCCTGAGAGAAAACGATTTCCAGAATGGAAGAAAAATTATTTTTTCAATTAAAAATGGAAGAGCAAATTCAAAACCCTTCAAAGGTACAGATTTCTAATTTTAAACACAACAATGTAATTATGGTCAATGTAATGTTTTTCCCTACTTATCCTATTGTCACATGTATGGAGCTCTATGAATGGAACCACATGTTCAAATTTCAGGTCAGGAGACATTAAAACCTGCCAGAATGCAGCAGAGCTACTTTGCTACTCCTTGTCACAGAGAATATGATATGAAAGGAAGAGAAGGACTACAGGAAATGCACTGGAATGGCAATTATCAAGAGCTCAGTTTGACTGCTGAGATGGCTGAATGTCATCCAGGCACAAGACACAGCCAGAGTTGTTAGCAAGCTTTTTTTTGTGTGTGTGTGTGTGTGTGTGTGTTTATCAATGGAAAGTAGTACAGGAATGTGTGTCTTTAGTTACTTTACACTGAGATACAGGGCTGTTCAGCACTAAAGGGTTTGCTTCCTTTACGCTGTCAGCTCATTTGGAAAAAACATCATTCATGGTCAATTCACTTGATAGACTGTAAAAAAAACTCTGGGTTCAAGGATAATAAAATTAATAAAAAGGAAAAACAGTTGGAGGTGCATGTTTATTAAATACAGAAAAAAAATGTAATACCATAAATAAATGTACCTGTTTTACTTGTTGCCAAGATTCTTCCCATTGTTTTAGTTTTCTCTTGGCATCATCAAGTTCCTGTCTAACTCGAGTCAGTTCGTTCCCACTGCTGTTTGAACTTACTGAGGGGGCAGTGCCACTGCTTAGAACTGGGGATGGGCTGGGAGAGAAATTCCCAGTTACAAAGTCCCACATGCTCCCTGTAACACCATTTAAACCTGTAAAACAAAAAACAATGTCTGTACACCCTGCTGCAGAATGTTTCACATGCAGAACTACATAAATACAACGCAAATGCAAAACTTACACTTTTACCTGCAGGACTCATTATTTTACTATCTTCAGAAATGTAAAAGTCTGGAAAATATTTCTAGTTCTGGAGCAATTCGTGAAACTTACCACAAGCTTTTCTCTTGCTGCTTTTAATAAAAGAGAGCACAGTCCGCAAAAGGAGAAGAAATGGTGGGAATATATTCATATACAAAAACCTTTGCTCCTGGAACTTCATACATCATTTTAGTTCTTCCTCTCTATTTTCTATTTTCCATTAACAAAAGTTGTAGCTAGAATGCATTCTTGCTGCCTACTCTATCTTTCAAATGCCTCTCCAAGTAAGTATCTCCTCTTCCAAGAAAACTTTTTGTCTTCACTAGGAAGGAAAAATTAACTCCTTGAACTCTCTCCCACATACCTCATTTAACACCACTGTCAGCAGCGTTAACAATTATAATAGCTGGGCTTTGTCTTCCAGATCAAGTCATGGGAAATCTGCAAAGCCTTGAGCTGAACCCTCCTGACCTGCCACTGATTCCCATCTTAAAACACAGCACTGCAGCCTTCAGCCTACTTACCTAAAGAGTTGTGAGAAGAGGCAGAGGTGCCCAATATATTCTGTTCTGACTTCAAAGGCTGAGGCTGCTGTTGATGAGGGACCATAGTAGATGAAACAAAAGACTGAGAAAGTGATTGTGAAAGAGAATTGAGTGGAGAGGTTGAAAGGGATGATGATGAATGTAAAGAGGAGGAACGAACAAGAGAACCTGGAATATTGACAGGTGCTGAACTTTCCAGTAATCTTTGACCTAAGCATGCACAAAAAAATAAAAAATAAAAATTAGTTCCAAAGCAGGACACAGCTCTGCAAGTATTCTTAAAATTAAATTGTATATTCAAATACCTGCCATTAATAAACAAAGTATTATTTATCTGCTATTGTAAAAAATATTTTAAAATTGAACATTTAGAAGCAGTGCCATCATCTGCAGCTACAGAGAGAGAAAATGTTTTTCAGATCAGGTTATCTGATTTACAAATATTTACAGCCAATAAAGCAAATGGAAAAATTGACTGGAGTCAGAACTAGAGTTGAGAAAGTAAGACTACATACCTTGAAAATGTTTTACTGCATAATAGTCAGAAATACCTCAATTTCTTTCTTCTACATACTTTTGTTCAGTAGATTTTAAATGTCAAATGTACTTAACTCTACCAAAACTAAGTTTGAAACAAAGTAATAAATAATATAATCAAACAAATGTATTGCTCATAATTTTGCAAAATAATGGCAATAATAAAAGTAAGGTATCTTTAGAATGAATGTTAAATGATGCAATTACTTGAATAACTGTGAACAGATGCATTGGATTTTCCTGATGAGGAAACAGTTCAACATTTACTGTAAAGATTTTAATCAATAATTTTGAAATGCAATAAAAATGACATCACCTTTTCCTTGAAGAAGATAAAACAGTCAAGTGAGTTATACTTGATATCATAAGTCATTATTATGGTTTTCTGTTTTTGCTTAAAACTGATGAATTTATGTCATCAGAGAAAACATCTTTTTAGAAATATTAAAAAAGAAGAAAGGAATGCTCATTATATGCTGCACTGCAACAATGTCTTCAAAAATATATCATGGAATACTCAGAAAGTGTTGGCAAAGTCAGTCTCCTGAGCAACTACCTAAGGAAGATACAGGACAAACCAGAGATGTATGTGACATAACAAACAATAAACCTATGCCTCTATTTGCAGGAGAAGCCAGGGAGCAGTAAGAACTCTCAAATTTTAAGAGCTCAAGTAAAGATCCCAAGCAAACACTGTATGGAGTTGTAACAGAGCCATCTCTTTTCTAGTACTTGAGTTATTCCTCACATCCACTGGATTTTGCCCAACACAATCAGCACTGAGTAGCAAGGCTGTGGGTGAGGACAGGCCAGCACTGCCCCATGCTGGGCACAGCCATTCCCAGCCACCGCAGTGCAGAGCTGCTGCAGCACACAGCCAAACCCATCAGCAGCACTGGTGGTGCTTCTGGGAAAGGCATGTAGGAGGGCAAAAAGCTGCAAAGCAGCAAGGAGTGAGAAAAAAGGTATAAGAAACAGCCCTGAAAACACCGACGTCAGAGAAGAAAGAGCAGGAGGTACCAGAGCAGAGATTGCCTGTGGTCAGGATTTTCTATAAATGCATCAAGACATTCTATAAATGTATGTAAGTCAGTCCTTCCATCAGCTATTCTGCCCATGGCCCCAAGGGCATGCCAAAAGCATTTTTTAATAGACCAACCCCTTCCAAAAGAGAGACAGGATGATAGCAGTCTAACCTGCTTACATCTCAAAATTAAACAGGAAGAACATAACCAAGAACTTTTCTGCACAGTCACTGTTGTGTGTAACAACAATTGTGAAGAGTAAACAATTAGAAAGGTAAGAAATAAAATTGCTTTAAGTGATATGTAGTTTGATTTTACGATTTGAACCGCTTACTTGCTAATCCAAGGTCACTGCCTTCTTGATCTTCCAACTCTCTATTTATGGATGCAACATTCACACCGTTGAAATGTATATCTAAAGCTGAACCTGTCAAACAGAACACTGTGTTAGTGAATTATCCATATAACTATCATGATGCTGAAATGAGGAAACTTTGATTATTTTTATTAGCATTTCCATCATAAAAATCTTTAATGTCTAGATCATATCTAATACCATGCAGCACCACCCACTGGTCAAAGAGAGTTCCAATTAACACTAATCATTGCCTAACTGGGAAGATCTAATAAGGCATCTGGGATGATTTTGATGAATAGCTATACTGTCAATGTTGACATGGGAAAGTGTTATGGGGGAGGAAACCACCTGCTGTGCTGGACAGGATGCCCAAGAAAGGATGTTCTTCTGCCCCAACTTGCACTTCTCACCTGGCATCTTGGACAGCTTTCTCTGTCCTTTTTTTTTTCTCCCTCTTCTTACATTTCCGTTTTTCTCTGTAAATGATATTCACCATTGTGCTCCATCAGCAGTGGACCCCACTAATCACCCTTTGTGCATGTGAACCTTTCTCAGTATGTTTGTGCAACAACACCATATGAATGTTTCTTTCTTTTTTTGTGTTGTTTTTTTCTCCCCCCACTAGAATAAAAGCAGGGCTATTCACGCTATTTCCCCTGTCTGACAGGAGTAGCTTGCAATAACGTAGCTTCTGTTCCATCATTCTTCAGTGTTCAATGCATCACATAAGCCTCAGTGTTAAGTGCTAGCTCTATCTGATTGGCATGTTCATTCTCAGCTCCCCTATCCCCTTCTTTTCTTCAGCTCTTGAGGACAATTACTCAGCCAGCAGACAGAAAAAACTTAGAGCTCCCCATGAAATCATGATGAAGGGACAAAGAAAAGACTTCAGACCTCACTGTCTGACAAAGCATCCTCAGTTCTTGCTAATATAACTCCTGCATTTCCCATAATCCTTTATCCAAAGCCATTCATCCTCTTTTCCTATTACCACCTACCATCTTCTCTTCCTGCAGCTCCTTCGTTCTTTTTGTTTTTAAACAATTCCTCAATGCACCAATTTCTACACAAACATTATAGATTTGTTCTACGAGTGCTTTAAATTTTTTGCTCTATTCAAATTACATACAGCACTTCATTTTCACTGCCATCCAGTATATCCACAAAGTAGAACTCTGGAGAAACAACTTACATATATGAAATTTCTTTGGAGAAAGAACCCACAAAATCTACACAGTTACAGTAAAGTACATTAACCTATACTTTCATGAGACATGGACATTATGACTCACCAAATAACAAAAATAGCATCCTGAAAAGTATTTTAGAAAAACAGCTGAAGACAGCAAAGGCATATTTTACCTCAGAAGAATCAAGAATCTCTTAAGCTCAATAAGAGAATGACAAAAGGACATGGAAACAGAATATAACAGCTTAAATGACTTTGCAACACTTGTTCTGCATATAATTTTAGTATATAATTTTAAAATTATACTGAATTAGCACCACATCAAGTCCATGGAAATTAGACCTTGGATTTTACTGTTACATTAGCTACTTGTTCTGGTCAACTAGCACATACTTTTACTCCAAAAGCACTCTTTATTTTGACAAAAAAATTTATTTCCACAGTATTAACTCTAAGCAGTGACATTATATTACTTGCAAAGAACAAAAACTAAAAATCTGCTCACTAATTCTTACAACTAAAAATAATTTTCCATGTATGTTTCAACACACAGATCATCCAACAAAACTTTTCAGGAAAGCAGGGTACCTACTTGTGAGACTGTAGAAAAATATCTGCCATTTAATATTCTGCACAGATTACTTTCAAAAAAAGATGAGAAGAGGAAATGCCTACCTTACCATTGCTAAGTGCTGACTCACTGCCTGCAGTCTCCTGCTCTCTGGCACACACTGATTTAAACACAGAAACCTTCAAGCACACCAGCTAATCACAGCACAGCCCTGCTCATGTGACTGACACCACAGGCTGCAAAATACAATGTCCTTCAAATCACATTTCCTGCTACAGACTCCTGAATAAATCATATTTACTGTAGAAGTGCCACACATTTCAGCAAGTTTGTGCATAACGCCAATTAACAGGGACCAGCTGATACACTAGATGTCAGGATTGACACTTGGAGGGATGGAGAAAGGCTGCCTGAAAGGGCTGCCAGAAACCACATGAAGTTCAACAAAGCCTGATCAAGTAATGCAGCACCTGGGATAGAACAGTCCCTTGCAACAGTACAGGCTGGGGACCAAATGATCAGAAAGCAGTTTTGCAGAAAAAGAGCTAGGAATCCTAACAGACAATACATTCAGCATGTTCTGGGGGAAGTAAAAGCAGCTGGCCTGCATTAGGAACAGTGCAGCCAGCAGGCTGAAGGAAATGATTGCTCTCCAGCACCTGTGAGACCACAGCAAGAGCACCATGGCCAGTTTTAGGTTTCTCCATGCAAGAAAGACATTTACATGCTGGAGTGTGTTCAGCATCTTGCTATCTGGATGGTTAGGGGACTGAAGCACATAATATACAAAGACTCAAACTCTGTATTCTCAAAGTGATTCAGCTAATCTGTCAAAGTATTAGGGAACTCAAGCAGGCGAATCACCAACAGCATGAAATGTTTGATACGTGTGTTCAAAATCTAATTTATTGACAGAAGGAGATGAACATACAGTATGCTCTGCTCAGCCTATGGTGATACTGTGTAAAAAGTACACAGCAGTTCAGAAGACAGCACTACATAAGCAGTGTACATTATGTGTGTATTTCCTTTCAGAGAACATCATAAACCATGGGATTTCAAATTATTACAGTGTTCTGTGTTGCCACATGACTAAACCATGTCAGGCTGATGCTTAACAAAGTGCTGGGCAAATCCAACAGTGCCTGGAGTACTGCATCCAGTTCTGGGCTGCCCAGCACAAGAGAAATGCTGGAGAGAAACCAGCATTGGGCCACTAAGACAACTAAGGAACTGGAGAATCCAGCTCTGGATAAGCCTCCTTAGAATAAAGATGTCTGTATCTCTCTGTGCATATTGCTGAGGATACCCTTGTACCAAGTATCAAGTTATTCTTGGAGTGAGGATGTAATTATTTAATCATAAACACAACAGCATAATGTGACATGATTGCCTACTTGTGACTGCATGAATTTACTGTCAAAGTTCTCCCCTTTGTTATTAACAACTTGGATAGAAAACCGGTGTCTAATTATTATTTAAATATTTATCTCCTTTTAACATTTTCCAGATAAAAAGCCTTGCTGGTTGAACCGAGGGAAAGGCTCTGGGTTAGCAATGAGGATTTCTGAATTGAGTATTTCCTGAATCTGTCTTGTGTATCCAAAAAATAAAGATTCCTCCTTTTTGCGTCCTTTCAGGTCTGGTGCACATAAGGGGAACAAAAATATATGATTCTGTCCCTGAACAGACCGGTAAGGAGATTGGAAGTAGACAGCCAAGAAAAATCTCCCACCTTCCTGCAAAGACAGTAAAATCTGTAACTGCACCTGCTACAGTAACCTCAAAGATAAAAAAGTCAAAACTCAGTAGCCCAGCAACACAAGTTGAGGAGATATCACTTCTATTTCTAGGAACGTGGTGAGATGCATTATGAAGGCTTTATGCATCCTTAAAATTGCTGGCCACTATCAATGAGATATTCCATTTAAAATAAGTCCCACTTACTCATTCCTATGCTTACACTGGAGAACTTACGAAAAACGATTTTTTGGGAAAATATTCAATGTAAAACTCAGATATTGTTTTAAATTAAATATAATAAAGTTGAGTACATACAAATGCCTTTACCAATAAGCTGTTATAAACAGACATTAAAATAAGGAGAACTTGAATAATCCAATAAACTACATACAATCAGAGAGTAGATGTTAAGACTTACCTATAACCGATTCAACTGTGTTACCAGCAGAATAGAATGGGAGAGTTTGGGTACTGATAATAGAGACAGTTGTAGGAGATGAACTATCTGATCCAACACTGGAGGCCAGACTGGAAGTAATACTTGAAGCAAGTGGGTTAACCACTGAAAAAACACTGAGATGGTTCTGTTAAAAACAAACATGTATATATATTAGAGTATGTGTGTGTATACTTACACAGACATGTGTAAGCACATGAAGTAAACACAGTGTAATTTTAGAAATAATTATTTTAGTTCAAACAGAAAGAAATCCAGAAGGAATCTCTAAATGAACAGATTAAGATAATTTTCCTTATCATTTCCATGTGGCTGGATATTGCCACTGGATGAGGAAATTTTGCTTTCAGAGAAAAGGTATTTAAATACTTTCAAATGAGCTTTACAGTCAGTCAGTCAGCTGAAGTCTGATGACCCTTTTCAAAAGGAAAATATCTACTGAGCAATTATACCATTTCATTATACGTTTGTACACAAATTATATTTTAGATTTCTTTGTTCTGCAAAATTTCCCATTTAATCCAAATGCAACTGGTGCATAAACTCATCTTCATTTTAGACAGAGGAGAAACTAAACTGGATAGCACACACCTTTACTACTTCTTTCTAGCTGAACTCTTCTTTCACACAACTCATAAAACATCTTGAGTCAGATGGGACCCATAAAGATCACCAACTCCAACTGCTGGCACTGCAGAGCATCACTCATAATTCAAATTGTATTTCTCAGAGCACTGTCAAATGCTTCTTGAAATCCAGCAGGCTTAGCACTGTGACTGCTGCCCTGGGCAGAATGTTCCAGTGTTTGAGCACCCTCACAGTGAAGAACTTTTCTCTAATACCCAACCTGACCCTGCCCTGTCACTACTCCATGCTCTCCCCTTGGGTCCCACCACTGGTCACCAGAGAGATCAGTGCCTCTCTCTGCTCCCCTTGCAAGGAAGTTGCAGGCCACCATGAAACCTTCTCTCAGTCTCCTCTTCCCTATGCACAACAAACTAAGAGACTTCAGCTGTTCTGCACACGTCCTGCCTTTCAGACCCTTTAGTGCAAAATCACAGAATGGCTGAGGTTGGAAGGGACCTCTGAAGGTCACCTGGTCCAACCCTCTTGGTCAAGCAGAGCCACTTAAAGTAGGCAGCCCAGGGCTGTGTCCAGAGAACTTCTAAATACCTCAAAAGAAGGTGGCTCCACAGACTCTCTGGTCCAGTGCTCAGTCACTTTCACAGTAAAGAAGAGTTTCCTGATCAGATGGAACCCCCTGTGTTTCAATGTGTGCTCATTACCTGTTGTCCTGCCACTGATCGTAGATTTTCTTTAGACTGCTTTGCAAAGTGCTACAGAATTTTGACACTGCTTTAATGAATCATGCAAAAGGGCAAAATATTAGTGTTAGGCTTTTGGCAATACCTGCTTGTTGTCCTGTTCATTTTTTTTCTGCTGATTCTCAGCTGAGAAGTTTCGCTGCTTTGCCTGAAACAAGAAAAAATTATGAAATATCTGAACTTAATGAGTCACTGATAAAAATATATAACTAGCTCATGAAGGGTCAGAGGCATCTCTGTAATGACGTCTTAAAAAGAGGGTGACTTAATTTCCCTTACTGCAGTTTCATAAGGAGAGTTAAATTTTAATAATCATAGAGTATATCAACATGGAAATTGAGCACATGGAAGTTATTTCTAGCTTCAAAATTGAATAGCCATTTTAGCACTATGATATGACTGAAATAACATGTTCCAAGACCTTGCCAGCTGGTGACTATTTCTCCAAGAGGCTGCTGGGATAGAAGCCTGGGTTAGCCTGAAGTTTCAGCTGAACTGCCTATATTTTCTCTTTAAGCAATCATGCTACAAATAACAAACAAAAACATTTCAAATATAAAGGCAGATTTTAACACCATTTTATAATAAGGTAACTTCTGAAAGAAGTGAGACATACCTAAATAAAAGGGAACTGTAAGCCCTTTTTCTTTGCCACTGTGTTCTTGCAGAACAAGATCAAAAGTATTTCTGTTCTTTTCAAACCAGAAACTTTAAGTGATTTCCTGAATCGCAGTAAACTCTGCATGGTCCTCTCTGTCTCTTTAGGAAGAGTTATTTCTGCTGCCTTTGAAAAGTTCTTTGTTCTTTTTTTCCTTTGAGAGATTTCTAATCTCTCTGGTAGTGAATGTTCCCTATCACTCAGACACAACTCTCCTCCTCTTTCTATGCCTCCCATTATTCTACGTTTTCTTCTTCGTTGCAAAGTCCATCACTGCCTCCTCTCTAGGCATGGCCAATGTGGCCAGTAAAAAGTAAGTATGACTTTTTTGTGGCTGAGATGCATGTTTTGTACCAGCACATTACTCACTGACTTTCACCAAAACAGCACCAATGTTATATCGTTTCTCAGCTAATGCTGACTTACCTCCAGAAAGCAGCCATTTATTTGGTATCATTACTTCAATAACATTTGAACATGAATCATTTGATACTACATTAGGAGATGGAAATCTTACTTGTCAAAATAACCAGATCTCTAATTAACAGTCTGGCTGAACATTTACACTTAAGGAAGTGACCATGCCTGGAGAACTTCACTGTAATGATTCTGCCATCACCTACAACACTTTAGCATTTAAAAAAACAGAACTACTTTTCAACAACAACAAAAAAACCCTACCAAATCTAGCTATGTTTGGGTTTCTTCAACAGTTATCTTGATCTATTCTAGGCAACATGGGCTTAAAAATGACCACCAGATTTCCAGAAAAATTATGATTTACTGCATGCCAGCTGAGCTGCAGCAACAGCTTCAATGACTGTTCTTAGTCCTTGACACCTGCACTTTGATACAGTTTTTAGCTCACTACAAGAAAGGATTCCTGACCTTGTGTTTAATATTATTAAAAAATCACTGTAGATATAGGAGATAGAGAACATTTTCTGCTTTATCTATTTAAGACTGTATTTATGCTTCTAGATGCATATTATTCACATACCTGATCTTCTCGTTCAAAACCTGGTGCTTTAGGATAGCTGGATGTTGGTGAAGAAACACCTGAAGTGCTAGACTCAGAACACAAAACACCATTTGCTAATGATCTCTGTCTACAAAGAGGCCCAAGGGGTGACAAAGAACTACTGCTACCAGAACTTGATGTTACAGGTGGACTTGAAGAACAGGAAATCTGTAGGGGACAGAAAAGAGTGTCTAATATATTCTGTAACACTTCTTATGTTTACAACAACATTCTCCCTTCATAAGACAATACATTGAGATTATAAATTAATTTCACTCTTTTCTTAATACAGTGCTAACTTCAGCATATTTGTGTGTATTTTTGGTGTAAGCTGAAAAAAAATACCAGATGACAAAAGAATGTGTACATATATATGTGTGTGTGTGTGTATATATATATGTATATAGTATATATTTTCAAATTGATTCTAAAATAAAGATAAAAGAAAGTTCTGCAATACACCTTTCTAACTCCTGTCCCCCAGTCTTAACTGACAAAATTTCCTATTACAGAATACATTTACTACCCTTGTAATCAAAAACCTTTCTACTACAAACACACTCCACATACTGCATCACTGTAAGAAGCTTTAAGTAAAGCATGATTGGGTAAGACATCATTTCACTTATATTAATAAATTAGGACAGGAAAGAGGGGATCTTTCAAGAATGAAATTTTTCCTATAGAAAAAAAAGACAGGTGAGTTAAGCCGTCCTTTCGTTGTATATTTGATTAACAATGACACTTCTCACTGGAGCAATCAGAATAATTGGATCTTAAGACAAAAACAAGGGTAGAAAATACAGGTAATACATAATTAAGTCTGGTTTCCAGAGCAGACATTCCATTTAGGTTTTCAAATCCAGTTAAATATTACCACCTGGCATTTACTATAGCTTTGATTTTTTTTCTCTTTTGTTGAAGTACAAAGAAATAAAAAAGAGATGCTTAAGAAATAGTTATATATTGGCAGAGTGATGATCAGTGCTAGCTACTACAGTGATTTACACTTACGTTTCCAGACTGCCCACTGTTACTTGTAACACTGTTTGTGGCATTAACACTGCTGCTCCATTCATTTGTGATTCCTACGCTGTCTGTTGAGAACAGGTGAGCACCTGGTTTGACTGAAAAGTAACAACAACATCATAATTACTGGGTTGGTTTTGCTTTTTGGTTTTTTTTTTTTGTTTTTTTCCCCCCCTCTCCCCAGCCTAGAACCACTTTATTTAATAATAAAGAATGTAAAGAGAAACCTTTACTTACACTGCTTAACTTAAAAAGGAATATTAGCCTTTGAGAAAGTTTATTCTTAACTTAGATGTAAATTACAATCAATTACTTGTTAATTTTAACACCAGAAAATTCATCTCAAAATAACTGAACAATTACTTCCCAATTTCCCCAAAGGCTACTTTGTTAAACTATTAAACATCTCAGACATTCGATTATTTTAATTTAACATCTTTAGGAGATTTAGTCCTCAATTTTTACATACAAATAACGAGTTAACAAAAAATTTTTACTTTAGTAAACAATTGCATTTAATGATATTCCTCCCCTCATAATTCATGCACACAATCCTTCAAAGTAAGGGAGTCAGGACTGAGAAAAAAAAATCTCTCAAACCCTACAAATCCTACAAGATTTTTTTTTCCACCTCGTGCAACTAATGCATTTCTGAAGGGCTAACAGTAAGCTACTATTTAGAAATCAAACGTGAACATTTCTTTCCTAGGAACAGTAAGTAGCTCTGCTAGAGTTCAGGGCTATGCAAGCTATAGCCAGAAACAGGATGAGTGTGAAATAGAGATACCTCTCATCACTGGACATAGTGCAGCTGAGGACTGTTTCTAATAGTGCAGTTTTTGCTATTCTGTCTATTAACAGTAAGTGAGAGAAATACATTAAATTTGAAATGTTTGCTTCTACAACCATTCTAATTCCTTCTAACAGCAAACATCATAATTTCTGGCCAGCTCCATGGAAGTTACAAACTCTACACTGAAAGCACCTCTCCCCAGCTTAACTGTATTTCCACAGGGACCTATAGATGTGGTTGGAGTCCCACATGGTGGCCCCACTCGTGGGCATCACTGAAACTCCTGAAAATCTGTCTTGAAGGAATAGTAAAAATTCATCATGGTCTTAAGAAATCAGGAAGGAAAAAAAGAACAAACAACAGGTCAGCTGATTGTGAAGAACTCACTGAGAGAAGACCAGGAAGACTGTCATAGAAAACGCATGCTTCCCCAAGCCAGTTCAACAGAGAATGGTAGAAGCTGCTAAGAAATGTATGAGTGGTGGGAAGGATTCCACAGAAATTTATTTATTTTGAAATTTACTATAGTAGTTTCAATAGGACGACTAGTGTATTTACAAAAGTCCAACAGGTATAAATTTGGCAAGTCAAGCTCAAAGAGTTGTAGGGAGAAGCTGCATTTGTAAAGAAAACTTCCTGTTCTCCTGCTGCTGCAAATTTGATGTACATTCAGCAACTTCCCTTAACAACATAATATATTGGAAAATATGGAATGAACTTCTAAAAACAAGTGACATCGATTGCTTTAAAGGCAATTGAGGATTTTAAGTCACTTCTGTTGTAGGTGCTTAGAAATAACACTGATAGAAAACAATAATTCTCTTACTTACTTTCACCATGTGCAAATGCACAAAATGGGCCACGAGGGCAGTAACCTGTCTGGCGCATATCATTGCACTTTGTAGATTTGTATATCTAAACAAAACAGAAGTGTGATTAACTGAAGCATATTTCCTACTGAGCAATCAAACAGAAAATTTTAAAACCTTTAAATGAAAAGTTCTTAATATTTAATAGTAATACATTTAATATAGTTTTCTCAGAAAACTCACTTCTTGCCTTTTTAAAATCAAATAGAAAAGCAGAACAGTAAGAAAATTAAACCTCAAACAAGAGAATCCTAACCTCATTTTGTGTAATAATAAATATTAATAGTATTTTAGAAAGTGTTGCTTAAATTGCTTTTGTTTTCCATGTTATAGAAACAACAGTCGAAGTCATTTACACCACTGTAAGAAATTTTACAGGAGAAATAATGTATATACTAGAATGTCTTAAGAAAAAAAGCAAAACAATCTGCTTTTTTTCCTACACACTGCCTGCATTGCTACACCTCTCATATTCAAATCTCATTAACATTCAAATATCTTTCTCTAACCTGACTGAAACATGTGAGAACTGAAGGAACACTGACAGTTCAGGGCAGTAATCATGATGTAAGTTGCACATAAAATCCAGGTGCAGTTTCCTGGCTCTAACAGGATCTCCTGTCTTTGTATTTCACATGGCTTAGACAAAGCTGACATAGAACAATGTTTATATCAGAACGACATTAACCTATTTGAAAGCACACAGATTCTTCTGATAATTAATTCCAGGAATTTGCAGATCTGTGGCAAATGGCAGTGGTTCCCCAAGCTTTGGCAACAGAAATACAGAAATAATTTATGTTTCCTTAACCACTGAATAGGAGACAAAACACCTGTAGTACAGAGAAGCATTCACCCGAAGAACACACTTCACAAACAGAGCAGTGGGACTCATCTTCCTACCAGTTTCACTGGAGATATCAAAGCACTGCAGAACATGAAGGAGTAATTTGTGGACACCATACCCAAATTAGGAAATGAAGCTGGATCCTTCTCTTACCTGTTCTCTGATTATTGCTGAATATAAAATCCCAACTTTTATGTTATCTTATGTTTATTATGCAGAAAGAAAAAGTAGTACTACCAGATGGTTTCAACAAAAGCAGTAGCTAGAAATTGAGTCTTGATTTGTGGTCCTAATCACAAAATCATTCCTAGTCCTATGAGATACCCAGGTAGTGAGAAATGCCTACTGATAAATACTACTATCATAATCATATCATCATATCATAATCATATCAGTAGGCATTATGATAGTATGATAAATACTACTATCATAAGAAGTGACAATATAGATAAAATCAGAAGGCTCTAGGGGCCAGAGCTGGCACTGATTCTGGAGATGGCCACATCATCCACATGTACCAATGTTACAAGAACTGCTATTTAGCAGTGGTGGAATAAAGCTATTCCTAAATATGATAACCATGAGATTTCTTCAAAAAACAGTCACTGAGCCAAACGGCAATGAGAATGTTCTTCATCTGAATCTGGTGAAGTGTGAGGACATAAAGTCCAATATAAAAAGATAAAGCTGGATAAAGTGACTATGAATTGGACTTAAAGGACACAGAAAAGTAAGGCTGAATTAATGGCCTTGATTTCAAATCAGTAGGATGAGAAATGAAGGCAAATGGTAACCACCATCAAACTGACTAAATTTCATTGCAAACAGAGTAAAACGAGCACTTCACATCCTCTAGTCAGAGGCTCAAAAGCTGTGTGGATTTTCCATTCTAACCACACAGCTACAGCCAGAGCTGGAGCAAAGGGAAATGATTACAGAGTACAATGTTGAATAAAATCCCCTTTGAGCAGAAGCATGTTGCTAGTTTCTGAGAAATTAAATGCTACAGCTAAAACTAAGTGAGATGACAACCCTATAACCATGAAGCTGTCTCGTGTACCAGCAGGAATTATGTCCAACACTTCAACAAAGGCAGTGCAGCTAATGGAAATAAAGATGGACAAAAGACTGCGGTGATCCAGCTGATGTGGGAGCAAACTAAAACTACCTTTGGTTCAGGGCCAGGAAATGAATTAGGCAACTGTTAAGTGAGAGGTTTTAAAGAATTGCCATATAAAACAGCTGCACTTGGCACATACTTTTAGTAAAACTGTCATGTCAAAAGCACTACATATGGCTGAGGTATATTAGCTATAGCACCCATTAAGTTTGAGAAGAGAAAAAACAGCTGATTGAGACCACTGTGAGTCCACCAATTATTCTGTCATAACTTAATTAAGGACTGAAAGAAATGGAATAAAATTAAAAGTACCTTTGGCAAAGGCCTATTGTGGTAGACTCATTACAGAACTTTGATAAATCAAAGATTCTTCTCTAAAATGAAAAAGTGGTCATTCTAATAAGACATCAATAAATTATGTGGAAATAATAATCAATTCAGATAATGAAGATTATGACTATAACCAATGTAACGTATCTGCTGTTAAAGAAATGGGTAGATTACAATGGATGGTAATAAAAAGGAAGGCAGCAGACAAAATTGGCATCACACCTCAAGCCTCAGCCCTCTGACTTATTTTAGTATTTTCATTAATAACTTTGTCATTAACTAAAGTATGATAGTTATACTAAGCAGGAAGACACTGTTATTACAGAAAAGGGCTGGAATAAAACATGGAAGAAATTTGGTAATCTGGAGTAAATCCATACAGTAACATCTCTAGTAATCAATAAGGACAGAGAAATTCTGGAGCTGCATCTCGGGATTGGAGATAGTAAACACCTACTTAATATAAAGATGCAGATGGTCAACCTGATAGGGGACGTGATAAGGAGGAGTTTGAAAAAACCTTGAAGTCAGTATTCTAGGAGTTTCTTTCAGAGTGGCATGCTCTTGAGATTACTTCAATCATCTTCATAATTGGAAGAGAAAACAGCAATTACTTGAGTGGTCTTTGTTTGTAACTTACTAAGCTTTTAACTTCCTAATGCAACCAATTTCTGCTGTGAATTCTTTATGCCCATTCAGAGGTCCCAAATCCCAGACAAATATCAAGTACTGTACAGGTAGCTTCTTACATAACATGTCTTTTCAGTATCATGTTTTTTTCCTCCATTAACTGGAAAATTTAATACTTTCCTAGTGCTGCAATACATTTAAATCTCAGCAGAAAACATGGCACTGCTCTCTTCCCCAGCACTTTATTTTTACACTCAAATATCCAGCAAATGAGTGTTACAATGAGTGTACCTATAGAGGAATGTAAGTTCACATTCTTTTTCTGGAATGTCTTCCTTCAGCCAGCAGGAAGAGTCACTGATCTTTCCACTTTCTCTGACACATTCATATTCTTGCAATTATTTGCAATACAGCTTTGAGCAATGCTCAAAATTGTAATTTGTCCCAACATATCAGACAAAAAGTTAGGTAAAATTTATACCCAAATCTTATATGTAGGCAATCAACATGAAAAAAAGAGTTTTCAGAAGTCATGTGAAAAGTCAATCCAGTTGCTAGATAAAAAGCATCCAATGCTGCAAGGAATATTAATCCATTTTTTATAAGTAGTATAATAAAAATGCCTAGCAGTGAAAACCACAGCAGTAAAATAAATATTCTCAGCAAATTTTGCTTAAATCAATAATTCAACTACTGGAAGAGTTGCATGACTTTTCTCTCCAAATGTTACGTATTGTTCACATGTATCACCTTTAACAGATACTTGAGTACACAGTAAATTTAAAATCACTAAAAGTAAGAAGAAGCTCATTTCTTACCTCGGGATGAAACTGCTGCTCTGTACGAGAATGACAGTATTGACAGCTATCCCCACTTTCACACCTTGAAGGTTCACCCCATTCATCTGCATGTTTTACACTGGGGCAAGGAGTAGACCTAGAAACAAATGATGCCCAGAGCATGTTTCTATCTAATTCCTAGCAGAAGTCTCAAACAATTTCCTATTAAATCTGAGGAGCTTTGCTTCTGGGACCTGTAAAGTTGTAAATTCTAGGAGAAAACTAGCCTTTTGTCTCTGACAGAAGGAGGAACAAGAAGGATTCCAGCTTTCTTCTGTCTGGTGACATTTATGGACAGCCCTGAGACTGTCAAGTAAAACCCATCAATTCTAAAGCCTATAGCACAGCATGATGAAACACCAAATAAATGAAGAAACCAATGTTTCAGAATGACAGACTCTCTCTAAAACTAAGCAAAGAGATGCATTAAAGTTTGGTCCTAAAAGTACTGCTCAGAAAAAGAAAATCTGAGGAGTGAAAACAGAAGAAAGCCAGAAATTATAATTGTTTTTTTCCCCAACAAAGAAGGTATCACGTGGTGATTCTTGATTTTCACTAAAAATTATAATTTTCATTCTTCACAGGAAAAAAAACAGAACATTTTTTATTACCATTTCATGTTTTTATTCTTCAGAAGTGACTGATCATTCTGAACAGGTGATTTTTTTTCCACAATAAATAAATAAACAAACAGTAAAGCCACTGGGAAAGAGATGTTTTTATTCCATTGGGAATACCCATAGCATAAGAGCCCAAACAAACTAATCCATTAACAGCTGTCCCGACTGACCAAAAAGTGTATCCCAAATATTTATGTACCTGTATTTGAATGTTCTGGGATTCCGTCTCCTATCGCGACTGTTGTGATAGTGAGGACACGCGTAGCCCTGGCGGCAGAGCCTGGGTGGCTTTGTGCATTGCTCTGTCTTGTAGCCAGCTAGTACAAAATTTGTGTCTGTAAACAGGTCAAAAATTCAGAGAAATAAGCAACTAGATTTTGTATTTCAAGTGCCTTGAGTTGGCTTAGGAATCATGCTGTTTTGTAAAAAAAATAATGTTATGAGTCACAGACTCATCCATCCTTATAAACCTGGATACTTTCATGCAAAGAAATCTTCATCACATTTATATTCTATAGCAAATTGAATATAATAAAGTACACAAATACAGAACTATCAACCTTGGTAGAGAAACTGTCCAGAAATTCTCATTACATCTATTCAACATTTTGAAAATGAAAACCTTAAGCAATACTACTCATTTTAGTAAGACAAACACTGAAACCATTTCAAGTTTTATATCTACTTGATATACTTTTATATCTTTTCTTGAGTTTAGTGCTGACACTCCTTATTTCACCAGTACTTCTTTCATGATAAGGCATACTGGCTAGCTACTAAAATCTTCGTGGACAAATTCTAAGCCTCTTCTAGACTCCTGCCTCTTTATCTACATCTGGTGCCAGTAAGGAGGAATTAGGATGTGAAAAAGAAGGTTCTGTCTAGAAACAGAAAAAGACAGAAAAAAATGGAGCAAGCAAATAAATTAGTAGGTAAAATTTGGCTAACTGTCAGCATGGAACAGTGAATTACACCAAACCAATCTAATTCCTTCCTAAGGTAGGAAAATGGTTTCAGGTATAACTGAAGCAATCACTATCATGTATTTTGTCTTCAGCAAACCTTTCAGTCTGAGACGTTCACAAAAACAAATGCAACAAAATTCCTACAAAATTTGTGGAAAACAAGCTGAAAAAGCATTCTCAAAGAGTCACTAATGGTGTACTCTAAAATAGCAAGGCTTACTGATCAGAGTGTCACACAGAGTCTACATTTCCTTCAGCCCTCTTCAATAGTTTAATTTAAAACTGAGGAAAACAAAGCTGAAATCACCAGCTGGATGATTATTTTCAGTCTCTAGCAATTATATGCAATCCCACCACATTTAGTAGGATGTAAAGAAGTCACACAGTATTATATAACATAACACTGCAGCAATGCAAAGAACCCAATAAAAATGCTTGTAGTTGGTTAATTTTTCTGTATTTTCTTTATTTTTTACTTTCCTATACAAAAATATTCCAGTATTTTTCATCTAGAGCTGGCAACAACAGACTATATATTTTAGTACTTAAATGACTGGAATTCATCCTCTATCAGAATAAAAAATATATATACAGCAGGGACAAATATCACTAAATTATCTTCCTTGTATTCTTTAGAGACAGTATCTCCATGTCACCTCTTCCTATGTTACTCTCCATGCAGGAAATTTTGAAAGTAATTGTATCCTGCAATCTTTCCTAGAGTAACATTTGGACCAGAGCTCTAATAACAGGCACCTGATACTAACATCTTTGGCAGTGTAAGAAGCAAGTGAAAACCAAACTTGAAAGTCTTAAGAAAACCAAAACAATTGGTTTTAAGCAATCTCATGTGATGCTTTCAAGGCACTCACATCTGAATATTCTTCTCCAATTTTCTATTTAACATTTTACTTCATTCCTGTTAGTCAATCTCAGCAAAGAACAAAGGTTTGTTAACTATTCAATTAATGACTTAAAAAACGAAGACACTGATCATTATTACTACTTAGCACAAGATGGAGCTCCTACTGACTTGTATGAATAGCTTCCCAATTGATAAAGATTAGCAGTACTTGTATTAACTGAGACATATTAAACGTTTTCAAAACATTTTCAATTTACAATCTCAATATAAATGTGACAGACTACACAAAACTGTTCACAAATATCTATATTACTTATAGAAACCATTTTTTTACTCTATTACAAAAAAGATTACTGAATATCTCCCAAGTTTAGACCACGGATCAACAAATTGGATCAAACATCATCAAAGAAAGGAGAAAGGAGACAGGGTAACATTACCCTGCCATCTTGGATCTTCACTAAGGATCTTCTCAATCATTGCTTGACTTGCTAAATTCCCTGGTTGCAGATCTGGAATGCCTTCACCACATCCTAGCTGCCCATTCTGTAAAGTTTCCTGTGCCTGAAGTTCTCTGGAATGGGGAAAGAAAATAACACTGCAAAACTGAATAGCTACAGTAACCCTATCTGTCCTACAAAATATCTTGTCCTATTCTATCAAAAAATTATCATTGAATCTAGATTCTAACAAATCTAAATTGGAATAAAAAAGCAAGCAGACAGTCATAAGGAATAACTATGTCAGACTAATCAAAGAGAACATGTGAAGGAATGCTGGCATCACATATAGAGCCAATGTTTGCACCAGCAGTGTATCTCAGTGTGCTGATATGCTGACATTCTGTACATGTTATTCATTGCTAATATTCTACTGCCACGTACAACACGGTAGAAGTAACAGAAGTTACAGAAGGTACGTTCAGCTCACTGTACCATTTTGCAAGAGAAGCATACCAGGACAACTGTGAAATCTAATAGCAAATTATAATCATTGAGTAGAGCATCTCTTCTGCAAATATTTATAACTTTTTTTCAAGTAAGCAATGCAAGCTTGGTGAACAATCAGAATGATCACTACCTAACTAAAACTTGTTGTATTAGTGCTAAGAAGCCTCTATCAAAAACCCAAGACAATTTTATGACACCTGTTTTACAAAATCATACTGCAGTTTCAGCAATGACAAATTAGTTACGTGGATTTAAAAAAAAAAAAAAAGATAGAGATAATATAGCATAACTGTATTAGGCAGACTTTGAAGCAATGTTGATACAAGATAAAGAACCAGTCACCAGAGGTGGTTCTACAATAGTCAGTCTTCATGAGAATCAAAAGCCCCTACTGCTTTATCTAGGCACAGACAGTCCAGGAGCTTATCTGCTATTCCAAAATACTCCAAGAATCTCTGAAGAGGAACTCAATAGCTGACAATGGAAATAGTTATACAATTCACATATCATTTCAAGAACTTCCCTGCTCTGTTGTATCTCCCAAGAAAAAGAAAAATCTCTAAGAGGATGGGAAAACATGACTAACTCAATGACAAGACAGGAACCTTTTAAGCTATCAAAATAAATCTTTTACAGAGTCAAGGAATGTGCAGAAAGGAAAACAGATATTGTTCCCAATGAATGCTTTTTCTTAAAGGTGGAGGTGAGAAGAACAAGACTCTTAGGTGAAATAAAATTAATACCTACGTTAATGATTCTACTACAACTTTTTCACTCTGCTTACAATGAAAACCCCCTAGTATTGCTGGACATAGTAGAGCAAAACTATCACTAAACATTGTTTGGACTTCCTTTATGAATGCTAGATATTTGAAATCAGGAGATGCAATGGCACATGACCATTTCTCACAAACAACAAAGCTTAATTTAGGTTCAAGCTGTTAAAATATAGACTCCTATTATGAGCATCTTCAGCTCTGTATGCAGCCAGAACATGCTTATCGTCCTGTTTAGGCCACAATCAAAACTCATTTGTGCCACTACCATGACTCACCAAGTACCTTCTTTTGACAGTAATTTGCTCATACGTTAGAGAGGTAGAAAATAATACTGCTATTATATACATGAAAAAAAAAAACAAACAAACAATGGCAGAAAGCAAAATGTCAAAAATAAGTTTCAGAACCCGAAAAATGGCATAAATTTATAAATGTAAAAATCACATACAAATTTACAAGGCATACAAAGGATAGAATAACTGGTCTTTCATTAGTCCTAAGAATTACATATACGACTCTTCAAACAGCAAGTTACGAAATGTTAGTGTATTTCCTAGCATGCTTACATGTGCTATCTTGATGCACAGTAAAATGCATTCTTATGTTCTGTAGTTACAGATGAAATCATGTTTTTCATGCGAAGCACGCTACATTTTCTGGTGTGTAGTTGTAACAGACATGGCATTTCCTGCTTAACAGGTTGCAGAATTTGAAATACAGACTACCTGATGTCATATACTGGAGGTCTAAGGTCATGTGGCCCATGAGCAAAGGCACAGTGAATCCCATTCTTCACGCAGTGACCCCGGGCATCTGTTTCATGAATGCATGTTCCAGTCTTGTAATATCTGAGATGGTATTTTCTTTCTGTATCTCCTGTTGTTCGATGTAGGTAAGGGCAACTATATCATAGAAAAAGGAAAGTTTAAACTTTGCTTTATTTTTAAACATTCAACTCTGAATTCTGCTCTCTCTCATTAACTCGTAACAAACAACTTTGCAGGATTCACAAACAAATCTGACAGATCAGCTTAAAAATAAAAAGTGTTAATCTACTTCATAGTCTCTACTAAAATTACAAGAGTCTATACTAGGCTAGCTTACAAAGATATTCTTAATAAATACAGCAAACACCCATGTAAGAAAGCAACACCTGAACTGAGAAATGTCCATTGTCCACATTGATACAACCTTAAGGCATTTCCTCACTGCAAGAAAATTGTTTACTGTTTTGTTGTTTTTTTTTTAAATGCTACAGTTATCTACAATCAAGGGGTATTTGAGATACCATGATGTTTTGTTCTGCCTGATCCTTATAGGCACAGAACCTCTTGAACAGCCTGAAAGCAAACTTAAATTGACTTCTCTACAAAAAGTAAGAGAAAAATTCCTGTATCAGCAATAAATCTTTGTAGGTATACTAACCATTTTCAAGACACAACTCTGTGAGGCCTGGTCTGTACTCTAAGTCATTAACATCACATATGGATTATAATTCTATCAGCTGTAAACAAATGGGAAAAAAATGCATATGCAGATGTGTCTGTTCTCCCCAAGTTTACTTCACTGTAATTAATTTTGGTCATGTTAGGTTTGAAAAAATACTTCTCTCCTAAAATTACTTTCTCCCATCCTAAAGTAAAAAGAAACTGCATCAAAGAACCTGGGGTGTGGTACAGAACAACAAATGGAAAACCCCACAGAAATATGTTCTTGTAGACAGAGGGAGAATGATGAAGTACTAAGCAGAGTTTAGCATTCATAAGATCTGATGTTGGCCTAAGCTTTGCTTACCATGTTCTAAGAAGATTATTTAGAAAACAGATTAAGCAATTTACTTGCAAAAACTTACAAGCTACTTACATATTAAAATCAAAATGCTAAATTTTTCCTATACTGCTAAGATACCTGTAGCTTGAACTGATTTCCAAGAATTGATGCTTCTTACAATTTCTAAGATGTAAATTTCTTTCTTTTAGAAATTTTAAAACACTCAATCAAGATAAATGGTGTATGGGAACTTCTAAGTCACAGCCTGAACCACGGATTGAGCATCTGGAAGAAGAGACCCAGTCAGCCCTGGGAGCACAGGTGGAAGCAATTCAACCTGTGCAAGTGGAAGACCTTAGGCCTCACTTAAGGGCTGACTGCCCCCAAAGAAGGATCTCTAGCTGGAGATCCCTCCTTTGTGCAGTTTTTCTGTGAGCCTAGGTCTTTAGAGACAGGAGAGCATTCCTCTTTTTGTGACATCTTCTCAATGCACTGGTCCTGCTGCTGTTACAAATGGGTTGCAGCCAGTGAGTTTACTTACACCTCTTTAAATCCCAACAGAATTAATTAGTGAGTATACCAAATTCAGTGCTACATCTCATTCTTTCAAAAGACAAAACACAACCAGCAATCAAGATCTGGAAGTAGTTCATTCACACTTCCTGGTTCTGTGTGAAAAGACAGACGGGATGCAATTTTTGTTGGAGGCATTTTGGTGACTCAGCTGAACTTCTTAAGAAATGCTTTGTGATGTATGATCAGCACTGTGCAACCTTCCTGTTCTGCTAGAATTGCTACTGATACAGAAAAATGAGAAACCCGTTAGGGCTGGCAGAAGTCTTGCACTGAACCTGAAACAAATGAAATTGCAATCTTATGTTGACTACTGCTAGCTGTGCCACCACTAGCAGAATTTGTGCAGGAATTAAGTGGGAAAACATACTAGCAGATTGTTCATTACAAATTACAACATATGCACACCACATAGGTGAGAATATTGTCTCAATCTTATGCTTATTGCTCACTCCTCCGTTTTCATCTGTTTAATTTTGCTGGTTCCTGATGAAAACAAGAATTAAATGTCTCCCAGCCCAAAGTGTACAGGTTCCCAACTCACTGCTCATCTCTGTGTCAACGCCCCCTTAGTGGATGGCAAGTATTTTTGCTTAGATATCTGGGCTTTTTCCTAGAGAAATTACCAATCAGAAAATGTCTCATAAAATGTTAAAGCCTCCAATTACATTCAAATGACTACTTAAAAAGAGAGAATTACGGAATTCAGATATTTTGTCAAACAAAACACAGCTCCTTGCATGCACAGTGAGAGGGAGAAATACTCAGGTCACAATTTTTCCCACGTAAAGGCAAAACAGATTCCAAAAACAAGCTGATAAAGAAATATGAGCTGTCTCTCAAGAGTCTTATGTTTTCTTTGGCCTAAGACTCAATATTTATGCCATCTACAACTACAGCAAAAGATTGCATGAGCTTTCATCTCACTTCTCAGCTCTTGAAGCATCCCCTTATTTGCTTCTACCAGTGCAATCTTGCTCAGCTAACATTCTTTTGAAAGACTGCTTTCTTTTTCTTCCTTTAGTACCACCACTATCTATCATTTGCTAAAGAAAATTTTTGTCCCCAATCAACAAAATGACATGAGCATCCATTATCCTCTTGTTGATATTCGAACAAGAACTGCTCATGTTCACGGATGCTTTACAAACACCTGAAGAGGTACCTAACTGTTCTCTTTTAAATCATCCCCAAAGATATTTTTTGCTTTTTATTTTGCTTGGGCACAGTTCTAAATATTGCCATGCTGCCTACTACTTCTTTGCTGTTTACCTTCACTTGTCACCTGTTTTTTACTTTGTAATTCCTGGGGGAAAATTCCACCTTTTTTTCTTCTGTGACTACAGATTAGAACACAAAAAATATCTGATCCGTGATGAGAGCTGCTAAACACTGCAATAACCAAAATAACCATCTTCACATTTTAAAACACGTGAGCAGCATAACAACATATTTCCTGTCTGTTTTTCTTTTTTTTTGTTTTTTGTTTTTTCCTGTCAGAAGTCTTTCCTTGCTTCCATCACTGCAGATGAAGCTTATTCTTCTATGTTATACAACCACAATATACCAAGCTCTTCTATACATGCCTGCCAGCCATACCGTACTATTTGCTCAGTCTTATCTCCACAAAGCTTCACTCCCTCCCCATGACTCCTGTGGCCTTTACCCAGAAGAGACATGTGTCCATGGAAAAGCAAACCCTAATGGTCTGCTCAGGTAAATATGAACGCCTTCACAGAATCACCGAATGGCCTGGGTTGAAAAGGACCACAATGATCATTGAGTTTCAACCCCCCTGCTATGTGCAGGGTTGCCAACCAGCAGACCAGGTTGCCCAGAGCCACATCCAGCATGGCCTTCAATGCCTCCAGGGATGGGGCATCCACAGCCTCCTTGAGCAACCTGTTCCAGTGTGTCACCATCCTCTGTGTGAAAAACTTCCTTCTTCCCTCTCTGCAGAGCCATCACAAAACAGTCCTTCTCCTTTACAGCCCGTCAGCCCTTACACAATGCAGTTTGCACATACAATTTCAAAACTGTCAGGAGAAAAACACAACTGCCAAAAAATGTGTTGGGACAACAGGAACACTACCAGGAGAAACTAAACTTCTTACATTCTGCTTTCAAAACGGTTACAGAACAATAAGATAGCTCTAACTCCATGACAGCCTAAAGGACACGTGCTTACATAAAAGCGTGCATGCCAAAAACTCACAAATCACTCACAAAAAGTTATCTCAATCAAACTGCAGGATCCTATCAATCATTTTCACTAAGAAAAAGTTAACATCTTTCCGTAAAGCCATTAATACTATAAACACCCAGGGACTGAAAGAAATCACTTACTCATCTCCATCTGGGCAGATTCCTGTAGTCTCATCATATTTTGTACAATAAACATCGGGACTGTAGTTAAAAGTTCCATCACGCCTTCGTATAGGTCTACGACGACGCTGATTTAGGAAATGCCAATGAAAACAGGTAAATGGTCTGTGCTGGGTACACTTGTGCTGCAAAAATAGAGGGCACTGCTCTGTCCTAAATTCCTTTAGATACCTAAAAAAATTAAACTGTGTTACAAGTTTATCTTATCGGAGGCACATCTTTACAGTACTAACAGGGCACTGGACAATTCAGTGCATTTAGCCCGTAAATATTTTACAAATGTACCTGCACACTGTTTTAGCTCCTATGTGTAATTAACCATTTAACAGCTGAATGAATACTTCTGAATGAGAGATTTCATTTCTGATGACAGATGTGTTACAAATAAAATACAGCAGAATGTCTGGCACATTATTCTACATCATGTAATTGAGCTAAAAATCAGATAAATAAATTTTAAAAAACACAGCATTCAGAATTTTGCCCTAAGTAACCACTACACAGAGATTATAAATCCATCAAGGTACCTGAATAAGCATTCATATGGCTTGCTGTCACACAACAATAAAGGCTATTTTAGCTAAAAAGCACTCCTAGCTTAAGCAAGCACTTAATCACAATAATCCCCAGAACGTGGGCACTCTATACAGAAAGCTAGAGGATTGAAAGTAGTTTAAGAAGGTTAGCAGGGGCCGTGAGAGGGACTTCAGCAAACTTATTTTAGGGAGTGTTAGGTTTGCATTGAGACAATTGAAATGTCTCTTTGAAGGTTATTTAGGAGTAGAATCATAGAATTGAGTTGAAAGAGATCCTAACAGGTCATCTTGTCCAACTCTCCCCCAATGAACAGGGACATCTACAGCTGGATCAGGTTGACAGAATCACAGAATCAAAGCAAGTAGGACAGTCCTTCATGGGCACCTCGAGCACAAAAGCTATTTAGAGAGTTTGAGCCTTTTCATTGCATATCACGATCACACCAGACCGGGCATTACTGTATTATTTGTCAAAGGATGTAAGACAGCACTCCTTCCCATCTCAGTTTATATATCCATCGGCCAGTTGAACAAATGCATTACATCTCTAAGGTTACAGAGTACTTGCATTGGAAGGAGTACTCGGGGACTTCACAGAACCTCACATTTCCCAGAGGTCTCAAGAAGGGTGCAGCACGTCTAGCAGGTACAGGGGACTGAAGGCATCGGGCAGGGAAAGGGCTGGAGAGAATAAAGGGCATCGCTAAGCTCTCAGCCGCTCAGATAGCACGGAGGACGTAACGGCACAGAGTTACAAGGTGCGTCTTTCAGTCCTGAGTACTTTAAACTGATCTGGACTGCAGGAAAAGAACGGGAACAGAACTTTTAGATGTCCGAAGCCGGGCTGTACAGCAGGACCCAGCCTGCGAGCGCCGGGAACGGGACGCGGCGACACTCAGCGCTACGTCAGGCGGCGTCCGCGGGCAGCGCGGGTCCAACGCGAGCGGGGCGCCAACACCGCCAGCCCGGCATCCCGCGCCTCCAGCCGGCCTGCGCGCAGCCGGGCCTCCTCCCCACCGCCGGGAGAGAAGCGGAGCGCGGCCCGCACTTCCAGCCCCGCCGGCGGAGCAGGAGGCCGCGCGTACCAGGCCTGGCGCTCGGCCGGGCCCTCCGCCTCGGAGCGCGGAGCCCTCCCCGCGCAGCGCCGGGCTCGGCGAAGCAGGCCGCCTCTAGAACGCGGTACCTACGTATAATGCGTCGGCTGCTCGGTCTGCGGGGTCCCGCCAGACCCTCCGCCCCGCGACACCGCTTTCGAAACGGACGGCATCGTCCCCAGCGGCCGGCAGGGCGCATGCGCGGCCCGCCCCGCTCCTCCCCTCCTCCGCCCCGTCCCGCCCTGTCAGCGGTGCGCGCGCATCCGCAGCGGCGCGGAGCTCCTGGCAGCGGCGGCGCGGCTCCTCCAGCTGGCGGGCGGCGTTCTTCACTTCCCGAACAGCTTCGCAGGGAACCTTGAAGTCACCTACCGCACCGCACGCGCAAAAACAGAACGCTTTATTGCCTTTGAGAAAGCAGGGCTAGCTAGCCCTCTGCCCTGTTTCTGGGTGTTACCCCTGCTGCCGTGCTGTGGGGGTTTGTTCGATTTTTAATGAAGGACTTCAGTCGCACAGTTTTGCATCTTTACAGAGGAAAGCCTAAAAAAAATAAAAATACACCTAACTTGAAAGAGAACTTTGTCACACCAGTGTGCTTCCCTGCCTCTCCCAGGCAAGCCTCTGGAATATCTGCAGATGTAGATAAAAATTAGATACTAAGCTGTCTGAAATTAGGAGCTCCCTCCTCCCTCTCATGCAGGTCAATCGCTTACAGTTCCTGCAAAATTCCCACCTAAGCACTGGCCATTGAAGTCAGGCATGTCAAACACGTTACACTGCAGAAAACTAACTGTGCATTAAGTTAATCCTACATTATTTGGTAGAATTACAAAGCAATCTGAACATTAAGCCATCATACATTAATACAGGTGTCCTCGATATTATGTGAATGCACTCCACAATAGCACAGTGCCAGCTGAAGGTCACCTTCAGCAACCAAACTGCAGACATACAGCTTCGGTATTTTAATATCCTGTGCAACCAAGAAAAAAAAAACATCCATGGGAAAAACCGAGTTGAACACAACATATCTACAAATACACGCAGGTTTGCAATACATCCTGTCCATCCCTGCCACGCAATGCAGAAAGGGAATATTCCTTCTGCTATCGCTGTAAGTTGCTAAGTAAAGACAAACAAAAAGCAGCAAGATAAATAAATCCTGTTTGCAAGATAAGGCTGGTGGTAGGATGGAAAAACATTTTCCAAATCAAGTGTGAGAGCAGCCTTTAAGCAGCTGAACTTTTGGCAGCTCCTTCACCACAGGTGCGCTCATCATCTCTCCTCCTGTATCTGCGAAGGAGCATCGCTTTGTTGTGCCGCATCTAACGGGTCCACGATCTGACCAGATAACAGGACTTCCAGTCGCTCGTCAATCTCCGTTCTTTCCCTAAACGCACACCACAGCAACAGCCCGCTGCACAGCAGGCTGAGGGGCAGCACCTTCACCCACGGCCTCTGGTGGTCACTCCCCATAGACCGGCTGACGCTCCACACCCGCGGGCTGGCCTTGCTGGCAGAGAAGGGGATGGGTCCCTCGCTCTCTGGATCCTCTCTAGCTGCGTCCTCGGTGCCACGCCGCCCCGCCAGCCACCTCCGGGAGCCGGGCAGGAGCAAGGTGCACCGCGCCCTGCAAAGACACGCGAGTCAGAGGTGCGGGACTGTCGGCTCCCGGGTCCGTGCGTCCAGCCCGCCGCCTCACCGCCAGCCGCCCCGCGCCCAGCTCATCCCTCCGCTCTCCTCCCCGCGCCGCCCGGAAGCGGAAGTGCGACCTCAGCGCTGCACGCGGTGAGCATGCGCGAGCCGGCCGCAGGGGGGCGCTCGAGCGTCGCTGAGATGCGGCTGCCGGAGGCGGGCAGAGCGGGGGGGGCAGCCGTGGGGGGAGCGCTGCGTGCTGCGTTTCCACACGTTGTGGGAGAACAGTCCGTTTTATTCCGTTACAGAGAACTGCCGCGTATTCACACAACTACTCTTCTGTAACAATCGAGTATTTTCAGCGCAGCTCTCCAGCTCCTCAGCAGCAGTCACCTTCTGCACAGATCACATCAGCCTCTGAGCGGAGCTGGATGCACTCTGTGCATTATTTATTCATTCATTTTGCTAAAGTCTGATAAGAAACCTCTTGGTTTAGCATACAGATGAAATAATGCGTTCTGAATACTGCCCAATACCTTTTGCACAACACCTCAGAGCAGTGCTCTGGGGCTGTTCTGTATTTACACTGCCTCCTAGCACGCTTGATTAAAGAAAATAACAAAGCTGAGAACGGAGATCAATCCGTAAGCTTGGCTCCACAGCAGCCTCAAATTGCTCTATCAGTGTTTTCCGAAACTCGCCGGCTGGTGTCAGTAGATGGCACTGACATTCCACTGTTCCCTTTGCTTTAGAGCAGAAATTGAGGAAGTCAAGAAGATCCACAAGAGTCAAATCATCGTAGTGTCATGGTACACATTCAACTCGCTTGACATTCCGTATCAAATTGCTGTTTACCACACAGGTTCCTTCACACAGCGTCACTCCGAATCCCCGCATCACCATGCAGATGTTCAGCATTCGTTGACCCGTTAAGCACAGTTGTCTCTGCAGTCACCCATTTGTGATTTACATGTTCAACACTGGTGTTTTCAGCTGTGACATTTAGTTAAAGACAGAAGTTATTTCCACATTCAAACACAAATATTCTTGTCACAGAATTCATTGAACAGTTTTGAAATAAGACAGCTTGAGTAAGCCACGAGTTCTTTTGATTAGAGTTCTAATCTGCAATAATTAAATGAGCTACCACACAGGCTGCACATACTGCATGAGTTAAACAGCTAAAACATGTGAGTAACACATTTTACAAAGATTTTCCTAGAAGAAAAAGTCTACAAGTTAAAAGAAACTTCCTCAAAACAGGAAGAAGTTAGCTATGTCACTCAAAAGCTTGCTGGTTTCTTGAGGTGCCAATTCTGAGCATGCAAGCTATACATATATTCAGGGAAATTAATTACTCCTCAGACAAACAGCTCATGTAATAATGAGCATGATGGATTAGGAGGAATGGAGGAAAAAAGAGTCTGAAATTAATCCAGATAAACTTTGCTACTTCATAGCCAGCATCCAACAGTCGTTCTTTCTCAGATAAGTGTCTCATACAGTTCTAACAGAAATCAAACAGAGGAAAAGAGGCAACTAAGGAAGAATGAAAGCAATTCAAACAGATACAGAGAACATTTCCAGAGCTCCTGAAGAAGCCCTTGTGGCTGACTACCCATAAAGCAAGGTTATATAAAATATGCTTATGAGCTATGGGTGCTTTAACACAGATTTTCTTTGGCATATTAAGTATTAGAAACTAACTTTAATTATGATAACTTTAATTATGATAATTTTTTTTTCTTCAACAAAGCTCAAATGTCAAGTAATCAAGAAACTTCCTGGGAGCAAAAGAAGTCTCCTGTGTGCAGAGATCGAGACCTAGGCATGCTTTAAAACCTATCTGTTGACAGAGACCTGCATGTATGATTACTTAATCCATGTACCCAAAACCAATATATATAATATATTTATAATATATCTAATAGCATACTCATTCTAAATAGAAAATAGTGGGAAAAAATGACAAAAAACTCACCAGAACTTCCTTTGTATGCAATACTGTGCTGACTTAATAAATCTTTAAGGATTTTTATTTCCTCAGAAAGTTTCTTGTATTCCTAAGAAAGGAAAATACAGAAAGGTGCTCTCACTCTCCAAAGATATATAACAACACGAGGTTATGTTATGAATCATACAGTAAAAAGGTGGCAATTTAATTTCACATTATAAATATTATACTCTGTACCTTATTGCACACATCCACTGTTTCAAACTGCAGACTTGTTTTCGTATTCTGTTTCTCAGCTTCCTTTTCTTCTGTTGCTTTCAGAAGTCCTGCTTCCTCAAAAATTTCTTTCAGTATTTTTTTGTATCCCTGCAAAAGAAAGATTCTAAGGTTACTGTAAATAAATCTGCCTAACACTCATCTCCCTGTACCTTGCGCTAATTCCTCAAGCTTCACTGTAAAATAAAAAAATAAAAAAAAATTACAATTATCGATTGATATACAAACAATCACAGAGCACAAGAAGTGCTATTTGCCAATGGCAAAATAAATGCATCTGTTCCAAGAAAAGAAACTACAGAAGCCAATCAGACAATAATTGTTCCTTAACAAATAGAGTTGAAAAAAATTAACAAACCTGCTCAGTTATTAGTTGATCATACAGAGACTGCTCTGCTTCATCCCATTTCCTTTGTAGTGCTTCAGTCAGAGTTGGATAAACTGAAAAATGGAAGACAAACTGTGTCTTTTATTAGTTAAGGGCTTTTCTGGTAGCACACACACAGGCAGCTTTCAAGAGTTGACTTTAAACTTCAATTCCAATTAACTGACACTGTTTCTGGAGAATGCCATCAACCAAGTTTATCTCATTTCCAACTAGAAGGCCCCACATTTCTTTGTCAATTTTTTTTTTTTTTTTTAATGTATATACATGAGCAGATATTGCAGGGCTGATTCCTATGGCTAGTCCAAGAAAACAGCAAGTATCAGTCACTGGTTCTCTATTAGCAATGACTATTTAATTGAGAAAGATGTATCTGCTATAATGACTGGGATTTAAATACACTTAGCATTATGTATTACATGTAATTCTCTTTGAAATCAACTTACAAACTTAAAAGACCTAAAAACATACACATACACAATTGGTGTAATAAGCCAGGTTTCTCATACAAAAATGACTTCCAATCTTACCCAAAAGAGAGTGGGGATGGCACACAAGGGGAGTCTCGAATGTGAGGGAGTAGACACAAGTACTTGGCTCAGACACATAAGCCAATTTATTGCTCTTTCCACAAACAAGATGGACCTAAACATCAGAAAAACAAAGGTGAATGGAACACCTCCACATTAAGCAGGAGACAATCAATCTCCTGTCTTCGAAGGCTAACAGAGGAATTTCTATGTAGACTCTTGTCTCAAAGCTTCCATTGCCTTCCCCAATTGAAAGGAAATCATAGCTAATACATCTTAGAAATTGAGTTACTTTGGCAAACGCATGAAAATGCCATCCTGTAATGGGAAATGATCCCCATCTACCATTTCTCTCTGGTCTCCCAAGCAGATCTGGAAGGAATGAGAGTAAAAAGGAGGGTAAATAGGACACCCCACAGAACCTCCTCCAACATAAGCAGAATTCATTTAAAAAAATCTTAGTTCTGACTATGGTGCTAGATGTCAGGCTCCTCTTTTTACTGTTCCAGAGAACAAAAGCCATGCAGTCACTATAAAAGTGTTCTGATCTTTAGACTTTTGGCACCAGTCCGTTCAAAACTAAATGCCAGTGAAAGATCTGAATAACAATATCTAAAGTCACACAAGAACAGTAACTCCTTCTGTAGTCCTAATGGGAAATAAACATGTTTACAAGGCACCTCAATCACAGCAAAGAACATTTTAACCTTGTCTAAGACATTTTGCCCCTTATCTCTACCCACTCTCTCCAATCACAGATACCTCTCTCAAGTATTATGTTGTCAATCATCATTGTAATATCTAAGCACCTTCCACAAGAAAACGAGCCCGTTTCAAACTCCATAGTATCCTTAGATCTCCTTCATGACAGTCATCTATGTCACCAGGAAATATGAGGTTTAAATGAAATGTGAGGATTAATTAACTGTACCCTTATTACTGTACAACACACTGAAAAGCGGAAAAGAAAAACTTCAACGAATAAAATGACCAAGGACTTGCACAAATCATGTGCTGCACATTGAACAAGTCTCAAACATCCTTCTAGCTGAACAGCTTTTTGGCATAAAGTCTGTTTGAAAGTGAAAAGGAACATTTTAAATGCTTGACAAAACAGGAATTTTTACTTTTTTCTTCAAATTGCATTCATACCACAATCTGTTGCTTGTTAGTTGGTTTCTCTGGCAGAAGCCATTCTACTTCCACTTATTTTATTCCTTCCTTAATTCTCCCTGCATGCTTTCTGAACTTGGCTTGCTTAGCTTTTTGGCATACTGTTGTTAACTGCCTGTTCCTTCCTTTTTGCTGGATGTTCTTAAGCACAACAGACCAGCAGTTTGAATCAAACAAGAATTTTTTTTATTTATTTTTCCTGACACAAACTATAAAGCACTGCATGTCTGTAGCAGTGGTGATGATACCAGAGTTTTACACTCAATCATGGGAGAAAAAAAAAAAAAAAAGTTAAAAGTCACCAACAAGAGTACCTAAGTAAACTTAGTATCTAACATCAGGGTGAAATTCTGACTAGTTCCATCCACTCACCCACCTGCTACAGAAATTCATCTTTGTTTTATACTTTACCTTAAACTATGAACTCTTCAAGGTTGGAATGTTTCAGTCTGTAGAGTGACAAAATTATCTGCAGAGTCAAATTGTCTAGATTATAGCATAATCTAGGTATTTTGTTATTATACCTTTGTCTGTCTGCTCTTGGTTTCACATGAATCTCCTTCCCTCATCCACATTCCAACAAACGTGTTGTTATCAATTTCCCATTCGTGCCAGATTCTAGAAAAACAAAACCTCACTTCATGTTTCTGATAAGGAAAACATGGAAATTCAGGAAGAAATATAGGAATAGCCTTACACTGTGTTAAAATTAATTGTATATGCCTCATTTGCCTTGCTTCACTATTTCCATTTCTTACAACCAAGGTCTTACAAACCCTGACATTTGTTATCCAAGCTGCTACACAGGCCATACCAACATTACTTTGAGAGCAGTTTTGAATCAACTGTTGGTTTGCAAAGTATTTGTACTTACAAAAGCACAACAGAATAATTTACAGATCAATCCTGCAACAAACACCATCTCAGCACAGAGTGCAACTCTGTTTGCCTGTAGGACTTTTAGTTTTGGTGAGAACAGCTACAATTGGTCTCTATGCCTGCTAGTCATAAACTCAATGGTTTGATGTTGACCCTTTTCATCTCATACTGGTTTACTGACTGCTGTGCACAGAGATACATTCTGGCACTCAAAGAAGTTGTTGATGCCCCATCTGAGGAACTGACACAACAAAGAGAAAACTGTTAAAAGACACGAAACTTCTGTTAATATAAGCATTAATTACACATTGCTGGATTTCTCACACAAACATATCAGCCTTTCAACTCAGCACAGGTTATTAATAAACCTCCAGCTAAAAACAGGACATTGTTTTTTATCTAAAAAATAAAAAACATATATCTAAGCATTTCAAGATGATTTACTTCTGTGCATAATACCTGGAGTCCTACAGTGTTCTAATAGAAGAAACAATTTTAAAACTGCCTTCTTTTTGAAAATCTATAAAACAGTCTATTAACAACACAGATAAAACATAAGAGGTCTAAAAGCCTCACCCTAAAATCCCACTGTAGGCATTCCATCGAAAAGTCTGCTCATGCTGAGTGACATTATGGAAAGGACAAAACTCGTACTTATATCTTCGGGAGAAAAGGGAAAAAGAATAAATATTTCAGATGGGAATTAAGAACTGGTTTGTTCCTAATAGAAATATATCATCAAAAATCCAAATTTGTTACTCACGTGGATTCCACAAAACTGAAACACTTGCCAGCAAGCCTAAAGAGATGCACAGGGCCTAAAAACACCACAAAATATCATGAAGGAAGAATAATGCTTTGGTTAAATTCCAGCAACTTATTGTGGTGACAAAACTGTATGGAATAAGACAAATTCAATTTTCTGCTGTGCATAAACAAATCTCTGTTTTCCATTTGAATTACAGTAAGTACCCTTTACTGCTATATTGGTTTACTTCATAAGCTTTAACATATTTTACCTTCAACACTCAGTGAAAGATTTTAGCCTCTCTCTACAGCAGAAACAAGAAACCTGTATACAAACAAATATCTGGACAGCAGATCCACAAAAAGAATCATCGGTGTAGATATTACCAAAATCAAAAAACTAAAGTCAATAAAACTATTGACAGCACTCTCCATTCTCAGTCATCAGAACTCCTCAGACATGCACCCATAGAGCCCTTTTGCTCAGAACAGTGATTGTCACACACTGAGGTTCCACTGAGATTCTCAGACTGGTCATTCCTTACCACGGTTGCTTTCACAATCTGATCTGAGTAATATTCAACAGCGTAAACCTGTCAAACAGGTCAGCAGTAACAATGTTCCTGCAGAACTGCTGCCAAAGTAATTCAACACAGGTAACTTGTCATTCAAAAAAAGGCCAAAAGTTCTGAAATATGTGTTTACAGGGTTATTTCAAAGTCACTTTTTTAAGCTAATTTTGCAAGGAACAATAAAATATTTCTGTGGGAAGCACAAGAAAATAGATTACAAAAGCAGATAAAGTAAAAGCATCTTGGATTCTAACCTTCCAACTACCAGGACAGGACTAATTCTTACCAGGATCTACAAAAGCGTTCCTAGAAGCGAAGATCAGAACACCAGAATCTTGCCACCAGAATGCCCTAACCACTGGGATACAGGCAGGTTCTCCTTCCCATTTTCATTTTCATGACCTTATGATCTTGCATCTGTTCTGCAGTCAAGACTACTATCATAGCCTTGGCCAGAAGGTTTGCTTTTCTACAAAATGCGATCTGTATCTCAACAAGCAGAATCCTTCCCCTACATAACAACAAAATCGGATTTTAATGTGTCTGAGGAATGCATTATACTCACGTGTCTGTTTCCTGAATGCATGTTCTAGAAGTGTAATTACAGTTACTACTACACTGACTGTCTTGTGAAATAAAAAGTGCCAGTTTTCCACGCCAGTGAAATAACTGTGCAAGGGAAGGTTCCACACCACAGATTCCAGTTTCCAAAATTACTCCCAATTTTAGACTACATTTAAGTTCCCACATCCAGAAAAAGAAGTATTTTATTGCATTGCTAACTTTCTTCCTGATTTTGGCATCTTTCAGTTCAGCATTCTCACTATTATTCTAATTCCTTCCCCTTTCACACACTGTATATACAGAATTTATGCATTTGATTTGGTTTCATAGAACATTCCACAAGAAAATAATCACAACCCCATTTGGTGTCACCATACCAAAATCTCTTTGGTGAACTTGAACTCGTAAGGAGGTTTAGGTTTGTGCTTATGGTTAGGAGGCAAAAGTTAAAAACATAATCCATTTCCTGTTATTTCCTATTACTTAGTCTTTGTATTCAGTGTATGTCGACTCACTTTCTCCCACAGAATCTAGAAAATACTAAATTCCTGTTTGTTTTGCTACAATGTTGGATTTCTACTGCAGCTTTGAGCCTCTGTGACTTGTTCCAGACTTGCCTTAGAATTTCTTTAAACCAAGAAGTATTAAAAACTCAAATCAGAAGCCAGGATGGCTTTCATGTGACAATCTCAAGGACACCTACCAATTGTTTTAAGAAGAAAAAAGGTCTTTAATAAAGATCAGAAGTTCTGTGACTGGTTCAAACAATACAGAATAAAACATAAGGAGAGCACCATGACTAAAGCAGTCCAAACAACAGTGGGTCCTGGAACACCCAGAACTTAAGCTGTTCTTCAGAACTTACAAAAAATACTTGGCCCAGTCTATTTTCCATGATGGCCACAAAATGACAAATAAAATTAGTACCTGCCTGCACACATCTGAAGAAGATTGTTCTACAAATGACTGCCAGAAAATGATGAAAGCTGTACAAAAAGGTAATGCTTACACATACCTGATATTGCTGAAGGGGGCATCTTTGGCTGCAGTCGATTAGTTTGAGGCAAGAAGGGGTTATTCAACCTTTAGAAAGAACAAAAGTTAAAGACTGAGTTATGCTTCTAGCTATTATCACACCCTCTACTATCAGAGAATGGCTTAGGTTGGAGAAGAACTTAAAGATCATCTGGTCCTAATCCCCTGCCATGGGCTGGCTGCCCCACACCAGATCAGGCTGCCAGGGATGGGGCATCTACAGTTCTCTGGGCAACCTGTGCCAGGGTCTCACCACTCTCCGAATAAGAATTTGTTCCTTACATCTAACCTAAATCTCTCCTCTTCTAGATTAAAGCCATTCCCCCTTGTCCTATCACAATCAGACCATGTAAAAAGCTGGTCCCCCTCCTGCTTGTAAGCTCCCTTCAAGTACTGGAAGGCCCCAATGAGGCCTCCCTACAGCCTTTTCTTCTCCAAGCTAAACAAGCCCAACTCTTTTGCCCTGTCACCAGAGGTGCTCCAGCCCACTGATCACCTTGGCAGCCCTCCTCTGGACCGACTCCAAAACTCCTAATCTTTCCTGTGCTGGAGGCCCCAGGTCTGGATGTGGTACTGCAGGTGGGGCCTCACGAAGGCAGAGCAGAGGAGGACAACCGGACAACCCCATTCCTCTGCCTGCTGCCACACCTCTGTTGATGCAGCCCTGGGTACCGCCGGCCTTTCTGCCTGCAATCACACGCTGCTGGCCGAAGCCCGGCTTTCCTTACATCTGCATCCCTAATTCCTTCCTCGCAGGCTTGCCTGAGCATCCCAAGACTTACAGCCACGGGCAGCGGGCCCACGGCAGCACCGCCGCAGCTGGGCCAGTCTCGCCTTCCTCCTGAGGAACGGACGGGCTGCGGCGTACGGAGCGGCACAACTCGAGGCCGCCCGGTGCGGACGAGCACCAGCCACCTACCCGAACGTGTTCGGTTCCTCCACGATCTTCATCTTGCCCGCCGACGCGAGGAGACCTGCCGAGCAGAGAACAGTTAGCGGACGGGTGGAGGAGCGGAGGAACAAACCCAGCAGCGCTCACACGCTCACCCAACGCAGCGCCCACAGACGCCGCCAGCAGCAGCCGGGCGGCCGCCATTACCACTTCCGGCGGAAGCGGAAGTGCGCGCCGTGGCCATCAGGGCCGCTCCGCCCGAGCGCGGGGCCATGAAGCGCGGCGCGGCGAGGCGCGGCGCTCCGAAGCGCGGCAGGCGCGTGCCGCCGTCCGCCGGTGCCTCAACCCCGCGGCGCGACCCTCACGGCTTCGACGCCTTCGCTGCGGAAACGGAGGCCGCGCTGAGAGGTGCGGGAAGCGCTCCGCGGAGGCCGACAGAAGCGAGGCGCTCCCCGCTAACGTGTGCCTGCTGTTTTCAGCCTGTTTGGAGGGAGAGCGGGGCGCCGAGGAGTGCGGCCCGGAGGCGAAGATTCCGTGTCCTCTTGCCATGTGGGAGCTCGGACACTGCGATCCGAAGAGATGCACTGGGAGGAAACTGGCCCGAAAAGGGCTGCTCCGAAACCTGCGCCTCAGCCAGAGGTTCCCCGGCGTCGTTCTCAGCCCTCTGGCCGCCGTCTGCGTGTCTCCCGCCGACAGGTAGGCGCTGCTGTGCGGTGTTTGCGCGCCTCGTGCCGGCTGGGGGAGGACGTTTTAATCATCGATTGCGGCAAAACTGTGCTGCGGAGTAAACGTTGACCTTCCTGCTGCGCTATGTTGTATTGATACGTGAGCGTGAGCTATTTTATTAAATTCCAGTTAAGATTTTTACGCATCTGGGGTTGGGTGAGAAAAGTGTCTGTGGATTCCTATTGAGAGCTTGAAGTGTGTGCTGCGTGCAGAATGACAGCAGCCTGGAGCTGCTGCGTCTGCTCTGGGAGATGCTCCATGGGCTCCGAGGCTGTGGCAGTGCAAGCCGTTAACCACAGCCTTTGTGGAGAAACACAGAAGCTTCTTCAGATGTGGCTGCAGAATTTTTACAAAGACTTACTCATTCAGAGAAAAGATTCCTCAGAAGCTGGTAAAAAGCTTAAATCTGAACTTTGTTGTTAAGCATGAATGTGTAACTTCTAACTACGCTTCTGTCATGCTTTTAATCCTTCAGTTTTTCATTTTCGGTTTTAAACTTTTCTTGTCACCTACAGATTCTAAAGAAAACCGTGTTACTATACTGTACCTCTCTTATTTTAGATCACTGTAAAACATGCTTCTTGATTGACAAAGGGGGCGTTCAAATTTATCACAGGTATTACGGAGCAATTGAAATTCTCACAGATGTTTCTCTTTTCAGGCATATCATTGCTCAGAACGGAATTGCAGTTATAGATTGCTCGTGGGCTAAATTAGAAGAAACGCCCTTTAAGAAAATGAGAGGAGGTCATCCAAGGCTGCTGCCTTACCTGGTGGCTGCAAATCCTATCAACTACGGCCGGCCGTGCAAGCTGTCTTGTGTGGAAGCTTTTGCTGCAGCTTTTTGCATTGTTGGTAGGCTGCAATGTGTCTGATAGAAAATACATTACCAGCAGTTCTGACGTTTTTAATATAATGAGGAGATGGTTTTTGACAGAATAAACTGTAATGCTGACCTATTTGGTCTTGATTTTAGAATGAAGTTGTCTAGTTCTCTTCCAAGTGCTTCTGTCTGGTAGCCATCAGTTATCACTGGGCTGGGGTTCATGTCCAGGACACAAGATTTGATGATCCAAGTTTTCTCAGTATGGCATATAATGTTAAAAAACTTACTAAAAACCACCAGAGAAAAGATGGTGAATCCTTGTGCACCTCTGTCCTTGTTGCACACACAGCTGGCTGTTGTGTTCTGTCCCCTCAAGCTGTTTTCCAAACTCATCACAAAAGCTTCTTGACAATCAAACAGGCATCCTCCAGTGTACTGCTGGCAGATCTTACCTTCTGAAGATACGTGCAACTGCTCTTTCACTGAAGGACTGCAGGATCTACAGCCTGAATCATTAACTGTATGAAATATTTTCATGTAATACTTACTAAAAGACTGAACTTTTCTTCAACTTGATTAACTATTCAAGTTAAGGTGAAATAATTTTAAGAAATCCTGAATCCCTAAACACTAAAAAAAAAAAATGCTGCTGTACACCTCACTGCTGTAGTGATAGGGAGATAGGTGCTGAACTTAGAAACCTGTAAACTGAGTGAAATCTCATACTGGAGACCAGTGATCCTCTGTTTTCTGTTAAAGGACTCCCAGACCTAGCCACCATTCTTCTAAGGAAATTTAAATGGGGGAAGACATTTACTGAGCTGAACAAAAATCTCTTGGAAAAATATGCAGCTTGTCAATGCCATGAAGAAGTGCTAGGTGTTGAAAAGGACTTTCTAGCTAGTGTCAAAGAAATAAAAGAAGAAGAAGAAACAGGTAAGGAAGAATTCCCAACCACCACCCACCCTCTAACTAGTCTCCTCTTTTTCTTTAATTTCATGAAATACAATGAATGTAGAATAACTTAATAAGACAGTAACAATGAACAAATTCTAAGTTGTTGGCTTCTGACCTCTTGTGGCCAAATGAGCATGTTAAGATTTTCAGAATGCTGAACCAGGTTTCATATGCCTTCCCTGCCAGTAATGTTCTCAAAAATAAACGAAGTCAGACCATCTTAATGTGTACCTCTTCTTTTTTCTTCTTTTTTCAGATCCATTTGATGTTGACTCAGGAAAGGAATTTTGTAACCCCAATAGGCCAATTAATTCTTCAAGGTAATGAAATTTTAATTTTTTTCTTAGTAGAAATTTGTTGTGCTTTCATAATCCTGAAAAATATTTTCAGAATAACACAAAGTAATGAAGAATCAGAGGAGGACAGTGCAAGCACTCCAGATGATACCAGTGAGAGCAGTAGTGAGAACAGTCCAGAAGATGATGATCCTGGGAAGTTTTTCCAAGAACAGCCAACAATAAATCAACTACCTGAGAAGTGAAAACAAAGAAAAGCACACCAAAAACATGCCAACAGCTGACAAGAGTTCTACACTATCTTGTACAAATAAACTTTCTTGTTAACAATGTAGCCTTTCTACTTGTAACTGGGTGGGGTGCTCAGTTAAGTGTCTTTTGTTTATGTAGGCCTCTCATCTTCAGCTACAGGTAGGTTTGTAAATTCATACTACATATTAGGCTACAGCTTGATACATCCTCACTAGATAAGAGTCTATTTTTGTCTATTGATGCATGTAAAGGTTTTTAAGATAGGCCTTCCATAAAGAATTATTTAAAGGTCCCAAATCTTAATTATGTAAGTAAAAAAACATTGTAGTCAGTGTTTCTGGTAAGTGATTTATAGGGATTATTTTCACTTGTACACTGCAGAAAACAATTCCTGAGTATATCTTACCTGGAAAACACGATGAGGTCACGATGAGGTTATTGCGCCCTGTTCTGACTGCCTACAACATACAGAGCCTCTGACTTTCGGAGGCTTGACCCTGCCATATGCATTTTAACTCCATCCAATTTAGGGTAAACAAAATGCCTCTGCTTAAAAAAAACTAACAAGAATTCTTTTAAAATCTCACTGTTTTCTTAGTGTTAGATCTGATTTGCTCAGATACAGTCTAAAGCACTATACATTGTTTAAACGTTTCATGTTCATGATTTTACTACAAAATTTCAGCTAGCAGGTTCAACAGTGTATCTGCCTGTATTTGTGTTATTGAAATGTTACTCTACAAACTCTCAAATACACATCACCCCTTCAAGATTTGAGAAAGACTTCTCCATGTGGATGCCTGTTTACATAATAAGAGAGGAGCTGTTACTAAGTGTATTTTTCTTCCTTTACCTTTTAGTAGATACTCTTGAGTTTCAAGCACCCAACTGGTTTCAAATTTTAAACAAGCCTCCACAAACCCTTCAGCAGAACTGGATATAAAGACAATCCATAATGTTACTTTGTACATACAAAGCTCAGATCCTGTAAGTCCCCTCACCTTGGGAGGGTTCCTATTTTTCTTCATGTTAGACTGTACTTGTATTATTTCATATTCAAGAGGTCATACCAGTCTGTAGGTCCTATTACATACAATAAGCAGTTGATCTCCAGCTAGTCCTACAATTCTATAAACTGTTTAAGGAACTGATCAAGTATAGAACAGCTGCAAGTAGTCACCACTCAGGGCTCAGAGACAGACCACCTTTATATCAAGGACAGGGAAAATAAAGGAAGGCAGCAGCTGAGAAGCATAGCATCACAGCTCTTAAAAACTGACTTGTGTTCAGAGCTGCTTAAACAGCAGTCTTTCAGTAATTTTAATGAAGATGATGAAACAAAGCCCTTTATATAAACAGTTTATTTACTCTAAACAGCAACACAGACAATGCCATATAAACACAAAGGAAGTGATGCAGAATAAGGATGCTGGCTGACTTTGGATCTCAGAGGCTCATAAGCAATAACAACCTAGTTTCTGAAAGATAGAAAAACAAATTCAGGGAGGGAAGGGGGTGGAGGGCATGATTTTTATTTTTCCATACAGCCAGCTAAAGGCTAAATATAGTTCTAACATTTTAAAGCATGCCTGCATCAGATAGCAAAGTAACTAGAGATACTAGTGAATTTATAGAAGTATAAAAGTTTATAATTTTACAGCAGTTGAAATACTGACATCAATATTAAAATAAAAGCAAGTTTTACATAACAATCAAAAATACAAAAGACTGAAGGAAGAGACCCTGTATGAAAAAACTGGGGGCAATTCAGCAAATTTAGAACTGTATACAAGTGGCGAATATGGAAAATGGCACACATACAACCCCCTCCCCTAAGTGGATATTAATTGTACATAGCAACATTAGATTTTGCAAAAGTTTTGTAAACAAGTTCTTGCCAAACCAATCCCTTCCTTTTTAAGATGCTGCATGACAGATGCTTATGATGGTGCAAACTTCTTGGCTTGTGCTCGAACCCTCTTTTCATATTCCACTCTGTTTTGGCTGAATAGAAGAAAAAGAAAGAGCAATTAAACCTTGAGAAAAATCAGACCACATTGTACAATTCTCTTTCTAGTTCTTAATTCTAACTCAGAGTACCCAAACAAAAGAATGCCTTCCATAGTAGACTGCACAGCTACAGGACAGAAGGAAGTAGCTCAGCACATCAGAAGTACTGCAGTTACATAAAAACAGTACAAAGGCAATCCCAAAAATTAGAACAAGTCCAAGAATTCTTACTTGGTTTATGAAGTTTACTCTTAAAGTTTGACAACTTGACTAAAAGACACTGAGGAAGATGCAAATGCAGTGCTGTTAAACTATGCCTAATTACAGATGCAATCAATTTTGCCCTGCTGAGCTGCTTTTAACAATTATTCATTAAGTAGTAACAAGTGTCCTAATGTACAGCTGTAGAAATAAATTAACCCAGCTGAAATACTGTGCATATCTGAAAGACATGAAAAGGATAAATCAGAGACTACACATTTCTGTATCTGTAATCTGCAAAATAAGCTGAAGAGTTCATTCTCAATAAAGTTGTTCTCTCCCACTGCGGAGAGCTGTAGAGTTAAAACAAAAAAGGAAAGCTTTTTTTTTTTTAATTTTGATTTATATTTATTTCATCTCAGTTCAGCAGAAGCAGATCTTACTTTTGGGAAGTGGCTCATAGAGAAACAGGTTCAGAAACGGTGCTTGACTATTATCTGGGAAGCCTTAGCACAAATACAAGTAGTAGCTTGCGTATGACCCCTCTGATGTCTCTCCTTCATCTTTTTCTCCCTTCCCTCTAAAAACAAAGGGGGTTTAAAGCTTATACACACTGAAACTCATCTTTACTTCCTATTACTTCCTATGAACTACTGCATCCTTGAAACAGTATTAATTAGTACCAACCAGTCATCGAGGTACGAATTAACAGCCTGCCTTTTCAGCCTCTGCAGTAACGCAGGAACAAGACCAGAGATTGTTTTTGCATAAATGTATGAGGGAAAGTATAAAATGGGTCACAGACTATATATGTTTTCAGAGAATTATTCTCTTCCTGCTCCACAATTCCTTAGACTATTTTTTCTTTTCCAAGAGGAAAAAAGGAGGAGGTCTGCCTTGTCATTACTTGCTCCCTAAGGCACTGCCTACAACCATCCTCCATTTGAATGCACTCATCCAGTCTTCAGAGATACTTAAAAAATAACCCTGAGTAAAATCTATAAATAAAATAGACACACTATCCATCCCTATGTTTCCTTCTCACTAGGGTCCTGTATGACATTTTTGACATGGCATTTTGAGACTTTACACACAAGCTATTCTTCAAACTTGGGACTCTCCTGAAGACTTGTTCTTCTAATTTTACATTTCTATTTTGGTCATTATTTCAGTAGCTGTCAGTGCCAAAAAACATTTGTTTGTGGAGTATGCTGCCTCCTTAAAAATTATGGGTCAGTCATCCATTTTTAATGGTTGGAAAATTTTAAGATTAAGCCTAAAAAAGTGTTGGGTTTTTTTGGTTCAAATTTTAATTGTACTAAAGCTACAAGCTTTCTGTAGTTTTAAAAACAATTTTGAACATCAGTTTTCAAAAAATTATACAATCCTTCTAGCAACCACAGTAGCTCTTCAACCCTCAGGTACAAGGGTACACATTACTGGACAGAACTAAACTACTCCTTATTTATCAATGGAACTTGTCAACTAATCTCCTCTCTTCCTTCTCACTGTCACTGTTTTCATGAAATTATTATCCTTCATCACTACTCCTCAGTTAGCTTTTAGGGGAAAGGAATCTGTATTGGACTGAGACCAAGATGAGAATTATGGTTCAACTAAATGCATCTTCATGCTTTCTGTTGTCACACTGTTAAAAGTTCCATTAGCCTAATAAATGCTAAAGCTATTGCTTAGCTTGAGTTCAACACAAGCTAGGCATCTCCACAGGATATAGCCATGAAGGCAGAAAAGCTCCCTTGATCATTCCCAAAAACATCTGCAGGTAACACTATCAGCATCAGACAGCTGTAGGCAACGTGGCAGCTCTCATGCTGATCCACATACTTACCAGTAAATTGTGTACGCCTCTGCTTGAGCTGGGTCTTGAATATTTGGTTCATTTAGAAGTTCTTGTATTCCTAACAAGATCTGTGGAAGAAGGTACAGAAATAATAGGCATGGATATCACTAAGTTAGGAAGAAACATGCAACTAAAGGAAAAAAAATAATAAAAATGACTACATTCACACCAAAAATCCCAACCGTAGGAACACATAATGAACATTTTACATTCATGTAAGATAAACAGGCAAAGCAAGAAAAAAGAATAATTATATGCATATGTACAACTAATGACCTGTTTAATTGTGATTGCTGGCCTCCAGTCCTTATCCTCCTCTAAGATGGAGAGACACACTGTGCCTGAAGGATACACGTTTGGGTGGAATAATGGTGGTTCAAATTTACCTGAGGGGGGGAGGGGGAAAAAAACGTTACTTGCATGCAAAGCCAAGGCTAATATGTAACAGATTGTTTAGACCATTGGTGTAGAACAAACTGGCCAGTGAGAGAGGGAGGGAGGGGGAAGAGAGAGAGAGAGAGACACAAACACACACACCTCTCTGCACCCCTGTTCCCCATCTAACCTTCCTCAGCCACCAAATGGGAGATCTCCATAGCTATTATTAAAGTGCTGAACTTTGGCTTGGCCTGTACCAAAAGCAGGAAGCCTCCCATGTCTGTGCTATCTGTGTTATTTCACAGCATCATTGTGACCAGTAACATTTTGTTTAGGAATGGAAGTTGTCAAAAAGATTCATAGTAGCTACACAATAACTTTTTAAATCAATCCTATACTTAGATCATTATACACTACTCTAAAAAGAAAGATACTGCCTGTTACTCGTTTATTTTCCTCTCATTGTAGTATATTGAAAATTCCATTAAAAAAATACCCAGTTTCTGGTATTCCTGTTCAATTTCACTTCTTGTATAACCAACATGAATTCAACAAGAGGAAACAAGCCTAATCTGTGGGGCTGGTTACACAACTTTCCTACTGGCAGACTATATTCTAGCATTTCTTCAATCTTTATAAGCCTTAATTCCTACAGCTATCACCTTGATGAATGTAAAGAACACCTGTTTAATGGTATATGAAAAGTCTATGTTACTGCAGTTTTCTAATCCATCTTTACATTACAATTATGTTTTGCTTATCAGGTGCTCAGTGAAGTTTGATGGGAAAGCAGAAGCTGCATTAGGAGTCTTACCAGCCACACATCTTATCTTAAGCACATAAGCTTGAAGTTTATAAGATTCCATAACAACAATTTTTTTTTTAATCCCATGTACAATAAATAAAACTTCCATATTTAGAATGAACAGATGAAGAGGTAAAAGTTGATGGAATTTAATTTTATTTTTACTACGAGTTCTCCGCATAGAAGACTAACTTTACACAAGAAAAAGCCCAAATACCCACTAAAAACTTAAACTAATCATACCTATTACTACCTCTAATTTAGAGTGCTGATTAAGTAGTGAGTACTTCAAGTGGTGCTTCTGACAGACTTTGAGGAAATCCAAATAGCAGTGCACCCTTCCCCTTCTAGTTTTGTTAGCATTGAGCACTTAGCTCAGTTCATCTCAATATTCCAAATGCCAAGTGTGGGGTGGGGAAAAAAAGAAACTTTCAGTAGGAAGAGAACTCAGTAAGAAAGTGACAACTATTTGTGCAACCTCATGGACTATTAAATGTTGTTCTACTATATGCATGGTGTGTCCTTTTTGGTGTCATTTTTCTTACATTTTGGGGGTGAAGAAGGGTAGTCATCCTTGAAAAGCATCCGTAGTTTAAATAAGCCTCCTTCCCATGGTGTCTACAAAAGAAGTTAAGGTAGTGTTTTGATTACAACAAGTCAAACTTGGGAAAGAAAACAAGAACAATAGCTCACCAGACAAAGCACAAGACACTTTTTCTACATCACCAGAAAAGAGTTGTTCTACACTGCAGTATGTTACCTACAATGAGATAAGTTATCCTACTGATAGCTTTTTTTTTAGATCAGCTCATTGTATTTTCTCTTCCACCTTGCTACAGCTTTCAGGTATTGCCAAGTCATCAATAGATTTGATACAAACATTGGTAATTCCAGACACAAGTACAGTCACAGTATATAAAAAACAGTCTTTCAGTCCTTTACTACCTTGGTTGCTTTGTGTTGTGCTATATTTTTATGTTTATACGTGATCTCAGAACTGCACACCATACTCAAGGTGAGGCCACATCAATGCTAAATATAGTGGCAAAATTACCTCTGACCAGATGGCTATGCTGCTCTTAATGCACTCAAAATGCAGTTTGCTGCTAGGGCACTGCTGGCTCACGTTGAACATGCTGCTCACCAGCATCCCCAGGTCCCTGTTTGGAGACATGCTCTGCAGACACTTAGCTCCCAGTCTGTACCAATGTCCAGCATCACTCCAGCATTTACCTTCCTGAACTTGCTAATGATAATGACCCAATACTCTGTCCTATCCAGATCCCTTTTCAAGGCCCTCTCAGCCCTCCTGGCATTCCACTCTTGTATTCAGATCACTGATAAAAAACGCTGAACAGAACCAGCCTTGGACTGGAGCCTGAGGAATGCTACTAGTGACCAGCTACCAGCCAGATACAGCCCTGCAAACTCTACTTTTGAGCCAGTTCATCACTCAGAACAGCAAGAACCTGTTTATATCACAGTAGTAGAAGTTGTCCATAAGTATAGTATTAAAATTAAATACGGACAGATTATATGCATCACTTTCCCTTCACCTACCAAGCAGGTGACCTTACCAGAGAAGTAGATCATATTACTAAGGCAGGACTTTTTCTTGATGAACCCACATTGACTATGCCTGCTAACAGTTTTTTTGGTTGTTTGTTGTTGTTGTTTAAAAAAAAAAAAACAAAACTTTTCCGTAGCCCCTGGACTAATTTTCTCCATAACTTTTCCAAACAAGATTAGACTAACAGGTTTGCAGTTTTTCTGGGTTTTCTTTCAGGAACAACATCACTTGTACTACAGTTTTTCCATCTGGTTGGCAAGAAAGCACTTTGGTGCTACTGCATCAGGGGAAAGAGCTCCAGTACAGTGTGCCTCCAAACAGGAGCACAATATACAGCAACCACTTTTTTCTGGTAGAGACAAGCACTTAGGCAAGTTGCCAAGAAGAGGTAGTAGAAGAGGCAAAGCAACAGTCATCTTACATCCAACAAGACACCACAGATGGGAGTTTTTCATTCTCTTGCAAGTAATTAATAGAATTATCTCAAAGATACAAATGCATCTGCTGAATTCACATGTATCCAAATAACTTGGAAAATGAAACAAATCAGAAAGGTAAGTTATGCTAGCACTATATGAATCAAAAAAAGCTTTGGGCATTAATGACTGCCTCCATGCATTAAGTTGGCATTTGTCCTCCCCCCTAGAAGCTGACCACCCTGACTGAAATAAGGGCAAAGATTAATTTCCGTAAAGACCAGGACTATTTATTTTTAGGAGGAGTACAAATGAAATCAGATAAAAAGAACCTCTGTTAGATAGTTATATTCTTTCCATAACACAAACAGGCAAAACTCCACAGAACTGTAAACAGGCAGATTTCAAGTTAATACTACAGAATTACTTTCCATGAAATTCAAAAGATTAAGATTAGTGCTACAGTGCAGCACCTCTGTAGGACTGAAGAGTCTCATTAGTTGGTGGACAAAAAAAAAACCCACAACAACACGTTACTGGTAGTTAACCACCAGAAGTAATTGAAAAGTATAAATGTTCAAACTTGACAGTTTAAACCAGTGTTTAGTAAGTAGACAAATCACAATAATTGCTGACATTAAGCAGAAGAGAATCTCAATTTGCCCCATGCAGGAGTTCTTCCACACTTCTCTGAAAAATATTTCTTAAGGTGATCAGTGCCAAAAGCAGAACAACAGACCCACAGTGTATTCTGGCCAGTGGCATAATCCACATATTTACATTAAACTACACGCAACTTATACTCTCACAGTTCTCAGCATAATACATAATTACATTTATGTTACTTTCCAGCATAAGTGAACTGTTAGCACAGAATGCCTTACCCCCTTCTTTCCTGGAATAGCACATTCCCAGTTCATTAGATTCATTGTGCCATCTGGATTTTTTGTAGGTACTGCTACAAATCCCTGAATTAAGGTAAAACAAAAACAAAAGGTGAGTATTTCAGAAGATATGCTTAGAATATGTCATGCCGCATCTAATTCATACAGTTATTTCTTTGTGCAAAACACAGTTTTGAGCAGTTTCTTATTTAAAGAATAATTCAGTTATTGTAACACATCAGGGAAAGAGACAATAACATGAACATAACTGTACAAGTCAGAAAGTTAACGGTGCTCATATATACTTACAAATGGATGATCTTTTCTCCAGGCTTTTCTCTCCTGTGCAAGTCTACTTAGAGCTATGCCAGACATATTCAGATTCCCTCTAAAACAAAAATAGCTGCTTTTAGTACAACCTTATTTACTATGAAAGTAACATTATGTTCTCCATATAAGAGTTCTGATCACTCAAGAAATCTTATGGCCTTCCATTTCTACTGTAGCCACAACATGTTTTTGCACACTGCAGATGTTAACACCAGGATTAAGGTCATCAAGTTACTCCACACCAACTACCTCTCAGGTACTGGACTTGACCTACTTTTACGTGTATTTCTGTGTATTTCATATTTGAGCCATTTTCAAGTATCTTGATAGCAGTAACACTATCACTGATACGAAAAAGGGCTCATATTTCCTACTTGTGTGACTGACAGAGGCATACCTAGCTCTCTGTGACATCATGAAAGGTATGGCTTTCCTCTGTAGGCAACCACCTGCACTACTCCCATTTCTTGCAAACAGGAGAATTAGAAATGCCATTAACAGACCAAGTCTCTGCTAAAATCCAGGGTTCTACACAAAAGCAACACGGGCACAGGATTTAGCAAACTCAAGTGATTTTGATGTCATGTCGATAGAAAGGTTCTAGACAGCAGCAGGAACAGAAGGCAGAAATTAACTGAGGAGGAGTCAGTGAGCAGCTCGTTCATTCCACAGGACAGGTCTTAAATGCCCATATAAACTGCACGATCTTCCAGGATCTTCACTGTCTTAACTAACAGCCAAGTACAGCAACCAAGATGTGCAGAGCACAGGTCACTGCTCTAGACAACATGAGAACAGTTCTAGACATGATGCTTGAATAGAGCAGCCCCTCAGATTCAGAGGAAGATTCTCCACTCACCTGTGTGGAGTGGTTAAAGTGAGTCCTTGTTTTTCATGGTCAAACTGTACTAAACTCATTGTTTCATTAGCCATGTGGTCAGCAACCTCCAGTTATCTTTACTCCTCCTCCCTACTGCACTTCTACCCATTTTAAACAAGAACTAAAACTTGGTAGCTGTGGAGTTAAGAACAGTTGGCCTAACTACTTCATACAGCCACCAGAAGAGCAGCATCTTCCTCCTAAATAAGCTTACAGAATTAGCGAAAGAAATATTATCACTCCACTAGAGCAAACATTTGCACCCTGATTAAGGATTATCAGTCAATGCAGTGCAACTCTTGTATACATGAACTATCTTACCATACCAACTCTAACTCAAAAAAGCCCTTGTTTTAAAATCTCACTCTTGGTTACTCGTGCACATCTGCCATCCACTCAGAAGATTAGAAGACATCAGGCTCTCAATTTACACATTCATGCATCAGAAGTGCCCAGGCAGCACAGACACCTTAACTAAGAGTCCTTGCAAACACTTCTTCCCACCCCTCCTCCCTTCTCTCCTCTCCCTCCTTTTTCCCCAAGTCAGATCCACTTGCACATCTCCACAGGCAACCCTTTCAACTTCCAGGTAGCAGCACAATTCCTGCTAGAATGTAACTAGAATTAAAGCTTTTTAGAAGGCACCATTAATGCTCTGTGCAGTAAACATGCACAAAAGAATCCTGTATTCATTCTAATGTTCCCAAACCAAACATTGGTGTCCTGGTTATGTAAGAACACTTGCAGGACTTCACACCAGAACTGTAGATAGCACTTCAGCTTTCAGTCAACTCACCAGCAAGAGAAGCAGAGCTTCCCAAGAGGAACCAGAATAAAAACAAACTTTGCATCTCTCCTTCAACAAAATTATAAAGGGAGTAATTTTATTTCATGAGTCCATACCCCTACTAGAAATTTCAATGAACTAATGAGCATGTGACAGAATTCCAGCTGTGCTTTTAGCACCTGGAGATCTACAACAATAACACTAACTTTGCACAGTCAATTTTTTTAAATTATTATAGCTTATAAGCTATTCAAGTGTTAGATAGCAACTCAGCCACCTCCTCTGGAGATGAATGCACTGCCTTCCCTACAACTAACAGTCAGCTAGGCAGTATTTCCCTCGAGGTTCACATATACAGCATTATGTCCTACCAAACTACGCCAACCAAATTCTTCCAGTGGAAAACAATTTCACCATTCTGTAACCTGCTGGCTTCTCCACTATGCCATGCCCCGGTAAATTAAAGACTTTTTCTGTTCTACAAATAATTCTTTCAGATCTTGAGGTGTTTGACTTAAGTACCAATTAGACCACATCCTTTTTTCTCTGGTGTACATGCACCAAAAACTCCTTTGCACCTCAAAACCTGAAATCCCTTGATGAGGTTCTGCACACCGGCTCCTTCCCAAACACAGCTCTTTGGTTTTCCCAGTGCCTTCATCTCATTCCCTGAGTTGAAATGCCAGTTTCTTGATTTCCCCCCCCCCCCATTATGGCACAAGAAATTAAGTGTGATTGCTTAATTTCACAGCAGGATACATTTCATGAAGAATTGGGGAGAGAAGGAGAGAGAGAAAAGGTGTGTAAAAATAGTTCAGAGATCTGTCATTGAGCAACCTAGTTAAATAGTTACAGGTAACATTAAGAGAGCTTCTGGCTCCTAAACCAAGTACTTCAACAGCAGAGTTTGTGATCGATAAAGAAGAAAGTCTTCCTAGTCAGCATATACTAAGTGAAGATGATTTCAGGCTAGTTAGCATTACTTCACACAAAGTAGAACCTGTGACTTTAAAGCTCAGTATTTATTTTAGTAGCTTCATGCCCAAGTGGCAGAGCTGCTAAGAACTTCAGTGTCCAAATCTGAACAGTTTACTAATGAGTCAAATGTGATTAACTAGGATATCTTAAGAGAGACCTGACCAAAAGATAAGCATTTGTATTTTCAGGTTAGCTCCCAAGTATGTATATTTTGTCTACTTAATATTTGCTATTCCAGTCCTCTGAATATTAAGGCCATGTAATGGAAATCCAATAAATACTGACACTTGCCAGGGATTTAATAACAGTCACTTCAGGCACATCTAACCAGACTTAGACTCCTAAATACCTTGAAGAAGAAATGAGTTATATTACATTGTTTTGTGTATTAGTAATTCTTAGCTGATACTTTCAATCACCACAACTATGTTTAGTGGCTCTCTTTTAGGTTTGAACTTTTATTTTTTATTACCTCAAGCAATAGCCAAACTTCAGCTCATTATTCAGTATTGTTGAACACAACTGGGACAGACCAGCTCAGCCACGCCTGAAATTGAACTAATGCCTATATGTGCTCTCCCTCTTCTGCAAGACTCTGGTTACAATGTCTCAGACAGGTCTGAAATAACTGCAGTGAGTTATTTCAGAGTGCAGTGGATCGGCTGTCTGCACTGAGAAAGCAAGCTGATCCTATTCAAACTTCCTTTTCACCTTACAAGAAATCCAGAGTTCTGGGGGGTCAGTTTTCCTACAGCTTTTTGATCTCAAAGTTCCATAGCTCTCCAGATGACTTCAGGAGCATGAAGAACAGCCAGCACAGAAGGACGTGGGACAGCAGGCTGTGAGTTCTACCCATCTCAATGCTTGGAAGATAACCTCAATGCTTCCCACCAAGAACGTGATGCACATGGAGCAGGGCCTGGCAAAGCTCTTCAAACAGTTACACAGGCTTTGGTTACCCTGGCAAGGGCAGACAAGCACCCAAAGCCCCATGTCACAGACTGTTAGTGAGGCATAAGAGGCCACTGTGACTGAAAGCTCACTTCAAAAACTGATCCCATCACTTAAGAGTCCCCTCAAAGGCAAATCGATCTAACAACAAATTGCTAATGCATACATCTTAGCAGCAATTCAGTGAAAGAAACTGGATCTCCTACTCAAACTTTCTCCCTGCTGGAGCTCAGGACAGGATAAATAGAGGTTGAACACCTCTCTATGTATTCTGCTGTCAGGAAGGAACAGGAAGGAATTAAGTACTTCATCATACCTGAAGATATGCTCACATTTTTTCAATCAGTTTTCCCCTTTGGAATCTTGCCCAAAAAACTGTAGGTTTTTTTTTTATCCAAGCACTTTTTTTTTCCCCCCCACATTTGTTTCAAATATCAGATCTGATTTCCTTTTCTTCCTTCACCTGAGAAATTTACTATGAGCGAACAGAATTAAGCCCCAACTTATAGTACGGAAGAGGTGCATCACTGGAAAGAACACCAAGTTCTAAGCCGGAGAAAATGCATCAATTGTATCTCACCACACAAGCGAGAAAATCTGTCTTCCCATCCCATTTAGTTTTACTCCGTCCTGCACACACCAGCACCAGGAGGGAGCAACGGCCCCTCTACCATAACCAACTCACTAGAAAATTACCAGAAACTTCCAAGGCACTCCGTGCGTCCCCTCTGCCGCCGGTACTGCCTGCGCTGGGACCAAATCCAACCCAAACTGCTACGCTACCCATAAAGCAGCCCCTGCACAGCACAGCGCTCCTACGGCACGGTAACCATCGCGTCTGTGACTCCGACCCGTGGCACGGCTGTACGCACAGCGCGCTCCTTCAGTCCCTATTCGTTCAAAAATAAGTAAATTAATAAAATCGTTAAGCCTTATCGCTTCACGGATCGGAAACAGACGCCGTAAGGATCTGTACACCGGCACGGTTTGCCGGATAAGCCTTCCTTCCCAGACGGAGAGAAAGTCAAGGGCTAAGGTACAACCGAAGCGCACCGCCTCCTAACAGGCGCGCAAAGTCTGCTCCCGCCCGAGGCAGCGAAACGAGCGGCAGAGGCGGCACCGGCCCGCACGGCCGCCGGAGTTCCGAGAGCCACCAAAGGAACGGCGTGGCGGCCCGGCCCGGCCCAGGAGCTGCGCCCGGAGCGGCGCAGCGCCGGCCCCGCCGCGGCCGTTTGTCTCGCGCGCCCAGCGGAGCGGCCGGGGCAGCGGCCGAGGCCCGCGCGCGGCGACCCAGCGCCCGCCCGCCGGCTGCCGGGGAATCGCCCGGCGGGGCGGGGAGCTCCGGGCGGAGGCCCGTCGGCGCACGCGGCTCAGCGGCCGACCGCGGCCCGAAGCGGCCGAGACCTCCGCGGGCGGGCCGCGGCGCAGGGCAGGGCGCGGAGCCCTCCCGAGGCGGGCAGCGACGCGCCGCCGGGAACCGCCGGGCCCGCGCACCGCCGCGCCGCGAGGCACCGGCCCGGACCCCGCCGTCGCAGAGCCCGCCGCCGCCCCGCCGCCCCGGGCCCCTCGCCCGGCCAGGCCTCACCGTGCTCGGCCGCGGCACCCGCGTGTGTCCCGGATTGAGGCGGCGGCGAATGACCCGGATGTTCCCGACTCTGCTCCCCCCCCTTTGTCTCTGGTCCGGAGTTTCCCTCCCTCCTCTCTCTTTTTCTCTCCCCCTTCCCCCCCTCCCTCGGCGCGGAGCGCACTAACGCGGCGTGTCCCTCGCTACGACCCGTCCGAGCCGCTGCGCCGGCGCGGTGCAGCCCAGCCTGCGCGCCGCCCGCCGCTCTTCACGCGTCGCCGTCAGCAGGACCTGCGGGCGTCCGCAACGGCGCCTGAGCGGGGAGCGCCACGGAGGTCGCGGCGGAGCCCTCTCGAGCCCTCTCTCGTCCTCCTGCCCCTCGGGCCCTACGTTCCCCTATCGAGAAACGGAGCGAGGTTTTACCTCAGGCGCTGAGGGAGTCACCTGTGCCCTATAACCGTCCGGCCGGGCGCAGGGAGCTGAGCGGGTCCGACCCACTGCGCCTGAGCCGCGACGCGTTCGAGCCCGGTAGGACCCGCCCACTGCGACCATCCGCGCCTCCGATTGGAGGATGGGGAGTCGGTCCTGGCGCTGCCTGCGCTGCAATTGGGCAAAGCCGGAAGGGGGCGGGGCTGGCAGACCTGCTGGGGGCGGAGCTCCGGGCCCCGAGCGCGGGCGCTGCGCCGCGGGCTGTTTCGGGCGGCCGAGGCCGCGTGCGTTTGCTTCGTGTTCTTTTTGTTTTGTTTCGTTTGTAAGTTTGGTGGTTTTTTTAGTGCTTGTTTTTTTCCTTTTTTTTAAATTTTTGAGTATGACTCACATTCTGCCCTTATGTTTAGCTTGTTTAATTTTAATGAAACCGACACTTTTTTGCCTTTAAACCTCCTTTTAGCCGCATCCTGCCCTGCTCTGTTTGTTGATGTTCATTGAGCTGCGCCCTGTGTAGAGCCGTAAGACCAACACGGCTTGTCTTCCTCGCCCTTCTCTCTCGTCACTCCAATTAGGCATTTCCATAAATAAGCACTTCTGTATTGAATGGGACAAACTCGGGCCGGTGCTCGGCTCCAGAACCTCACTGCCCCACATCGCACCCACACAGCCGTTCTGGCACGCCGCGATGGAGGCACCGCCCCCCAACCCGCCATGTGGAGCTTTAAATTGCCATTGAGAAAAGGAAAGGCGGCCGCGCCGAGCAGGGCAACGATCTGTTCGTAGCCATAACGGAGCACGAGGCGAGATGTCACCGGTTTAAAGCGCTGTGAGAAAAACCAAGGGCAGGTATTAAGCAAATTCCACTGATAAAGACACTATGGCAGTAATGCGAGGATGGGTGTGGAGTCTCCATCAGCTGAGAGTTTAAAGGTAGCTTAAATTACGTGTTTTATGTGCAGCCACTCCCGTGTTTAACCAAGAAGGTGAGCCAAGTGCTCTGGTAGGCTCCTTTCCCGGTTTTATTTATTTTTTTCTCTAAATAATTCACGCTCTCATTTAATCTCGGTTTGGCTCCACAGAAATGATGGAGGAGCTTTCTCTCTCCAGGCAGCTCACAGAAAATAAAAACAAACCAGATCCTCAAATCACTTATTCTCAACCTATCTTCATTTAGCTTATCTCCACAAAGGAATCATTCAAGAGGAATTATATTCCCTTGGAATGAATAGTTCCTTTTCCTATGCATGTTTTAGCCTATCGCATAGCACAGTGATACAAAATAGGATACCTGTCTTCCTGTGGGCCCTTCTGCCCAACTTTCTCTCATCCTAATGCACAAATACCTATGACATTAGCTACTTTATTTCTTTTAACTAGTAAATGCTGGAGGAGAGATGAAGAGCTAGCAGCTGTGTGTACAGAAAACATCCTGACTGTCACTAATGACTTGGAGAAGCGGGAGTCTCAGAGACCTTCATGAAAACTCCAGTTTCACACTGCTTCGTGCAACAGTTACTGGATGCCATCTCAGTTATATATTATTTGGTGAAAACACATTTGGAATGTCTGGAAGTTTCTTTGCAGAAGTTAGGAACAGATACTTTCAGGAAGCCTGTTCAAGTGGCTGTGCCAAATCTGATGAAAGACCACTCCAGTACACAATCCTTCACCATTAGCAAACACCCACATTAAAACCAGGACAAATATGTACTCCTCTGTTTATCTTTCCAAGTGTCCTATCACTTGCAGTATGGGCTGTTCTAAGACATATCTGTATTTAAGAGCTTTGTAACACATTTGTTGAGGTAGCAGGCAGGCTTCCTGTGTAGTGGGTACTTTCTGGAGCGTTCACATTGCTTGAATTTGCATCCTTCCAAACTCCGCACTGAAAGATGTTACTGCTGATCTGAATGGACACGGTGAAAAAAAAAATCACATTTCTTTGCAGACACTGAGGATTCCAGTGATGTTACCAACAGCAGTGATTTTTAGAAGGAATGGTTAACACACCATTCACAGGATTTATCTCGTGAGATTGGGCAGCCTGCAGCCTTGGGTAACACAAATAAGGACTATGTGTTTATGACTGCCAGGCAAGCTGGAGCCCACTGAAAGCTGAACATGCAGAGCTGTCTTCATCTTCCTGAAATGAAACTTCCTGCAGAAAGGAGCACTAGCTCTTAATAAGCTCCAAATGTTATAAAATCTAAACTAGATGCTGATGCTTACTTGGAAGTGGGCAGTCTAGGTGATCTGTCTACTTCAGATCCCCCTCCTTAACTGGTTTCTGGTACACACTTATCCCTTCTGTGCTCTCATTTCTGCTGATTTGTGAAGATGCCTGAAACTGCAGATTTGTACAGTAGGAATCTGGATTGAAAGCAGTGCTATTAATGGTAAAATGGAAATACATTTAGTAACAAAGCCTGATAAAAGTATATAGTGAACACATCAAGTAGTTAATTTCTTCTTGAGTAACTTGCTTTTAGGGTATATTTTAGCAAAATTCAACTACAATTAAAATGCAGGAAATAACTTTAGAAAACTGACACAATTTCACTAAAGTTTCTAAATATGTAAGGAAAACTTTGAACATGTTTTGCATTTAAAACTGATCAAAACTATTAAGATGAAATTCACCTCATTCTTAACTGTGTAGCCCCTTAAGATTTAAGAGTTCACTAAGTGGCTTGTTTACATTTCTTATTACAAAGTGTCAGTTTCAGATTCACTTTTCAGATGTAAGCATTTATATTGAAAATCTACATAGTGGATTCTAAAAGAAATCAGTGAGGTTATGCAGGTTGATTTGTTAGCTATGTGAATGGAAGAAAATAGACACGAAGTCATTAATTAAAACTTGACACTTTTCTTTGTTACGCATCCATCCCAGAGGGGACAATTTCCTGCTATAATGATCAGTGACAGTCAGCATAAACACTAGGGAAAATACCTTAATTTCCCAGTGGATGTATATCTGAATAAACATGGCTTTTTCTGTGATCAACTCTTTGAGGAAACAGAAAAGGATGTGTCTTCTTTACAAAGGAAAAAGTATTGCTGCTTTGAATCACTGTAGAAAAATAGAACATTTTATATCTAAATGAAGTGCTACACCAGGTGTATCAGTGACTGTTATGGCCAACCTTAATGGATTTAGAAAAGAAAGATTTAAGACATCAGACTTTAAAAGGGAAAAACAGATTTATTTCATGCAGTTTACAATAGGCTAGTGTTATGAAAAGGAGGTTAAAAAAATACCCACACACATTTTTAATCGTATCTTTGTTTTAAAAATGATGGCTAACTATACCAACTTCAAATGTCTTGGGAAGCCCTAGCAGATTTTTTATCCAGGGAAACTCCCTGGATTCAATTTTTTGTCCATGTCTGTGCTAAGAGTTCTGGCTAATGCAAAGGCATTAAAACCAAATCAAAACTCAAACTTTGCTGCAGTAAGAACACTTCAGAGATAACGAATTGGCACAAAATAAAGTGTTATTGCTAATCCACTATCCAGGAAATAACATGTTGCAAGTATGGCCACTTGGATATTAACACAAACAGCTGATGCACAACTAACTGTGAGACAGGTGCTTTAAAACCAACAAAACCAACCTGCTGAATTGGGTAATGTGGGCCTAGACAGACTGTAGGAAATAGATTCAGGGATTTTTTCACAGCTAGGCTCAGATGAGGCTCAGGACAGAAGCAGGCTGAAATAGTTGCCATTTGGTACTTGTTCAGTTTGGTGCTCTTGGTTCAGTTCCAAGCAGATAGGTTGGCAACTTTTTTTTTTTTTTTGACAGTGTCTTGGCACTTGCTTTTCTCCTAGCAAGAACGCGTGGGCCAACTTAAATTTGAGTAATGTTGTGCATGAGCTTTTGTAAAATCTTCAAAAGGAGCAAGAATCATATACACAGATATTTCAACTCTTACATTTCATATGGATTGATTGGGCCTGGACATTTCAACAGGTGTTAGGTTGGGTCAAACCCTAGGCTCAGCATTAAGCAAAGCAAGGAGAACTTGCAGAACCTTCTCCTGCCCCAGCCATTCCCAAAGGATCAAAATAACTCTCAATAAATTGTTTTAATTATAGTAATTATTTATACACAACATCCTGAAGAGAACCCTGGAAAGAACCTAGAAGGCTCTGTTTGCAGCAGTATTTATTTACTGAACTTTCCAGAAGTTTATACCTTGGTAGATCTTACAACAGTGAAGGACAGCCAAGTTGCAATGAAATATTCAGCATCAATTTCCTGGCACAGAATCTTCCTCAAAGTCTCTCTGTTGGCAGTTCTGTTCACAACAGCTGTTAGATTTCAACATGGGCAATAATAAAGTGGTGGGCAAATGTGCTGTCATCTCTACTGTACTCCTTACCAAGCTGGTTCCAAACAAGATATGAACGCAATTATATCTGCAATTGGTTATATCTGCAATTTCTAAAAATGATTTCAGAGTCTGAGTTAGAAAAACAAACTAGCTGCTTTTTAGAAGTTATTTATGTCTCTAGAACCTCAAATTAGCCCTGGACAATATTTTAGCCCTTAGGATTTCTGCAGTGAAAATGAAGAGAGTTCCTTCTTTTACACAAACTGAACAGTAAAATAAGACCTATTTAGCCCTTTAAAGCCTCAGTCCACTAAGAAGCCTTTAAAGACAGCTCCTGATTGTTGTGAGCCAAAAGAAAGAAAAATTATATTACACTGAGTCCAGGCAGCTTTCTACATTTTTAAAAAAACTGAATATTCATCCTATTTTAATAATCAGTAATCCTACTCACAAACCCAGGTAAAAAATCCTGAGATTGTCCTTAAAGCTGCAAATAACTGCAGTCTAAAGTATAGCGAAGCACACAGACAGCTTCCTGTATATATCTCAAAATGGCTGTGTTAGGAAAGACACTTCACCAGAGACCCCTGGAGGTTTTAATCCCGCTGTCCTGAGATAACAAGTACTGCTAAAGGCAAAGCAAAATCCCATCTCTGTTTCAAAGACCCCAACTTTCAGGGTTGATTGAAGAAGTTAATTCAAAAAATTTGACAGAGATTGTTGATGCTGAGAGAGAGTTTAAAATAGGAGAACGACACTTTCTTGTTTTACTGCATTTTAAGTGAACAAAATGCCAAGTTTCGTCTCCAGACTCTCTTTTTTCCCTTGGCCTTGATCCCAAAGAAAAGCCCAGTTCTTAGCAGTTCTCCCAATACATCTCAAGGAACATATTCCAGCATACATGAACAACTAGACAACACACATTATAATACATTTCCTAGATAACTGCATTCACTCACCCATTTCTGCACTCTAAGCTCATTTTTATAATACTAACGAAACAGTAATTTGTAAATGATATGAGTTTGTTACTGCTCAAAAAGAGACTGAAACTTCCAGCAACCTCAACAGATGTTCATGGAATGTTCTGCAGTATTCTGTTCTGAAAAATAGTTTTCTGAAAATATCATCATCCCACTCAACAGACCTGCTCCTGAGCAAGTGCATTTTCTTTTGTTTAATCTGTTAGGATTTTTTTTTTTCTCCTAAAAAAAAGTCCCACTCTCAGAAAAAGAGGAGTTTGAATCAAGTTCTGGTAGCTCCAGGAAATAATCCCATTTCTCATCAGTCATAACTGCACAGAAACACTGCTGGAAATGGAGCTATGCAACTGCTGCCAGAATAAAACCTGAAGAGTAAAAGCTGGATGGGTATCTTGAGCTCAGTTTCTTCAAGAATATGTTCCACTAATGCTCAGGTGGGAAGATGGAACAGTTCCCAGGAACTGTTATCACGACAAGAAGCCTAGTGAATTTGAAAAAACAAAACCAGCATTTTCCAAATGTTCCAAGTATATCATTCTGAAGACTGAAAGTTCAGTAGGCGACCAAGGCCTTGACACACGTTTCTGTGGGATAACAAACTGCAGTTATCCATAATCCTCAGAAACCCCACAGTAAGTAAAAGAAAATTCCAGGTAAACTTTTGCTAAAAAATCTACTTCACACGTACTGTGGGACCTGCTGAGTCAGACCATACTTTTGGACAGTTCCATTCACAACTTCGCAGCCTCAGAATGCAGATCATTGCAGATAAACTCTGATTCAGTTGCTGCCTGAAGAAATGCAAAAGTGTTTGCCATAAAAATCAGTCATCTCCAATATTAAAAAACAGCCTGTTTCCTAACTTAAATAAATGAATATAGTAAGTATGGACTTCTTGGTTCTTCAACAAGAAGTCCATCATGCAATGAAAGTCTCTGAGAAATTCCTCTAAAAATCCACTGCAACCTACTGGAGTGGCCTCCTTCTCCATGAGCAACACACAAAACCACTGCCCTGAATATTCATAGAGTGAAAGTGTGGGAAGCTAAACCTTTCACAGAACTTACATTTTCATGAGAGGTTACCTTAAGTAACTGTAAGTTTTGGTATCTCTCCCTCCCTGCTTTCTTCCTTCATCAATCTCTCCGTGCTCAAAACCCTAAATCCTAACTTGGAATACTGTTTTAATGTAAAGGGAGAGAAGCTGGAAAAATCCAGAGCTCACCTCACGCTTTTTTTTCAGAATAGCTTTTCAAATACAACCCCTCAGCATCAGTTTTACATAGTCACGAGCAGTTGGCTTAAGTGAATACTCCCCAAAGGACAGAAAAGAAACAAAGGACGCCGGTTTAAACGAAGTCCATACGTAACCTCATCCTGTAAGATGTTAAATTACGAAGCAATTGTTGAAAAATGTGATGTAGATTGGACTCTAATGCAAAAAAAAAAAAAAAAAAAAAGCCCCTTTCTGTAGCTAACTATACTTGAAATTACAAGAGCCAAATAAAAACCTTCTTTAGGGATTGATTCTTAATGCCTTGAAAAAGGCGCATGATTGCACTTCCATCTATCTGAAAGCCTCAGATGTTCACAAAAAAATCAACAACAGCAAGAACAGGAAAGTAGGTAGTTCAGGTGTTCTCAAGCAATAGCACATACAAAATAATTTATAAGGTACCTGCCTTTTTTTTTTTTTTTTTCCTTAAAATCTCCATGAGGTATCGGAAACAAAGTGCAAAATGATTAACCACCATTTTCCCCAAATTTGCTACAACAGGGATACAATGTAAACTGGAGAGCAGGTAATCTCAACATAAAAGCATGTTTTAAAACTGAAAAAAAATCCAGTGAAAAAACATACTTAGGAAAAAAAACAAAACCAACCCTTTTCCGTACTCTGAGTTTGTTCGACTGGCTCAGTTTGTTACTTATGCTTTGCTGCTGCCATTCTTGAAGATCTCACCTTGTGAAATAAAATACTCTTGTCTTTTGAGGGTTAAACAAGAGACAATGGAAGTGCAGATTTAGAAGGATTATTACGCAGATATTTTGGGCATTAGAATACACGTGCACCAATGCCACATTGCTCTGTAAAGCTCGTCAAGAAAACCTGGTCAGCTGCAATTCCATGAGCTGGGGAGCTCACAGAATATGGTGGAGTCATGCTGTTTAAAAACACAGTGACTACTGCAGCAGAGGAAATGCTTTAATATGTAGATAACACAGACAATAGTTAGGCTTATTTTCAGATACACAAGATAATCTGTTACTATTTAGGGGAACCTTGGGTGCTAAATTTAAGCTGATAAAATATGGGTGCCTAAAAAAGTATAAAAGTATAAACATTTTCCCCTACACAATTACATGTTTAGTAAATTCAATTCATTTTGAACATCTTTAAAAAAGACAAACATTGTATGTATTGTTGTGGAGGGGCCAGCAGCTTTCAGTGCAGACCACGTCCAAGTGGCAAAATGCATTACAAACCCTTTCAAGCATTAGATGCATGGACAAAATATTTAGCTCACTGTTTAACCAGCTTAGTAGAAATGTTTTTTTTTTGTTTTTTTTTTTACAAATTCTGCCAAACTTTTATCAATGTATAGTAAGTCTTTTTTGGTTGTTTTTGTTTTCTTTTTTTTTTTTTTTTTTTTTAGAAAAAAAGGGTAGGCCTTAGGTGCTTGATAATCAGGCATTCACGTCAAGGATTACCGAGAGTATACGCATAAATCCTGAAGTTACTGAGAATTAAAACAAATGTCTTTAGAATTCAAAACAATTTTGTAACTTTTTGAAACTTCCTTCCACTGCTGTCAGCTACATGTGTCAATGTAGCTGAGTTTTATACTGTCAATATCATTAAGTGTTTTGAAGACATGAAAGACTCTTCTCAAAACATAGTGTACTAAAAAGCTCCAGTCTTGTGTATTAGCCTTCATCCAGGACACAAATCAATCAAGCTGAACCAGATGTTTTCAAAGTGTTTTTTAACTGCATAGTTGCAATAGTACAGAAAGACTGATTATGGTCATCTTGAATGTCTGGTTTTTCGATATTTCAAGAAGTTTCAGTTGCACAAGCTCGTGTTCATGCTCAAGGTTGATTTTTATCCCAGTCACAGAGACAGGGATCTAGGACCAGCCAGCCCAATTTCTATAACCTCCAGCTCTTGAAAAATCTCTACCATAATCCACTGTTATCAATACTTACAGGAATTTTAGAAGTACAAGCACAGATATGAATACTAACATCTCAAAAGAAACAAAATTTTCTGTTGTTCATCTTAAGTGAATTTCGATTCCCCTTCCAAACATCTGTCTAAGACTGGAGCGTGACTTTTACAGGAGGAGACTGTTTTGTCAGAAGGAACATCAAGAATGACTCAGACGAAGGCCATTTTCTCTGAGTATAGTCTTCCCTTTGGGTATTAACGTACGCTATAAACCCAGTCAATATATACAAACCTTCCTTTAAAGAAAACCTTTGTTGTATAACTTTTTACGTGCTAGTTTCAGTTGATCTCCTAGGCTGTTCTTACCTAATAGAATATGTTGCAGTGCCATAAGGAATGTGCAGTGTGAGACAGTCAGCTGGGGCTGTCACTGATGCTGTCACTGATTCTGAAACAATATAGGCCCAAATATTTGCATTTGTGGGCTGTAACGTGTGTGTGTGTGTGTGTAGCACCAATTGCATTGTCTTTTAAATGTTTACAATTATTAGTAGGAAAATCTCTGCTAACTGATCAACATTGGGTCATCCAGCACCAAGCATTAAGTGCTACATGTCTCAGAGGAAAATATGAGTGCGTGGTTATTTCTTTTCAGATGGCCAGTGTTGGATAGCCCATAAGAGAGTACAACCATGCACTACAACCAAAACTTAAAACACACTCCCACACCATCTATTCCCATTAAGTAATCTTACAATGCATTAAGCCAGTTGACACCAGCTCATAGGCAAAAATGGTTGAACCCAGATCAACAGAAAATTGTCTAAATCAGATTTTTTTCTTTTGCAGTCAAGCCTCTTCAATGTGACAACTCACTGCATCTTGGAATAAACAAGAAAAAACTTCACCCTTCAATACTGCCTTCACATCCTGGATCCTCGTTCTTGCAAAATCTGAAAGAGGCAAATAAAAACTCTGTAAATGAAAATCCATGCAATGTCATTCCTAAAGAATGGAGGACAAAGAACAACATAATGACTACTTCAAATAACTGATATCAATTTTTTAGGAAGCTGGTTCAAGGACCTTCCTGAAACCTGTGCTTTAAGATTGAAAAAAAAAAAAAAGAAAGATTAATACATACCATATTTACTGTCAAACTTTGTGAAAACACATGTACATCACTACTAGTAACAGAGTCTGATTAATATAGTCAAAGCTTAAGGTTGGGAGATGTAAGAAGTAAGCCATTTCAGTCTCACCACTGTTCTAAATTTACTTAGGTTCTGTATGGTAAATGAACCCAGATACTTTATTGAAAATGAGGATGTAATCTTAACTTTTTGCCACTGTAAAAAAACATCCTTAACTCTTGAAAGTTTCAGCTGCAAACTGCATCCTCTGAAAACATGAATTAGCAATTCAAAATGTGCACAAATGACACAGTGGGTGAGATGATGCAGACAGCTTTCAAGGACCAAGAATATAAGTTGGCAAGAATCTAATCTACATTTGAAACAGATGTCCAGGCTTGATATTTTGCATGAACTACATGTAACCAACTAGATCTCTTCACAGATATTTACTATGCTGTTCAGAAATACAAAGCTCATCAGTTGGACTGACCAGCTATAGGAAAATAAATACTATTTTATGACAACCATTTTTATATATTTTTACATGAATATTATTTGCTCTGTTTTTATAGAGACAGGACACTGCAATTCTCACACATTACTTTGTCCATTGTTATTTTTTGAATGATTCAAGACAAGGAACTGAGAAGCACTGCAGTTTTTGACCTCATGAGCAGGAATGTATTTCTCACAAATTGCAGCTGTTACTACAGAACTGAGATTCCCATTGCCATGAGTAAAATGATTATTTTTTTCTTAAAAGCAGTTGGTTTGTTTAATACTTACTTTAAAAGGTGTATATTAAATACAGGGGCTGAAGTCTAACAGAAAAAAAAAAAATCTGTCCTTGAAAACTCTGGGAAATGTTGTATATAACATCTAGCAACACAAAAGTTATGTATCCCATTTGCATTTGACTATTATTTTTTTCCTTCTCTATTTAGATTCTCTTCAGTACCTCCAGTGAAGGAAGGATCCACGTTTTAGGACTGACTCCAGGCAACATTTCTCACATTGCTACTCTAACCTGAGTGTCAAACAGCAGTATCCAGGTCAGCTCTGAGGTTCCACAGAGGAGCCTTCTAGCAAACATAGAACCAGTCACGACTGAGGTAGAAAAGCCTACTAAGTAAAGCTTCAAAAGTACTGAGCACAAATATTTAACAGTGTTCATCTGAAAGTTAAACTATCTCTAATGATACTTCATTTTCCTCTTAATTCTTGTCTGTTTTCTAAGTGCTGGGAATGGCTCTTGATTTCAAACGCTGAAACAAAGCAAAGGCACAGCATGGGAAACAGCATGGCTGTCTTCGATATATAATTTCTTTCTATGATGATTTGAATTTAATCTCATGCTATAACAAATATCATGCCAATAACTCAGTAACACATTCCACCCCAAACAATTCACAGAATCTGACAGCTTTGTGCCTGTTGGGTAAAAATTGGCAACCACTTATAACACAGCATGCCAATTCCATGCATGGTTTCAGATGAAAAAGTCTAGGAATTTGGTTTCTTTTAAATATTGTTTGAATGTTGACAATTGAACATACCAGCCTCTATCAGTCATCAGGCCCAATATGTCTTTTTCAGTGACTACAGTCATAGAACTATAGAATCACTTGAGTTTGAGTTTTAAAAGATCCTAAAAGATCATTTAGTCCAGTTCCCCAGTCAAGTGGGGTCTTGCCTGCTTTGCACAACTTCATGGGATGTTTTTTAAGACTAGAGTTCAGAAAGACTCCACCACCCATCCTTCAGAGACAGTTGAATGTTAACTTCAAAATTAAAAAACAAATCATTTTTATTCTTTTAAATCCACTTTATCACTTGCACACTGAAATCCCACCGGTGTCTCACTTTGTGGTTACAAAATTCTGTTTCATTTCAAAGTCAGACTGTATTATTTCTTTAGGAAAACAGATGACAATGCAAGATCTTCAATACAGTTCCATATGGACAGATGCTTCTGATGGGCTCTGATACATTTTAATGCAAACACAGCCTATTTCAGGAGGAATAATTTACTGTGTGTACTAAACAGAAAGCATTTCACATTGAATTGTAGGAAAGATACAAATGTGTTCTGCAAGGAAGAGACAGGCCTTGAAAACTGCTCAGTAGGTACTACAAAGACATTCAAAAGGTATTAGAAAGAGAAGATAATGTCATTGATACCTATCTGATGCACTGACCTGCATGCAGGCTTGAAGCCAAAGAAAAAAATAAAGCTTACTGGAAGCTGGGGAAATATATCAGGAGTTAATTGGACATATGCTTAATACTTAATCTCTTTCCTTTAGTACTTGCAGTCGATTGTAGCTAAGAACAATGTATTGGAACAGAAGCCCACATGGTGGATAATAGTCCGATGCAGCAATTCTAGCCAGTAAGGCCAAAAACATTGCTGAAACAAGCACCTGTGCAGTTAGAAAACATTACTGCATCTATTCATTTTGTGAACGTTTCCCATCTAAAGTACAACATTTGAGTTTATTCTTTCCTTAAAAAATACTCTGACGTTTATTTAATAGAGCTAGAACTTCTGTAAACTTCAAGAACACATACAGTAAGATGAAGCTACCCCAGATCTGGCTGTTCAACTTGGCACACTTTGTTGAGACAGTAAATCCAACAAAAAGTAGAAAATTCCATCAAATCAGACAATATTTTAACTTGCTTTGCTTCATGCTTTTCTGGTAACCCCTACTTTTACTAAAGAGAAAGCACCTTCTGATCAGCTGGCTCTCAAGAGAGAGGTGCTCCATCCACCTCTGTTTAGCAGCTGGGTGAAGGATGATCTTCTATAGTCACGGCACAGTGATTTTGTCCAAAGAAGGAAAAAAATTTGAATTGAATTTGAATTTCAATTATCAAGAATTATACCGAAATTGGGCTTACTTACTAATTGCTCAAAGGATGACTGACTCGGTTCTGCAATCTGAATTTCCTCCTTTTCTTCTGAAAATAAGATGTTAATGAGATGGTGGCTATCTGGGCACAATGCTGAGAGAAGACACCTCAACAATAGTAGAGGCAACTAACATTTGAAAATGGTTGTGGCAGATATTCTAAACTGCTGGTAGCTAGGACTGAGGGGTATATCTGGAGCAGAAAGTTTTCATGCAAGAACATGATCTAAACATGCAAGAACATGAGCTAAACAGAGACTTGCACTGATCATGCTCCTTTGTCCTTATTCTTCAAATCTGATGTGTTCAGAATTTTCCTGCTTTTCATGCTTCTATTCTGTTTTTCCTCCAGGTATTCTCAGGAATGCTGAATAAACTCAGTTTCTGAGGGCCTGAGTGTGACAGCTTCTGAGATAACTAGAATGCAAGACCTATTTCCTCCCACTCAGAATAGATCTGCTACAGATGTAATAGCATCTGAAGAGACTTTCTGTCTCCTGGGTAGCTTAAGAATCCAGCATTCAATTCCATCAGAGGACCAATTTACTTTTTTTCAACAAAGCTTCAGATTTGATCCATTCCTTGCAGCCATTTTGTAAGAATAGGGTCTTTTGCCAAGCCCACCTCAGCAGCAGTTCCTGTTAGTATCAGGTAAGATAATAATCACAGTCAGAGAATGATTTGGGTTGGAAGAGACCTTATAGATCATCTAGTTACAACTAGTTGTAACGTAGCTTCCTCTTCCTCTGTGCAAAAGCAACATTTCAGAAACACTTCTGTGCAACTTCTATGTTGTTCCAGCAGTGACTTGTTAAGCACCTCTATCTTCAGCAAGACATCAAACTACAGTGGAAAGGACCTAATCCCTCTGTGGAGGGAGTTGTTTTGTGTGAAAAAAATAACAGTACATTAAGATCACATCATTTGCTTGTATTTGCCAAGTCTTGATTCAAAAACATTTAGTTTCAAAATTACCAGATATTTTGACTATGCCGTACTTCAGTTAAGCTTGTAAATGTATTGCCAGATCAGGTATTCACTGAAAATTTAGTCTGCAAGTTTGTATCAGATGCCCCTACCCATAAAAAGTAATTGACAGAAAGATGTCAAAACCAATTCTGGTCCTAGAGCATCATCCCATACAATCTATATGAAGCACTTTTTCTCTTAGCATACCTTTAAAGGACATCACCATACTACAGCTGATAACGGCCACGTTCATTATTTTGTTAAAGAGCCAACATACAGAACAGGTTTTCTGCTTCTGCTAACCATGCCACAACTATAATCACGAACAAATACACCACTAGGACCAGCCAAAGGATAGCACTACTGGGGACAGGAATCGGTGGGGCAGAAAAGCATCTGGGTAAAATCCTACGGCAGCCAGTGCTCACCATGACATTTACACTTAATCTGAGTCATTCATATCGTAATCCGTTTCTTCATCTTCACTCTGAGTGGCATGCAGCATGCAGCAAGTATAGAGAAAGGGAAGGAAAAGAAAAGATTGCAAGTGAGTCAGAGCTGCAACAAAGTACAGTCCACTTAGACTTGAAGCATTGGAGAATGGCACTAATTTACTTTTATTTGGGACCCCCACTCTTCATAAGGAAGCATGACAGCAGACAATTTCAAGCAGAACATTATGGATTTCATGAAAACGTCCTCTCCCAAATGTCCAAAAGTCTGCAGACAGAAGTCAACAGCACCACGCAATATAATAACAGGGACCTTAAGTACACAGAAAATGTAAATAATCTAAAGTTGGCACCTTAGCTTCTCCACAGATGGGGAGGGATAGCACTTGAAAATCAAATTTTGGATGTAGATGAAGAGGCTGTAGTCATTACAGGTAAATACACTGAAAGAGCAAAGTGCTTGTGGGAACACAGGCAATCTTACAGTAATGTCATAGCTACCTGCAAAGACACTGAAACAATCTAAGTCAATGTTCCAAATGGGGTTAAATTCCCTCTCTCAGCCACACTAGAAGGCTGCAAAAGAGTCAACTACTGACAAGAACTAAAAAAAGCAGGTGCTTAAATACATCCCAAGACTGGCAATCTTGCTACCTGTTACATAGTTTTGTTGGTCATTTTTGTTTTTTACTGCAATTTGACCAGCCATTTCTTCCTTAAAAATGCCAATGGCATTTTAGATCAGGCTAAAATTACTACTCTGTGGAAAATATACACTACAGGAATGATCATTTTTGTACTTATTAACCACTAATGCTTCACAGCACATTTTCAATTATTTTTCTATATGTTATATCAACAAAACAATGTGTTATGCTTTGTACAAGCTAGAGGTTTACCAACATGTAGTTAAGTGAAGTATAGGTTTGAGAGGCAGTGAAGTTTGCATAGATCACTCAGGGTGAGAGTGGTGAAATCACACATTTCAAGATTTTAATTGCTAATGTTTCTCTGTTCCAACCTATCTGTGCAAGCTGTTTTCCATCAAACATCTCTAAGAAGGAATGAGGTGACACTTGATTACATAGAGTATCAGAAAATGCTTCTTCTATTTTGAAAGTTCACTACTGTTAATTAAAATCGAAGTGCCTGTCACAAAACATTACTTTTTTTTTGCTTTCTCTAACCTGATGTGTTGTAAAACTAATAGTTAGGAAGACTTTCTCACAGTTTCTAAAAGTCAGCTTCAGGATGTGATCACCTCAACCCATATATATATCACTGGATACCCTAATTTCAATCATATGAACTTCCTGAGGACCAACTCAGATGCTACTGAACAGACCACAGACTGGAAGTTTAAAACTAGCTAAGCAAGGAACTACTGAGACAACAACTCCCAAGGACCAGTCCAAATTTCTCAACAACAACACAGAAACCTCTCAACCAAAAAGGAATTCTGCTCCTCACACCCTGACAAAACATCCATCTATAACATATATAGCATAAAAATAAATAAAAAGGATTATTCAAGTATTGCCATTTATTGCTAGCAACTGCTCAACTCTTCCAGGACAAAAGGAGTGAATGTTTATACCTTCAAATAAAAATGAGCAATAATTCTCATACCATGTCCTGGTCAAGTTATGCTCTGTTCTCATCTCTGAAATGATAACCAAGAAGTATTTAAAAAGAGAAATCTAAGATTTAGCATCTCTCAGAGCTACTAATTGTACAGCAGTTGAACCATGCCCTGAACAAGTTTATCTATTCGGGTTTTGACAATTCAGTTTGATGTATATTTTCTACTATGTGAAGGATGCAGTGTAACTCTGGCAACTTCTGAAGTTCCCTGAGTACACACCACAAATTCTTATGAAGATGTACATAAGGTTCAAGAATTCACTTTTCATTCCAGGCACATATCCCAGCCCTAAACTACTGCCACGCTCCTCTTTTCCGACTCTTAAGTTTTCCTGAAGCATTCTGACAAAAGCAGAACTTGATTATGTTAATCCCTTAGAACTCTCTGGAAATTTTATCTCAACAGAGACAAAATAGCAGAAATCAATAATTTGACTAAATATATATAAATAAAGCTTGGAGTACTTTTAAAATGTAATTTACAAAAATGTCTCCATATATGTAGCAGCAAAACAAAGCTACACAGCACAGAAAGTAGAGAGGTTCAGTCCATTTGGGGCCACAATGCCGAAGATCCAGATTGCTTTTCAGCATTATTTCAAGATTTATTTACCTTGAAGATGATTCTTGAAAGAGCAATCAGTGATGTTTCACCGTCTCCCATTTAAAAACACCACATGAAAAGCTTTTAAGCCAGCTACAGAAGTACTCAGTTTATCTATAGTCACTTCCTCTTACAAAGCAACTGCACCATGATAAAAACATCTAATATATGCAGAATAACAAGTGTCCATACATAACTCATTGCCTTCTTACTGCTCAGTTGCCTCTTTACATTTTTCCTTTGTACAAACTCTGAAAGACAACAGATGAAAATGCCTGGATATTGTGCCCACTGCAATCTTCTTATAAAACTGGTTATAGAGAGGAAGGAGAGCTGGAGAGAAACATGTAAATAATAAGCTATCAAGCACATTCATTTTTTAATGTATTGCACCATTTCTCAGAGATGCCATATTAAAATTCCCATTCTTGGTTGTAAGATTTCTTCAGTTGAACTCAAGCAAGAAGAACATTTTTCAACTGAAACACTGAAAGAATAAGGAATTATTCAAATGCATAAGAAAATAAAATGCAGATTCTCAACTGTAAACAGTAAACATCTGTCAGTACTCAATAAGCAGGACAGGCATCAGGAACAGTACAGATATTCCATTCATAGAAGCTATCTGGTGTAACAGATACTGCTGACTGTGCCATTTATGCTCTCCTGCACAATGAACAGGGAACCACTACTTCCTTGAAGGAGGGGGAAAAAAAGGCAAGTAAAGAATTGTCCAGAAGAAAGGTATGCCTTGCATTAATTAGCAAAGCCTATGCTGTGCTGACGCCACCTCTTTGCTCCAGTATACAGTAACTTACCTTTGCTTTTTCACTGGGTTCACTGGTTGTGCCATAGGGAGTGTTATGCAATTCCTTTGAGACAACACACAGAAATTCAGCCTGATCTTCATTGCCATAGTTATAGGAAGAACCGATACTGACCAGCTGAAAAATGAAAGAAAGAAAAAAATCACTTGCATTTCTACATAAAACAAATCCCACAACTTCGCACTCCTCATTCTTCACATGATGGCTGTGCCTGAAGCATAAGTCTCCATTTCAATGCAAATACATTTTGATGTTGACAAATACACTGACACTCTGATGGTAAGATAAACATAGCTTTTCTTTTTAAACATTTACAGAATTAATGGCTTACAATTATGATTTTATTGTCAAACAAAAGGCTACAGAGTTAGGCCAGAGGAAAAGCAGCCCATTCCCTGTTCCTGTTATTTAATGGAAACATTCCCATCCTCCAAAGTTAATTTTTACAAATTTGTATGTTGTGTCTTAACACAGCACAATTTAGCACATAAATGGCTGCGTGCAGGAAGCACTTTAGCCAGGAAGGATAACTACCACTTCACTACGGATAACAGCACTTCTACTAAAACATCTTCTGAGTGGGCAGCATTAAAATTTGTCCCTGATTGGAAAACAGCAAAATACAGCATGTTGGGATGATTAACTATTAGCTATGATTAACTATGATTATGTTGGGATATGTCTGAAATACATGTGTACTGCTGCAAGGAAGTGATTCTAGGAAGGACTATAGGTGGAAGCAGTATATAATGAAATGATTTATAAGCTTCTACAAGTCTTGATATTAAATGATAAATTACAATTTACTGAGAACGAAGGATATGCTAAACATCAATATTACCTATACACAACATATTTATCAAATGGCACAAGTTTCATACACCTTGTCTTACCTTACACACAGTACCCCTGCCTAATGCTAGAAGCTTTACACAGCCTGCCTTTCCCAGCCAGAATCAATTCTGATGAAGCTGGTTCATTTTTTTAAAAAAGATTTACTTCAAAGCCAAGAGAGGTAATGTATGGTGCTATAATTACTGACACAGATCAAGCACCTAAAAATCAAACTGTTTCAGAAACACTGTATCTAAATGCCATTCCCAAAACTATATTGCATCTAACTGCCAAACCACCACAGACATGTAATAAGGCTGCCCTATTCCTCAGACTCTATTATATCATTAAATCATCCTGGTAATAGCTCCACAGGAAAGGCTTGACTTGCTTTTTTAGATGAACAACATTTGAAAAACTGTGGTTATTTGTCTAAAAACAAATGTATCTCCATCAGTCTGGCAGAGCACCAGAGAGAGTTAAGACTTCTTAGAGGAGGGAAGATGAAACCAAGGTAAAATCTCGGTCCAGAATCTGTGCTTAAGGCATGACTCCCCTAACAAAAGTGAAAGGCAGACCATGGTTAAAAGCAGCTTCCATCTCAGGAGAAATTTTAAGGAGAGAGAGGAGATATTCGGATGTTCCAGCACTCTGGTAAGACAGCCAAGCAAGAGCATCCACAGATTGACAAAGCCAGAGTCCACAAGAGCATCAGACTGCATCTCTGCAGAATGAAACAACTTGCCAGGCTTAGGCAATAACAAAGTTTTTGGATCCTGATGGTATTAGAGCATGCCTAATATCAGGTGTACATCCCTCTCTACCAGGCTTGGCTTCTACCCCTTCTGTGTTCCACTAAGAGCTACAGCAAGGCTGTTTTCAAGGCCTCTCTTTTAAAGGAGGGGAAAGGAAGGACAACTGAAAGCCATTCTCCTTCCCATTTCAAGCAGAACTGCAGGCATGTTGAACTGCCACGCAGTCAGAGTATGCACAAGACTCAGAAACACGTTGGTATTTGATAGCCTCACAGCAGTCTGGCCATCAGTGCTGTAAAAGATTTGAACAGTCCAGAACTGGCAGTCAAAATTCAGCACTCTCAAACTAAATTTACTTTACCTACACTGTTCGGGTGTTATCACCTGAAGTCCTTCCTCTCCTTCTCTCCCCTGACTCCTATCATTACTTCTGACAATATACACGTGGTCAGTAATGAATACGGGCTGATCAAAAAATAGTGTGATCAAGACACTTTTTCACTAAAGCATTTAATGAAGTGAGAAATTCCAAGCCTCTTTAGAAGCACCAAACACCCTCATTAGAATCCAAGGGCACCATTTACCTGGAGAGGTCAAGTTACACTCTTCTGTCTGCACCAGATTATATTTTTGTGAGATAGAATCATAAAATCCCTAAAGTTGCCTAGTTGCCCCAAATGGACTAAGAGAGTACACTGAAAAGCTGGAAAGATAACTCAGACCTTCTTCATAAATACAATTTGTTGACCTTTGTTCTTATCAGCAAAAAAACCCATGTACAGATCTTTAGGAAAAAAAAGCTGTTGAGCTGGCTCTAGGCCTGCTGACGTGGTATAGAGTTTGGTCTATGCATTTTGTATCAATTAAGAGCTATATAATACAAATAGGACAACTACCTCAATTATTCTTGAATATTAAACAGTACGTTGCAGACCAGAACACATTCAAAAACCTGGGGACATATTTAAATAAAGCCATAAATAATTAACTTGTTATGAAGAGAAATGAATAATATTTAAGTATATGATTTCATCAGCATGTAGTCAATTTTTCTTTAAGCAAAATGGCAAGAACTTGATATCAGATAAGCTATGACAACAGCTGAAATGATCCTATCAGAAGAAAAAATTACTACTTTACTCATTGACACACAACAGTAATAAACGATCTCTCTGACAGACATGATAAAAGATGCAAACATCACCCAAATCCTCAATCCTGATTCAACTAGGCTGACAGTTCCTCAGCTGATAGCTACTTAAATTCCTACCAATGCTTCATAATTCAAATTAGATGACCTTTTACACATAAGTCTCTTTAGGAGACGTGGCAGACTGACTGCTCATTAGCTACTTGGACAATATTGAATCTGTTCACTGCAATAGGTATAGATGTTATTTTCCATTATTAAATAGCCAGCGGATTACAAGACAAAGTTTTGGTTTTTTTTATTTTTTTTGTTTTGCAGTATTAAAGGCAAGTGCTTCAAAACTCCAGTGTGCAATACTCCTACAAACAGTTCTTTATGTCTTCAACTAATACTTTTTTTTTTCTTTGAGCTCTCCATGACATGAACATATGAATAAAGTCATGGTGCCTATACTCTACACATCCGTAGCAATACATCCTATTTCCTACTCAGTTCTGGAAAGTCTGCAAACCTAGTGCATTAATTCCACAATCCAAAAGTTACCTGTGCAACTCTAAGAAATAGATATTGCTCAGTACCTTAAAAGTAGATTCCTGAATATACCCAGGCAGCAGTCCAGGTTTGAAATCAAGAATTGCAAGGCCAAGTGACCACGAAATAGGCAAGATTTTGCTCATAACTCACTTCACTGTCATGCTATCTTATGATGTTATACTAATCTTTTAGACTAACATATATATATACATATATCAAGGAACAGAAAAAGTACTCCAAGTATTTAACTGATGAAAAATTCTGCAGAACACCAGGTCCTCAGATCAATTCACATCATACTCTGAAACAAAGCGTAGCCACGTAGAGAGCTGGGATCTGCCTCCAGTGCTACTGGCTAGCAAAACAAATCCCTCCCAAACTCCGGAACACTGGAAGTGGCACAGTGATTAAAAAAAGCAGTGACTTGAGAATAAGGGGAGAGGGAAGGATGAGACAGCCTAAAAAGTAAATGAGACACTGTCACTATTCATTAGGTTCTCAAAAAGCTTTCCCAAGGGGAAAAAAAAAAAAGAAGAAAAAAAAGAAAAACAAAAAAACCAAAAAGATCCCAAGATATTCCTTCTTCCCAACACAAGCTTTAAAACGAACTGCTGGTTTTGTTTGTCTTTCCAGGTTTATTATTTCTGAAAAAACATGTTATTTATTGTTCCAGTTTGAATATATTTTATCCACCTAATAACCAGTCACATTTGGAGTTACCACAAATAGAGGACTTGGAACTCAAAAGGTAACTCATTATCATGCAGATGAAATATAGTTGGCTTGGAAGAATGATCAACACAGAAAAGTACATCCCTGTCTGAAATCAGCAAACTCAAAGCTGTTATTTACAAGGCTCCTGATATTCGAATTGAACAACTTTTACCTAACAAGTACAGGTCAAAAGCAGTTAACTTTGGAGGAAGATTTGAGGGAAAAAAATTACCTATTGAGAAGATAAGAATTCTTCTTAAGAAAAACCTTCATTTAACTCGAGTCTGAATAAACATTTGTTTGTTTAAAGCAAAACAAAACAAAAAAAAATAAAACACCAAAAAAACAAACAAACAAAAAAACCCAATGTGAACATTGATAATGTGCAATGGAAGACTGTGAATATAAATAAAAGCCAGTCACAAACACGTACAAACTGCTATGTGTTGTACACCCAGGAATAAAGTGGAATTATTTGAAAGCAGCAGAAACGCAAGGAGGCCAAGCATATCAGTGTGAGGGCAAAAGGAACAGCGTGACACACCTCACTGCAGCATTTCTGGAAGCATCTCTCTTCCCCTTTCACTTCCCGTGACACTATCAGCAGATACTCTGACTGCTGGGCCCGGCCACAGCCATACTGGGAACCTATACTGACAAGCTGAAATAACCAATCAGAGCAAAACACAAAAAGAAACCTTTGTAAAGCTGCAGCACATACCATTATCCAAATCATACAAATAACAGATGAACTCAAATGTGTAGGCAATATTTACTTGTCCCTAGAACAGGCCACAATTTTAGTTTTAGCTTACTAAAAAGTAATGGAAGCAGTCGCAAAACCATCTGTAATTTCATGGGAAGTTAAAAGAGTTACTGATCAAAAACCAGAAAACTCCTCATATCATTGTGGTGTAACCAACTGTACCAAAAAAAAACAAAGCAAAGTTTGGTGTACTGTGAAAATGAGAGCATTATTTTCCTGTCATTCATTCCAATTGCAGAAAGTAACATGGATGTAATATTGGAAGGTGTTATGTAAAGTGATATATCCAGCCTGGGAATGAAAGGGCTTCATCTCGTTCAGGAGCTGTTAAACAAAATACAGCTAAGGAAACATATAAAGTCAACTAGAGGGGGGAAAAAAAAAAGAGTTGAGCATTTCAAAATGGCTTCAGAAGAGTTGATTTACAGAACACCAAAGCGAAGAACTGTCGTGAAAAAATTGTCCTGTTCTCATTAAAGTCAATACTGTGAACTGCCCTTGCAGCTTTCAAATGTCTGAAAATTCACAGGTTTGTAACAACCTCAGCAGAATTTCACAATTCATTACAAAAAAATATTTTATCTTAATACATGGCAATTCCTAACCCATTTAATTCAAAGTGAAGAAAAGGGCACTTGAGAAAGATGAGAGCTCTCAATTGAGCGTGAAGAACGAGCCACTAACTGCCCATTCACAGTAAGCAAAAGATCACCACTGATGAGAACATTCATGACCATTAGGTTTATTTTTATCCTCTTATGCACTGTGAATACCTTTGAAGGCAGCAGATAAATGCTGTCTTTTTCAGACAGTGAACCTATTGAAGATGGTGTTATGGTGACAGACTCGGGTTACATTAAATATTAAAATTTACATGACTGATATGCTGCTGCTGCATAGAGCCTTTATGAGCAGCAGTTCTGTACGGCCCAAAGTCTCTCATTATGCAGTAATGCCCCAGTGTTCGTTTTCTGATTGCCTGAAGATGTAATGATGGAAGCTAAAAATAATCTACAGACTAACACATTAAAAATCACCCAAGTGGGGCAGCACAGTTATTAGGGGTTGTTTTTGGAATTCAGCTGATATGTAATTGCAGATTTCTAGCACTGCTCATTTATGTTCTTTGGAAAAGTGCATCGGTGCATCCTCATAAGTGCACTGAAAGTTTAACACTTTCCACTCCTATTCAATTATCACATCCAATTGTATTTTAAGAGGAATTTTTTAAATGTTAAGAGAAAAAATATTGTTTATCAATCTCAACCACTAAAACACGTTACATTGGGTGCAGAACACAGCGACTCTCAACCCTCAGGCATTTTTCCTTTGAAAAAGCTGATGATCTCTATTCCATCACTGATATCTATGGAGTGTGGCAGGTGCCATCCCAAAGAGTGTTTCCACAGGAAGCTGAGCAACGGATATTTATTTAGAAAAAAAATACAAAAATGTTACAGTGTGTTCAAATCTTAATAATATAACTGCTTATATATATATATATATATAATAACAAAGTATTGCAATCATGTTCTAAGTGAAAGATGCCCTCTAAAAGCAGGTCTGCAATAGAACCAAAGGAGAGAATGGCATGGGCTGAAGTAAGGAGAAACTGAATAATAAGGGAACCTAAAGCTGCTGTGGCTGTCTACCTCAAGCTACGTGCCTGAGAGAGAGCAATGTGGGGGAGAAGCAAAGTAGGAAGAAAGCTGGATGAAACAAGGATGTAACGTTCAAGAAAACCACTAGAATTTTCTCAAAATGTAAATTCTAGAAGAAATTACAATGGTTCTTTCTGCAGCTGCACTGCCAAAACAATAATATTTCAAAATGCAATATTCCCAAAGAATGTAGGATTTTAAGACAGCTAAAAGATATAGCAGCAATTAATCTGTTGTAAGAATATCTATTTTTTAGTGAAAGACCGTTTCCTGTGACAAAGAAGAATGTCTAAAAAACATTATCAATGCACTGGTCAAAAACGAGTCCCATGGATGAAAAAAGAGCTTTTTTCACTGATTTAATACTGAGTTTCTGGTATGCCAAATGGATCTTCCAATACTTGAGCTGGAGAACTGAAGAATAAACTTTCTCTGTGCTGGTTTAGTTTATTTGAGAATGGCTTTGTCTATGATATAAGAGATTTGCACATTTTATAGAATACAAACAAAACATTCTTTTTTTAGGTTTGTGCACCGCAGTCTTAAAATGATCTTAAAATGTGTTATTCAGGGGAGACTGCATGGGATAAAAAGTTTGATTATTCCAATCTCTCCTATAGTTGGCACCAGACACTGAAAAACATGGTGGCTGAGCACCTGTGTCTTACACCAGAGTCACTGTTCCAGCACAGTCTAGATATTCGGGTAGTTTAGGAATGTGAACATTGAAGAGACCATCTACTCAGTTTATTCACAGACATTATAAAAAGTAACAGAAAAATCTTCTCATTTTACACTGTATTCTTCAGTGTACACACACTACTACTTTTATGCAAAGCAAAGAAGGAAAACAAGTAGCTCCCACCTATCCAGCCTCACAGCTGCAGAGATTTAAGTTGTTTATAAGCCCCTTATCTGAAGAACCACTGTTTGGATCTGACAAACATTTATCTCCCAAGCCCATCTCTTCTACCAAGAACTCTTTATATCTGATCTACCATTTCTAGAAACCTTTAAATTTTTTTTTCACTTTAATCACCATCCAAACGTCACTGTGCAGACCCCAAAGAGTTACATTTCAAACATGATGCACATGTTTTTATTGAAAGTCAGATCCATTTCACCGTTGGAGAGCATTTCTGTTCTCTGACAAATAAGAATACAAACACAAAACTTCAATTTAACTGGGCATCTTTTTATCAATCCAATTCCTGTTAACGAGTGCACTTAAAAAGATGCATATAATTGACTTTCTACTTCTCTTACACATAATTACACTACATTTTCAGAAGACTCTGTAATTACATCCTATATATTTTTGTTACCTGTTCAAACTTCCAACCATCAGACATTGTGGAGACCATTTGAGTGAGTTCCTCTTCCTGGCACTGCAGCACTCTATACACGTGTTTGACTGGCACCTTTAGAAAGAAATATAAGATGCTCAATACAGCATGGAATTCACTGTCTTCGTGAGTTTTCTTCCTTATTCTTTATATTTAGAAAGCAACAGTTTTGGGTTTGGTTGAACTCTCATTTGTTCAGGATCACCCTGTAGCACATTTGGTGCTTCATGAATGCTTCAGGGACTGACAGTGCTACATATGAGCTGTAATAGTCCCTAAAGAGTTGAGCTTCCTCCACTGTTCCATGTGTAGCAAACCATATCATTTAAAATCAAGGCTGATATTCTGCTTATAAGGAATATCTTATGTCTCTTGCTCAAAAACATTTCTACTTCCCTGCCAAACTTTCCCCTACAGAACAATGAATAACTGGGACCACATCAGGTGAAACCATGTAGGAAATACTGTGAGATAAACTCAGGTATCCCATGGCCCAGCTTCAATAGCAGTTGGGCAATAAGAAGTTTGTAATGTCTCCATGAAGACATCATCAGGGAAGGCCAGAAAAGACTGTTAAAGAACAGTCACAAACTTGAATATTTTCTTTACCTAATCATTTCAATGTCATATTCACTTTTACAAAGAAGCTGATTTGGCAAGATCTTTACAACTACAAAACACCACAAATACAGAAGAGAACTCTACTACAAAAGATTAAGTTGAGAGCTAAATAACATCTGTACGTACGCTGCACAAACATGCAGCTACAGCATTTTCAGACAATCTCACCACAGTCAAAGTACATAAATATATATGAAAAAATTGAGTTTTTTCTGAAATAACTATTTCCAAACATATTTTGATAATGAAATTCTACCACTACCAGACATTTTTTGAACAACTGAATGATTTTTATTTTTTTAACAAAAACCAGAAGCCTTTGGCTGTTGTAAATGTACTGGTAGCTACTGAAGACTTAGAATATTGTTCTTTGGGTACTAATGGCTCCAGTTTGGCCAATGAGGGGGACAGACACCCAGTAGCTTACTGGGAAAATGAACAGCTAAAGGAAAAAAAAAAAAAAAAGAAACAGAACCACCGCATACTTGACAAAGAACAAATGATGAAAAGCACACTGAAAAAAGGCCTCACCTGTGAGATTTTGCTGTCTCTTTCTCTTATTTTGTCCTTTACCAGTTTTATTAGTGATGTGATATTGTAGAATTCAGCCTCTTCCAGTACACCTAGAATGAGAACATTTTTTGAAAAGACTGTGCAACCAAATGCTCTAGGCTAAAACCACCAACCAGTTCCTAATATCATCTTCTACACGGCTATGGAAAACAATTCATTTTGCCCTAGGATTGGTAAAGGAAGCAACTCCGACTTCCTTCGGGAGAACTGTTTTCAAAGTTGAGCTCATTCTGAAAAATTGTCCTAAAAACAAACTGAAGAAAACCGATGTCATTTCACATACAGAAACAAAAGGAGTACAAATGCCATTCTACAGGAGTTTAAAGGACCACCATAGCTCAGGTCCTGCCTTGTGCTGGAATAGCAAAGAAAAATACAAACACTCCTATTGAAAAGCTCAATAACTACCAGAGTGCAAAAAATTGCTCTACCGGCCACTTGAGATCTTGGATTTTGACTGCAGTAGCATATTACCAACTGCAACCACTCACATGTTAAAGTCTTATCTGTTCCCCACACAAACTGTGCGTTTAACAGTGCAGATCCAAGCTATAATTCAAATTATTTCCTGCTCATATGGTTAGATCCCATTTCTCTTCAATCAATTTCTTGAATACCTTATCAACACAGCTTTAATACTAAAACCGTCATCCTCCATTAGGGTAAAAGTGATATGAAGGCCAGGAAGGGAGAAGCTGGGGGCAGAAATTACTTTTCGCCATGTTCCACCCATCTGAACATCCCCAGACTTCGCTTGTACTTTGCTTTATATCTTCTAACACTCGTTTGACAGGCAGTATTCATTTGCTTGAAGAAGACTAAAAACTATTTCACAGAGTCATACACGATGATGATAAGAGGCATAGCTGTATTTCTGAGGATGGGAGCTGTGACACCAAAATCACTCAAAATGCTCTAACAACAGCATACTGTAACTGTACAATACCAATCAGCTTTGTCTGCAACAGACTGAAATGCTGCACTAACATTCATCGTCTACTTCTAAGTTGTTTTTGTTGACTTTCAAAGCAGTAAAAAATAACGACAACGTGACAAGAGATCAAGAGATTTAATAACATCCTACCTTCCTCAGCTAGGTCCTTGTTAATAACCAGCTTCCCGTGTCTGAGATAGTTCAGCACTGGCCCAAAGTAGGTCGGGTCTCTGTCTATTAAATAGGCACCTGTTTCATCCTATATTAGAAAGAAAGAAAGGAAGAAAGAAACAAGACAGCTAAAGAAGCACAGTGATTTGAATGTCCAAGCAGGAATTGCAAGCTAATACTCAGCTTGGTATCTGAATAGCAAGCAGGTACTCAGACATAGCCCCACTTCAAGCCAGGTTTGTTTTAGACATTAAACGAAATTCAGCGTTTGTAATTACATCTGATCAGTTACTCAACTCAAATTGTGTAACAGACAACTTCTTTTGGATGACCAATCGCCCCCACCCCTTGTTACCAATTATAAAAGCATCAGAGCACTGGTGCCATGGGTGAACACTGAAAACTAAGGTTAAAAACAACACAGGAAGTACTATTTTGGTTGGAATCCTGAAGTCTCGGAACAAAGGCTACATTACAGTGAGGTTCAAATACCAGCTATCTTTTTTCATCACCATTTTGATCTAAAATCTTTTGTTTCTGCCTTAGCTCAGAGGTACAAATACTCACAGGGTACTGAGAACTGCCATGTACCAAGTGAGTGCTGTATGTGCATCTTCAAAAAAACAAAAAAAAGGTATGCTGAAAATGCAGCTCCTGCCTCCCTCACGCAAACAAAGGCACGCAGCACCTCCAACTGATGCTCAGCTTAGTGAATTGAACACTGGATTTTGTAGAGCGTTCAGGAACATTTCCTGCACAGTTGATACCCTTGACAAAGAATCAAAGGAATAAAACTTTTATTTCCTTTATAATTCAGTTTGTGTGAACTGTTGTGAGCAATGCAGTATTGATATACTCCGACAGCCAGATGTCTAAACTGGAGGAGCTTGATAACAGGATTGCTTAGCAGGTATGCCATCCCTTTCTGTCAACAGATCACTACAAATATTAGTCCTTTAGTACTTACATTTTTCCTTCAATATATATATCTGATAAATGTTGATAAAGACCTAAAGGGAGGTGGGAGGCAAATGGATGAGCTCAGGCTCTTCTCGGTGGTGCATAGTGACAGTACAAGAAGCAATGCCCTAACACGTGAACACAGGAAGTTCCATACCAACATGCAGAAGAACTTCCTTGTGGTAAGGATGGTGGAGCACTGGAGCAGGCTGCCCAGAGGGGCTGGCAGTCTCCTTCTATGGAGATATCCATGACCCAGCTGGATGCCTACCCGTGCAACCTGCTGCAGGGGACCTGCCTTAGCACGGCACCTGAACCTGATGACCTCTTAGGATCCCTTCCAACCCCTGCAGTTCAGTGATCTCCTACAAATACGTACTGTAGAGTTGAGAGTGCGCCCCTAAAAACTTTTTTACAATTTATTATTATTGGTATTTTAGTAGGTTACAAGAAATATCACAAATTATCGGTACCAGCAGTCCCAGCTAAATTTGAATCACTTTCTCCAAAACTATATTTGTTCTACCTGAAAAAACCCTACAGACCCAAATCCTTGCATTTGGAAATTCATGCTGATACATAAAGGTTTGATGATTACACTGCAATACCCAAAACCTCTCTCTACTTAACATTTCTTAAAAGTCCTTTAATTGTCTCACTGGAAATGAACGTGGATTTATTTTCAGGCACGCAGATTTCTTTTCTGGAAGGGTGTACTTGTCTCATCAGGGTCAGCAGAAAGTTAGACCACAGCCTGAATTGAAATACATATATTACAAACTAATTCCCCACTTCCCCACAAGAAAGCACCGTTACTTGAGAGGAACTAAGTGAGGTATATGGTATAATTTAAATAAAATGATCTCTAACCCCACTTAACATTGTTCCCAAGAATTGCATGAACACACAAATTGAATCGTTAGGAATCCATGCCCAGCTCAGTGCCTCCACTGAGGTCAAAACAAGGCTGATGGCTTCTCAAATATCTTCTTGAATGAACGCTGTCAGAAACCACAGGATCAAACTCTGCTCAACGCTTTGAGCTCCAACGTGTTTATCTGAAACACTGACATCATTTACATACACCGAGCGAGCAGAATTTCTGCTAACAGCAGGAATGTGCACAATTATACTTGGCACTAAGGCAGGACTTAGAAACAGCTGCCTCCCTTACCCTCCTGTGGCATTTAGATCTCCATCTGCATGCCCCCAACATACCTCTTCTCTAACTACGTGATCTGAAACATTGAAAAACAGTTGACTGCCAGTACAAACCCAAACTACATTAATATCACAACACGCTCACCTAACTGACTAACCAGAAATATACTGGCAAAATAAAGTTCATCTTAACTATAACTTAGAATAATGACTATAATTAAGATGCTTTTCTTGCACTGATTATTTAGTGCTGACAGCTAAGGATGTGCTGCCAAGAAGATTTTGATGCATCTAAAACATCCAGTGCTTCCTTCCTTCCTTAACTGTCTATCTCAGTGCTATTATACTTTACTTGAGAAAGGTTTCAAAAATCAAGCACGAATACAGTTGCCAAAATCTTTTTAGGAAAGGTTGACAATATTCTTGCTTAGGGAGAAGTTTAATGAATGATAAAACAGTTTATAAAAGATAAACTGGTATATTGGGAAGATGCTGAAATCAGGAAATGCCAAGCTGTAAAACAATGCAAACATGGAGGAAGTTAAACAAGGATGAGAAGGTAAGCAAGACTGCTTGTCCATTTTTACATATTCACCAATGAGCCACAATTTAAACACTTCTGAAAACAAATTCCATTACGAACATTGGACATGGCCACTACCACTCACTCATTTGCTGAGATGAATCTCAGATAGGCTTAAACACAATGACACTCATCACACCTGGAGACATAAAGTGAGAGGAACAACATATTCTTTCACCATATTCTTTCTTTCAACATCAGTTTTGCCATAGGGAACACCAAGGTCAATCTTCCTTCTGCTGCAACCAGAAGCACACCCAGCAGCAGCCCGCAGGCTGCCAAGCCTCGCTCTGCCTTTGAACCTGCAGGTGGCTGGAAGGCAAACACACTGCCTTTCCAAAAGCCCCTTCAGTAAAAATGAAGGAGGTGTTATGATGCATGTAGTTAAATAACAAATAAAAATGTTGGTGTGCAAACCACGAGAGAAGCAATCAGTCCCTGGGTACGCAGCTGGCAAAGATGAAGTATAATCTATGGACGATTTCAGTTTTCCATTCTCGTTTCTAGTAAACTTGTAGAGTCAACATGCAACCTCTCACTGTAGCAACATGGCTGATGTATGCCTTATGAGTTTAGGCAGAAGCACCTTGACTACTCATTTGTGAGTTTGCTTAAAGATCCATTCTCATCGGGGATGAGCATTTCTTATGGTCTCATCCTCTAAAGCTACTGAAGTGCATTCCAAACTCCCCACACAGCAGATAGCATGATGTACTGCTAAAGCTGCATTTCTCATAGTTCCTTCTAACAGCAGGCTCTCAGTTTTGATTACTGCCTTGCCAGCTCATCACTTCAGCTTCTCCCTGCCCCACCTATCCCTGTGCTCCCATCTGGAGGCAGAGACAAGTCTGTCCAGGATGGGTGGAACAGCCACCAGCCTACAGACAAGCCCACATTCACATTCTCCTACACTGACGTTTCTGAAGTTCAAAATGAGGGGTTTAAAGCCTTTGTGATCTTCAGGAAGAAAACACAACAGGATCAAACCCAGGGAATCCTGGGTCAAAGATAGGTTCCAGTGCTCCAAAGGTTAAGAGGACATTATTAGCTACGCCATGCAGGAACTGCTGTCTTACAACTGCAAAATCGCACTGCATAGCTGCAATTGTTCACAATCTTTAGCATATGAGTAAGAAAAATTATCATCTTAGTATCAGACTGCAACTTGAGACGGTAAAAAGTAAAACCATGATAAAAAAACACACCCAGGGCAATTTGATTTCAATTGCTATAGATGTGGCAAAGGAGAAGAACCAGAGCCTGGGACAATAATACAGATAACAGCAAGGATTCTCTTGAAATATCTGTGCTCATTAGTTAAAAACATTTGACATCTTGCACCTGAATCAGAGAGACGATCTGTAGGTCTGCTATTGCATCAGGTCAGCATGCTCACAAATGGGTGAGATGTCTGCAATATCTGTCTGCATTCAAGGGAAAAATAAGGGAACTGCTCGGGTTGTGCTTGTTGCTGACAGAGGGCAAAGAATCTAAAGGTAGGTTCTGAACCAAACCCTTGGAAGACAGGCACGACTTGGTTAAGTTACATTAGGGATTCCAAAGACTTCTGCACTCATCTGTCATTGTGGATTTTGCAGAGAACAGATTCTGAATGGATGAAGTGAAAATCAATGACTACAGTGCAGATGTTCAAGACAACGGAGCACAAAACTGACAAATGCACTGAAAAGACTGCAGTGAATGCTTAATCACTAAATACGTAGCCTTATGTACATCCAATTGAAGACAACTGGGTTCAAAAACCCAGAGAATGCAACTCTGAATAAGATGACTTTCTCAAAATACAGAATTATTGTGCAGGTTGTACACCTGCAACCTGCACAATAATTTATTAAAGGTGGCTGTATCTGCCACAACTTCAATTAAATAAACCCACAAAGATTTAGTCTTAAATACAAGATGCACTGAACACAAGCTCTGCCTGAAACAGGCTTAGTTACGTCGGTATGGAAAGTGCACCTTAATGCCATATTCTCATCTTACATTTCAGTTCCACTGCAGGTCTGTCCCCATTTCACACCAAACTGAAAGGCCCTCGCCTGGTTTCATGTCTCACTGCCAGACCTGGAATATGCAAGCACTGTACAGACAGCAGGTTTAGATGATCATCTCCAAAAGCCCATTGAGATATCAGCGCTTTGGTGATAATGCCTGTGGAAGATGACTGATGGCACCAATGGATGAAATGAAGAAAGCCAAATGCCTTAAATGGAACTGAAGCAATCGATCCACAAATGTGCCTATTATCTCTCCGAAGACATCAAGAGAATGCAAACAACCTTTCTTCTTCTTCTTTTTTTTTTTTTGCAGTGGATCAACTGGAAAAGGTTAGTGTAATTAAGGCGCCTTAATTATTAAGTACACCTTATTTTTTATTTAAGAAACCTCAGAAGAAAGCTTCCCCATCTCCCAAGTGAAAGCAGCTTCTGAGCCATCAGCAAGCCACCCACAGCTCCTCATTTACTGAGGTCAGTTTAAGCCAAACCTCCCAAAACTGAACAAAGAAAACACAAAGCCGCTCCTCACAATACCGCAATACCACACTGGAAGGTATTTTCCTTTCTTTAGCTCTGGAATGCTATTCAGAGTCTGCATTTTCTCAAGCTTTTAAACATCCTTTGTTAGGTGTGACAAAATGAGGAGGCCCACTACCAGAATAAAAGTTTTTATATCAAACAACTCTTCATTTTTAATCAGTTAGCTGTATGTGTGAGGGCTATAAGCTGTCCCCTTTTTCTCCACAAATACCCAGTCCTGGGTGTCAGGTTTTGCCATCACACTCCCACATCTTGTCCAGCACTTCACGTGAATGCTTTACACCCAGTACAGCACAATCAGCAGTACTTTCCCTACTAAACACGAGTCCAAAGGAGCCCACGATGCTCACTATCACCCCATTCGCAGCCTGTACTGCCCAAGGAACGCCTTATTTGACGAATTTCCAGAACACAGAATGTTACGCCTGGATAAGAAAGGTTATTTTTCCTCACTTACTGAATTCCAGGTTCAAAGAGCTTTCCTTTACACTAAAAGAGGGGTGATTCAGGTTAGACGTGAGGAGGAAATCCTCCACCCAGAGCTGTGGGTGCCCCAGTCCCAGAGGAGCCCAAGGCCACAAGGAGCCGTGGGCAGCCGGCACAGGGCAGGGCTGGGGCGGTGAGATCCCCTCCAACCTGAGCTCTTTTACGAACAAACAGAACAATTCGAGGGAAAGAAAAAAAAAAAAAAAAACACGATTTCGATCCGGTTCTTGAAATCGTACTGGAGAACGATGACAGTGCAGAAACAGAACGACACCGTTCTGCAGGCAGCCGCTCCATGGAAGCTACAGCTAAACCCGCTCAGCGCCGACACGCAAACGAACGCGCAAGCGATCCGGCGCTCCCCGTGCGCTGTTCGGAGGGCAGCCGCGCCGCTCGAGAGCCCACGGAGCTCACGAGCCACGGGGCCCCGCCGCCCCGAGAACTGAAGTTCCTCCAAGCGCACGGACCGGCCGCCCGCCGCCCTTCGGGAACGGCCCCCCGCCCGCCGCCGTTCCCGCAGCGCTGCCCGCACGGCGCCGGGCCGCGGCGGCCCCGAGCGCCACGCGGAGCCCGGAGCGCCCGCGTCGCCGCTTCCTCACCTTGTCCGAGTCCAGGTCGGGGTCGGCCTGGCAGAGACGGAAGAGGAAGGACTTGGGGTCCCTGCACAGCGTCTGCCGGGTGGTGAGGAAGCAGGTGCCCCCCACGTTCAGCCGCACCCACTTGCCGGGCACGGCGCCGGGGGGCGGCGCCGAGCTGCACCGGCGGCAGGGCCCGCCCGGGCCGAGGCCGCCGATCGGGGCGACCGGGAAATCGCAGTGGTTCTCCGCCGCCATCCTCGCCGCCGGAAGAGTCCGCCCCACCTACGGCTCGGCGGGCGCGCCTCCCCCGGAAGCGTCCACCTCGGCGCGCTCCGCTGCCCGCCCGGCCGCCAGGCGAGGTCCGCGCGCTGCCGCCCGCCGGCACGCGGCTCTCGCTCGCTCTCTCCCTTCCGCCCCCCTCCGCCCCACCGCGGCGCCCCGCACCGCCCGGATCGCGGTGCCCCTCGCACAGCGCCGCCGCCGGAGCGCCGCGCAGCCCCCGCCCCTTCCCATGACGCGGCGCTGCGGAAGGAGCAGGCGGAGGCCGGGCCAGGACCCTACATGCCTTTATTACAGACTACCGAGCATAAGTGAAATCCATCATCCGGTCACTAGCTACACATCTACAGCACAGAGATCTGTCGAAAGGAGGATAAGCGGTTATTAAATTATGAGATATGATTAAATCATTGACCAATAGAAAATTTATATAATAAAGCCAGAAAAAAAGGTGTAAAATATAGTTTACAATAATTATTCACATTCCAGGCTGTACATCAATACATACAACACCATGGCCCCGAACATGAATTCAATCCAAATAATTCATATATTAGAATTTAAATAACACAGACTGAACTAGAGGCCAACAAAAGCCAGCAAATAACCTTAGAAGAATAAAAATACAAAAGTGTGTATCATATCATTGCATTATTTGCTTCTGTTCTCGTAAGTTCTTGGGGGAGGGGGGATTGTTTTGTGCGAGTTCTTGGTTTTTTTTTTCCTTTATCTGTACATCACAGTTACAGCTACAAACCAGGTAGAGAATATTACACACAACTGACCGTCAACGACCTGAAGAACAGCTTAGTGTACAACTATCCAGAGAGATTATGGTTCCTGGTTCCTATTCTTTTGTCAGATACAGTAATAACAAGATCTGCCACAATTTAGAACTGCCACATCCAGAGTTAGTACATGGTTGTTGGGAGCTTTGTCAAATCACAGCTGCCTGCATTCCCTGCCATGCCAACAGGCAGACCAAATCTTTGGGTGCTTATCACTTCTCCAATTATTTGCTGTCTAAAAGTAATTTAAAGAGGAAACAAATTTCTGAATTTATCCATCTTAAATTGAAAACACACCAATCTGGAACGGAGAACTATTAGTTTGTAAACTCATCAACTCACAGACAATTTGCGTCACGAAGCTTTGCAGGAGCACTTCCTTCCACTTCATTAATAAAATGTTTGCATAAAGCATTACAGGCATTCAGCAAAACTTCAGATATAAATATCACACCTATTCATGTAATTCCATATAGCAGAAAGGATCATCAGAACCCACACACCATATCTTTAGGCAAGCACCACCACACAAGCCATCTTCTCAATAGAGTGCTGAGAACAATTTTTTTTTTTTTTTGGCCAAAGTGATATCAAGCATATTAAAGTAAGCACCTTGTCCTATGGAAGTGGACTAGAATTATCACATCTTTGATTCAATCCACAGAGCTTCTCCTCCCCCCCCCAGGATTAACTATAGCAGATACTCCACAAATAAATCAGGCTAGAAAAATAAGCAGACCACAGTCCTATCGGATACTGATGTGTTCAGCATTAGCACTTGCGAATGAGATATTAATAACTGACATCAGCCTGGTCACAACGCCTCAACATCACACGTGAAGCACGTCTTTCATAATACAAATCCTTTTCAAAACCAGCCATGAAGGCAATGGGAACAAAGCCATCTCTTAGTTTATCACAGCAATGTTGAACTTTCTGTGACTGGGCTGGGAGCTGGAAAGAGTTATGGAACTCAAGAATCCTTCCCAGAAGTAGTACTTCAGCTTTAAGCTCCACCCAACAGAAAAGAGGCTATGAACATATCCCTGAAGTTCAAATCCCAAGCAAAACAAATTAAAACATTATTAACAAGTAGCTTCATAAATGATCGGTCATTATTCAAAATGCAAAAGGCAGAAATGAGTTGTCTGTATGTTTGTAATAAGGATTCTGAAGCCTTCAAGTGTTCAGCAACCCACCTCTGTACACTGAAAGACCTTGGATAAAGAGCAGAGAAATCACCCAGCTTATCTGCAGCTCTGACCAATCTCCTTTCACTCCGTAAACTCCCATGAAACACAGGAGTCATCCTTGAGACAAGATTTGAAACTGCCCTGCTTCAGTATACATATCTAAAACAGGAACTGGCCCTTGATTGTATGCAGCATATTCCGGTACATACGTAAGTGAACAAACTGGTAAAGCATACTTCAATCCCCATGGCTGCTTTTATCTTTCAAAACCATAGGTTTCACTTAACAGCAGCGGCTGAGAAATACTTGATTTGGAACACTGAAGTTCTAAGGGTAGGGACAGACGCCTTTAAGAGAGGCTCACAGTTTCCTGATGACAATGCTGTCCATCAGGAACACAAGAATGCAGACAGCCTTCTTACAGACTAATTTTGCAGCTCAGATCACTAATAACAGTGTTTCTTTGGCTGAAAGGTTTTGGTAGGCAGGAACGAAGGATATTGATAGAGGATATTCAAGCTATGAAAAAGATAGCTTTTTAAACAGTGAAATGACTGCATGCCTGATTAGTACAGAAAACTTGAAGCATTCCCAGATTTCCAGCTAGTCAGCTGAAGTGAAAAGGCCAAGGGCAATCCCAATCTAGCTCTTACTGGAGCTATGAATTTTACTTAATCAGCAGAATAACTTTGCCAGACTTTTGTATGAGCTTCATTGACAAAGAACAGAAGTGACACAATGAAGCTCCATCACTGCCAGACTCACTTGTTTGAAGTCTACACCTGTACACATAAATCCAAAGCTGTAGGGCTGTCTCGAGTGGACCCAGGGCATAGCTGGAATTTGACAGCTGCAGAATGACTGCACACGACTGTAAATTCACAACAGCATCTTGCTTAAGATAGCTAATACAGGATTAATTACTGGCACAGATAGAAGGTATACTATGCTATTCAAATTTCAGCAGCAAGGAGTGTGCTTTATGAGGCAAAATTCCTTACGATGCAAATGGAACAGTTCTATTTTTCTCATCACAGCCATTTTTGCAGGACACCTTTGCTTCCTCGCTGCCATGCACTGTAAGCTACTGATTTATTTCTGTCACACACACATATACAGTTGGCTAACAGAAGACAAGGATATATCTCCTCTAAAAGAAAAAGCCACTGCACTCTCTCCTTGGAAAGGCTGAAGGATGCTGGAAGAACTGAATTGTCACCAAATTCAACCACGTAACATCATTTTTTGGTTGTTTTTTTTTCTTTCCTCAAAAAAGATGAATAATCTCTCTTAACAAAAAACCTCTCAATTAAATATTTTCTGAAAGTCTGATAAGCCGCTGCTTTTAAAATATTGCTTTTGGAACAGTGTAGCACATTTGTCTTTTTAACATTGCAGTGGAATATTTATTTGATAGAAGGAAAAGCGCATCATGGAGACCTCAATATGCACAAAGATGGGATGTGGAGATGTTGAATAAATAGGTGTGATGTTTATACCACTTTCAAAACAAGGAAGGAATGCCTTTGTTCAGACCTATCAACCCTCTGCAAGGTTCAGAAACGCAGACATTGGAAATACCATTAGGGAAATTGTTTTTAGCATATTAAGTCTTTGTAACATTACAGGAAATGTTTGACCACAAAAAAACCTTTTACTGAAAAGGATAAGAGGAGATTGATATAAAAAACTTATTTTATAGATATGCCTCAAGTACCATATGTTTTTTCCCCATTGTATCAGAATTTTGTTATTTTTAAACCAGATTATGGTATGGATCTAATTTTTGAAAAACAATTGAGCAAAATAAAAGTTTTTAAAAGGTCTTAAGTATTTGGCCAAAGAATGAAAATAGGACTGTTTGTACACCTCATTATGCAATGAAACAAACAAAAATCAAATTGTACAAAGCTTTCACACTTTCTTCTCTATCCAGGTAAATAGGTTGGCCCCACTAAAATGCACAAAACATGCACACCCTGTAAAGAAAGCTTCTAGCCCTCATCTCCCGGAAAGGAGAAAAACTACTTACTACTTCAATAGTAATGTTGTTTTTTTCCCTCCATACTAACTAATTAATTTTTTAGTTAGTATTAGTTAAAAGCATGCTGCTAAGTTTGTCTCTTGATTAAACACACGATTCATATTAAAATTTAAACTGAACGTTTAAAACTTTATACGCTTCAGAAGCCAACATTTCAATTTTAGAAAAAATTTCAGTGCCATGTTCAGCATTTTATTCTCACAACCTCTATCATTGGAGCCCATCTGCCAGATACATACATCTGATTCATTCACATAATTATTTAAGTACCACGTAAATCCTGCAACCAGAACTATATTAGGAATTACACAAGGGTGCAACTGACCTGGCTACAAAATGTCATACACCAATAAGCTCAGGGACTGTGAGGAAAGGAAAAGGGGAAAAAAAAAAAAAAAAAGAAGTGGTGCTTAGGAGAGGCATATAAAAGCTCCCTGATGAAATACAGATCAATGATAATGTGAAAGTCACAGAAAACTCCAGCCCCATAAAACGCAAGGCTGGTACATGATTCAGGGTGTGTGCGTGTGGATTGGTTTTAACTCATCTTAAGTGTAGCTGGTAATGCAATGTCTATCCACTAGTTTGCTGCAGAAATTGAGTTGAAGTGCACAAAAGCAAGATCTTCACTGCAATGATATGCATGTGGAAGCCTCAACAGAAGCACAAAGAGCGAGCAAAGCGACCCTGAATTCCATTCGGTTTTTGCCTTTTTTTTTTTCCTTTTTTCTTTTTTAAAAACAGAACATTTCAGACATATGCTTCCCCTTGAGATGGTAATAGATGGGTTGGAAAGATTCCTCTGATCAGCTGCACATCAAGTTCTAGCAGCAAGAAGAGAAACTGGGAGATTTTGGATGAGCTTTACTATTTAGCAGCATTCTGGTGGTATCTGTGCCGCCACACTTCTTGTATCTTTTTGCACCATTTATGAGCGTTCCCACTCGGGTCCATCAGGTAGTACGTCCTGTTTGGCTATAAATGAACAACATTTTAGTGAGCATTCCAAGCACAGTTAAACCAAAAAGCAGCAATTATTCCACACCTACCAATGAAATCATTATTCAGAATCAGTTTGCAACCTTTTCAAAAACGTAATTTCAAGTACAATTATACTA